GAGTAATAACATTTCTTCTTTTTCTTCTTTTTCTTCTTCTTAACCTGATAATCAAATTTATTTATATTCTTTACTATACATGTATTTTCAGAGGTTTAAACCTTTTACAAAGTCTCGATTCAACTATATTTTCTAACTACTCGTTCGTTTTTATTCCAGTCCTTTGAAGTCTTAACACTTTTGGACCTATTTAATTTTGTATATAATATATAGCTATACAACCGAATTAAACAAAATGTATTTGATAATGCTATAACCGTATAATATTAATATTATTTTACTAACAAATTTAAAACATTATTAAGTAGGTATTAACCACCTGTTATCTTAGTATAATAATTTATATTTTAATTCCCACTTTTTACGGATTATAAAAAAAACTTATAATTTCCACTAAGAGTTTAGTCGTTTTGGATACTGCGCCTTAATATTTGTTTTTCTTTTGGGTTGTTTTTAATTGTATTAAAAATGAATGGTTTTGTGTAGTTATAAAACCGTGGTTTTTGAAAAAATCCAAATTTAGCTGTGGAAGCGTTAAAACTGCATACTTATCATTTTGTAAAAATGTATACCTACGGATAATTCTTTTTTTTTTTTTAGTCGTGGTCCATCGATTTTCTCTGAGGATTTTAAGTAAATTTGATTTCTGTTGATTTTCCTCAACTATATTGAATACGTATACCTATATTATGAAATTGTTTAAACTATATTTTAAAACTATTTCTTATATTTTAAATGGATATTACCTTTTCATTTTCAAATGGCACATCCCTTTCGTCTTTAAAACAGTTTAAAAAATAAAATTTTTCTTAAAGTATTGTACAGGTAATACTAATATCAGATATACATCATAAACAGTATATCCGATTGGTACTTTTACAGTATCAGACATAGATAAACAGAATGGAGGCTTGGGGGACTTAGTCCCCCCAGAATTTGGCAAAGTTCTCTTAATTCTAAAATTAGTACTTAATACACATTTTATTCTTATTCTACATCCCATCTATGGAGAGTGGGCCACCTTCGGTCTAAACTTCCACTTAACCCGATCTCTCAGTCTCCCACCTCACATACTCCGATTGCCATCATACCATTCTCAATTGCAACCAACCGCCTATTTTTCGGTGTTCGTCTAGACCAGTGGTTCTCAATCTTTTAAGAACCACAACACAAATTCCCCAAGAAAATCTATCGCAACCCACATGGTTTCACTTTTCAAAAAGTAGTTCATGAAAATAACTGGGAAAATCAAAAAATTCCCTCGGTAAAGCACCATCTCAATCAGATTTTCTTTTAGAAAAAATGCTATGCTTTTAAATCAGAGCAAAATTGCAGGTAGAAAAGTTGATCCTAGATAAAACAAATAATACAAAAAAAACATTATTGTAAAACAATACATACCTCGCTCCGCTCAAAATCTACATGCATTTCTTAGAGTCTATATAATTTAAAATAATTTTCGTGACCAATCAAAAATTGACTAGAGACTCATCAGTGGGTCGCAACTCACAGCTTGAGAAACGCTAGTCTAGACAGTATTTCATTTTAAAAAAGGTGCCACACTAATATATATCGAAGCAAGATTTCTTATAGACATTTTTCACAGTAGAAAAAAATAACAATAATAATAATACTGTATCATCTTTGTAAAACCAATACATTCTTCGTTACACTCAGAAACTAAAAAATACTCGAAAAGTATTCATATTCAAACTTTTTTTTAAACTTATTCAAATACATATTCTAAATAATTTTTTACTTATTTATTTGAATAGGTATAGTCCGAATACAAAATAAAAATTTACTGTACAAGACTGCCTAACCCAACAGCCAGTTCTTTTGTATTCTCAATCTCTTCCGGATTTTACCGTGTAGGTAATTACGGACCTACCTATTTTGTTTGTATTGTATTTTTCACATAATAGTTTATTAAATGCGGGTCAGTTACGCGATCCGCCGGATTTATTCCCGGAAGTTATTCTATCATTCCTGTGTCGTTTAATTCGCGAATCCCAAACATTTTAGTTTTACCGTCTGTTCCACGTATTAGGTACGAGTGGTACGACTAATAAACTATTATAATACAAACTCACGGTCCCTTTAGGCATTTAGGCTTTTTATCTCTAGGTACGATCCGTCAATAACACACTCGTAGTGTTGGCACGCTGTACGATTTCTATTACCAATTTATAATATTGGTCGAAAATCCATGTTCGCTATTTTGTCCTAAAAATTATAATTAATTAACCTGATTCACTTTTGATAATTATTATTGGAGGAAAAAAATTCTAAATTGTATCTTTATTAATATTTTAAATAACAGCAAGTTGACTCGTAAAACTTTGACATTTATCACATATCATTTCAAATATGATAAAGGCCCAGAATAGATTAAACTGATTAAAGGTACTTTTAATATCGATGATTAATTCATAGTTACAATACACTATTATATTCACGATGAGTAGATTACATTAATTAGGTATGTATTTTTTTTAGATTGTTTTGAGTAAATTTATCACAAAAAAAAAAAAATGGACAATGTGTCCTTATATGATATTACATAGAGGAAAATGTAAATTGCGATTAATTTGCGAGCGGTTATTATTTCGTTGTACGGATCAAATATTATTCGATTCCCATCAAAACTTAAATGATTCCATTGTATGGAGAGGGGGCACTGATGATACCTATGATATAATATTGTTTGATATGAAGTGTGCAATACAAACAAATATACCTATACCTACATTTTAGTATCTGGTTTAAACATTACCTACTGTATTCTTTATATCCATCTTGGCCTTTATTTCACTACAATTAAATTTATATTATGCAGATCATACTTTGAATTTAATAAGTATAAAATCAAAACCCATTTGATCATCAAATATAATAAAATTTCACAATTACTCCATTATGACTAAATGTCAAATTATATAAAATGCCTTTCAACGTCCAAAAACATCAGAAATTATAAATAATACACTAAATCATTATTTAATTTATTCTCATCCAACTCGTTGCACTAGTTTGCATGGTTCTATAGCATAGTTAATACAAGTTAAAGAAAAAATTACTCGTCTTTTAAATGGGTATATAGGTACCTACTATAAATACGTAATCACCATATAAGTTAATTTGGATAAATTAACCTAACCTATTCATTCTATTTCAATTTAACCTATTGAAAGTCATAAAAAGTAAATACAACACCAATTTGAAAAAAATTTTCCCCAATTCAACCAACATCACTTACTTAGCACCATTTCAGACTAATAATAAGTTATTAACTAACACGAATGATAATAAATTATTATTTGTTACTTTAAAAATTGCTTTATATTCCTTCTACAATAAATCACTGTAAAAATGACAGTGGTATCATTGTTTTATATTTTTTTATAATTAATTATAATCTATCCTTTATAATATACTTACTATTTGTGATTAACCAAACCTTACCTAATTCGTTTAAATTGTTAAAAATTTATATTTTAAAGTTTGTTTTAAGTAAGCTATAAATTATATTATTTTAGAATTGTGGATGTTCTACCTATTTAAGTATAACTCAAAAACTTGTATAAAATAGGTACAATATTATCAGATATTATAAAAACTTTTTGGGATGCTAGGCTATTTTGCACAGTCCAATTGTTACAGATTTAGAACTCAAATTACAATTTATATACCGTTGAGTAAAAGATAATAATAACAATAATATTATGATCATACGAAACATGCAAACTATATATTATTATTAAACAAAATTAGATATTTAAGGCTAATACCAAATAATAACATAATACTATACACTTTCAAAGAAATATAATTTAATAAATTAATATAAAGCGACAATTGTGGTAATTATTAGTACTTAAATTTGAATTGTTTTAAAATAGCAAATTCTACAGTCAGTAAACATTGAATATTTTGAAATAATGTTTGAATTTTATAATTGTGGTTTTCTTTTCCAGCCATCAAATTATCTGAGTTTCAATAATATAAAGAATTACTTTTGCTTTTTTACTTTGAAATCAGATTTATTTGAATTTTCCCAGATCTGATGGAAATACTAGCATATATACTATAAAAAAGCAATGAGAAACTTTCAATTAAAAGCATGTGTTTGAAAACAATGAATTTTAACACAAATAATTTTATTTTTTCAATAATTGTCATATGTTTACATTAACTATAATGTGTTTAATCAACAATTTGTCAAATTAACTGGTTTGTTTTTTTAATTTTTTTTTAATGGGCAATTATGATAATGGTGCTGTTTCATTTGATTGATCAATTAAAAAAGTGTCAAAGGAAAAAAAATCCCTCAGTGAAATTTAATTATAATTAAATTAAAGGGAAAACTTATAATGATTTGTTGATTAATTCTGAAAAAGTAATTTAATTTATAGCAAGATATAAACATAATAATACATAATATATAAATAAATAAAATAACAAAAATGTTTAATATTTTTGAGAAAAGACAGTTAGTTATAGTACCTAAATAGTTGATACTGTAAACTTGTATATGACTTGCGATCGGTTTCAATAAATTTGTATCATTCATGTCTTTTGTAACAAAACCTTCAGGATAATTGATTTTAATTAATACTACTTTTACCTCTTACCTTAGCTGTCATACATCCTATAACTCGTAACTTTATTTACTCTTTCAATACAATACAAGGAATTGTAAATTATGAAAATTGTATTTTTTTTTTTTTTATTATTATTATTATTAAAAATATACTACAAATATGTATTAAATATCATATAAAAATCTAAATGACCAACTGACTAATTGAGAAGAAAGTCTTACCCAAGATTTTAAATGTACATAAATATTTTCTAGCAATAGTATTTACCATGATTTATACAATAATATTAATTTCATTATTTGCATATACTTTAGTGAAATTAAAATTAATGAAAAGAAAAGGAAATTGACTTTATAAACATAAACTAAATTTATTTCAATGTTATGAACAAAGAAATACATAATATATTTATAATAGTCCAAGTCAACTATTTTATCTATACACTACATGATCAATACCAATGAGTTGGAGCTTGCACTCTGTCTTCGGTAATACCCATTGCATCCATAATTTCCATTTCAAATGTTTTCAATAAAGGTAAGAAAGTTATTTCTTGTACATCCATCGTTTTAGTGTCTTTTTCAGATTCTAAAAATAAAATTATATTAAAAACACTACAAAACAAACATAATAAATTTAGTACTTATCTGTTAGAGCGACTACCTGACCAAATAACTTTGATACTAAATAAACAATACGGTTATCAAGACTAACGCAGTAACAAGAAGATAATGATTTTGAGTAGTTAGTATTGGTGTGGGCATTTCTTTTACATAAGTAACACGAGTACATGACATTTTATTTTTAATGGGGCATTTGCAAACGCACATGCTAACACCATTGTCATATAGGTACTATCATATTGTCAATACTTTTTGTAGTATAGTGTAATTTGTTAATTACTAATTTCTAATATTGAATTTTCTTCCTTGTAATAGTTTTAATAATTTTTAATTCATTTAACCATTAACCAACAAATTGAATACCATAAATTTAAGTAAAAAAATATTATTTTAGTTTATGCATAATAAATTGGTAGTTTTAAATGATACTCTGTCAAGTAATAACATATTTTTATCAATTCTATAATCCCAGAAGTCAAACATGAGACTTATAACTACTAAAAGTATGCTTTTATTATATATTCAGTTTAAACTATGAAAATAAATACTAATTTCTATTTCTAAACTCCTTATTACATCATACAATTAATTATTGAATTCATAACACTGGATGTTGTGAAATGTAAAGTCATATAAAAAGAAAAATACTGACATAACTAACCTTTATAAGTATTGGGTGTTTTGTAATCGAAAGTTTCTTTTGCCAATGATGGAATTGGAATTAATTTTCCAGTTCTTGAAGATACACGTACTTTTTCGCCTGCCTCGGTAAATCTCCATTCGACCTTACAACCTTGTCTAGAAGTATTCAAATAAAATGAATTAATTGTTTAAAATTATATAAGTACCTATAGGTACTATTAATAATGGTAAATTAATGTTACATTTACTTACAGATCTGATGGATCTACTAATGCGACCTCACTGGTCACTAATAGTGGACGCTCTCTTGATTGAACCATTGCCACATTTCCTTTATAATGAGATACTTCTTCCAATTTACAGTTTAATCCATTTACAATTACCCAGTTCCTTTCTTGGATCACTTGCCCGACGATTCCTTGCTTTCCCTTATCAGGTCCGACTAAAATTTCAACCTACACAATATAATTAACAAGGATTATATAGTGAACTCAAAATAGGTACCATCATGTTTTCAATACTGACCCTATCTCCTTTGAAAAACGACCAATCTTTAATTGGTTCCAAAAATACTTTAGACTCAATACTACTTAAACTATTTTTACTATCAAATGCCAACGTCCAAGGTCTGTCCTCTGTAAAAATAAACTTTTTCTTTTTAACAACTCTCGGCAAAAAACGAGGATTATTTTGAGGCGTTTTCCACACTACCTATAAGACATTTATCATTACTTAAATAAAATGGCAGGCTATTTTTCCTGAACAATTCCACTTACCTTCTCCATACTACGTTCGATATATTTATCTGGCAAATTCGCATACTTCTTCGTCAGCTCTCCTACCTTTTTAAAGTCTCTTAAACAATTTGTTAGTCTCATAATAATATTGATTTATTTACCTATACAAAATAATGTTATTTGCACATGAATTTTTTTAATCCAAAAAATTATCAGTTTTGTAGTCCAATATGTTATCACTGAATTACTGTAAAAAACCGATAAGATATTATCAATTATAGATATCATGGAGTAATAAACAATAACGTGGAAGTAAAAGTATTAACTACTTGTTGATTATTTCTACGACGATAAATAGTTAGATAAAACTGATAGCATAAATATTTTGATGATTTTGCTTTGGAATAATAACAATAATTAAAATATCTGTTTATGAACTACATTATTGAATCTGTGTAAAACACTCATTGTTAAATATTCTTACAATTTTAATTTGCTGGGAACCGAAAATTAGTTTTAAACTTATTTCTGAATATTAAAAAATGGTTCAGAATGAATAATACGTGTACACGATTACTTGGCTGAAGCCGTAATGCTTACATTTTTTTGCGAATTACATTACTGGACGTTGAAAAACGATCTATCTGTTAGCAATACAGATTTTAGTCACTTCAAGTATGTATGAGTAATATTGTATTAGTGATTTTATTATCTTAGATAATCTAGTAGATTTGTTTAAGACAATTTTATTTTTCCTATATCTATTATTGATACTGGTATTTGCTTGCAGATATAATGAAAAGAAAGAAACGGAAACATCAACAGACAAAATTATTAAACGGAATTTTGTTGAAGCTCGCGGATTTAATTGGTCAGTGTCTAACAAAAGGCCGGCCAAGTTGAAAGACTCATTAAAATATTTTGAAGTAGGTAACCTATTTAGAACAAAACATAATTCAAAATGTATAATATTAATATTATTTTTACATACCTCATATAGTCAGTTGAGATTTTACTGTAATTTTTTTTTTTTTAAGTATCAATATAGTTAATATAAAATGTCAATAAATACCTAAATAGTACAATTAAAATAAGTCATTAACCCAAAAAAATAATACTTTACTATTAAGTTTATCAAAGAATATTGTGTGATTCAGTTTAACAGAAAATAATATAAATTTAGCTTTCTAACTGGTCTGTAATATTTTAAGTTAACCTAATGTATTATTGTATTGTTCTTTATTTTTTTGATAGTCAGAACTGAATGAACATTATTTGATTGCTGCCGAATGGCTAAAAAAGGACAAAATTGCATTCATACTTAGTAATGGATCAACAATATTTTTAACATTTGATCCTATTAGTTGTGATGTAATTGAAATTGTTACTGATAAATTTCTGCAATCAAAATTTCAATGTGATCAATTAATTAACGGTAATTATGATTGTATGGTATTCAATAATTTTAGAGTTATATTATTGATTATTACAATTAAATACTGTGTTATATTCCAGTCTCTTATATGAAACAAGTTTTGGTGTGTTCATTTGCGGACCATAAATTGAGTATTATTCATTTTGGACGACCATTTGATCGTACTCAAAACAAATGGTCCCTTTTAGAGCCAAAAATTGGGTTGTCCGACTTCAGTAATTCCTCTATCAATAGAAAAAATGAACGGAAAATTACGTTCAACATATCTGCAACAATGGTGGCCACGTGGTCCAAATCATCATTAAATGAAGTGTACCCATGGAATCCATTAGTGAAAGACGAACACAGAGCCAATGTACATGTGTACAAAATCATTGGGTAAAAATATGATTTACAATATTATTATTGTTTTCCTTACAAAAGTTTTAATATTTTGTTTTTGTAGGCCACGACTAGAACTCTGTTGCTACTATCATACCAAGCAAGACCCTCTTATTGTGTCATTTAGTAAAACATTATCAAATATTTTATTCATTTTGGAACAAAAGGTTGATGGATTGGGAAATCTTTAACTTCTAGTAACAAGTTTATGACGCCAAAATATATTTTCAGAATTGCAATGATCCAAGGATTGATTTTAGTACCTTCGAAGTAACCAATACAAAATTACATTTAGTCAGAGTAGTAACAATCAGTCCATTCGATTGGTGTTCCGCTTCCATAATCAACGCTTGGCTAAACAAGGACGATACACGGTTATGTTTTTCATATAACGATTCTATACTGTTTATTCATGATTTCAAATTATCTATTACAAGTTCCGTGAAAACTGCTTTTGTGAGTACCTAAATTTAATTTTTAAAGTTAATTCTTAATCTTTTACCGTCAGAAAACAACAACCCTTAATCCCTTAATGGTTCTTTATTAATAATATAATAAAGCAAAAACAAAATTATTAAAATAGTTAATACTAGTAAATAAAAAATTTAATAAATGCGTTGCCTAAAGTATTATTATAAGTGTATTATAAAACCGGTTTTGAATTAAAAATTCATCATCAGATATATCATTAATCTCCCCTATAAAAATAAGTTATTTCAATATAAAACGACCAATATGTATAATTTTTTTTTTTCTATGCATTCTTTCATTTAATTTTTCATATTCAGTCACGTTTTACATTTTGATATCTGAAGATGAATTTTTAATTCGAAACCCGTCGTGTATTACACTTATAATACTCCAGGCGACGCCTTCATTCATTTATTTATGTTTTATTTCTATGTTTATTTACTGTATTTGTTCTTTATTACCTAATCTAAAAAGAAATACAACATTATAATTTTGATTATTTTCAAAATAATTTAGCCAGTAGAATATTTGGACTGGCATCCAGATGGTAATGTAATTGCTGTGTCGGATATCAATGGTAGGATACAATGTTACGATTCTTGCTTATCGTGTATCAATCTACAACCATTGACTGAAGAAACCAGTAATTTAACTTGGTTAGACCTGCAATCTAAAATTGGAAACAAAAAGCTATTCCACATGAAGTGGATGCCGTGCGAAACATCAAAATATCCTGTAAATCAATCAGATGCCATTCTTCACCTTGTGTTTGAAAGGTTCAAAACATTTATTTAATATTTTTACCTATACATTTTATTACAATTCTCATTTACATTTTAAGGGGTCCCGTGATAGCTATAAAAGTAATGGGAATTGGAAAGTTATGTATAAATCAATTAGTCTCTATGTACCTCAATGAAAATGATGTTGATCGTGCGCTCAACTTTCTCTTAGGACTCAATTGGCATTCTGATGGGCCATCATGTCTAATGACCTTACAACAGATTACAAACTATTTATTTCGTTTACCATTTACTCCTGTCAGAGAAGGTATAAAAATGTTTAAATATTTGTTTCACTGTATTATTGTAATAATTATGTTTTTTTTAACAGTTCAATTACAATCAGCAATAGGTAGTTTTTATCAACCCATTATACCGCTAAATGAAGATACCCGCCATGAATATTTTGAACCCGTAAGAAATATTGCTCGTCGTTTTTTTCATCATTTAGTGAGGTTAGCATAATTAATTACTTTTGTTTTCGTCAATCTACAGTAAATATTTATTTAACAAAAATTATTTTTTAGATATGAACTTTATGAAAAAGCATATAGCTTGGCAATCGATTTAAATGATAGAGATTTATTTATGGATCTATATTGGGCGACAAAATCGGGAATCGGCACTAGGGCTATGGCAACTATGGCATTGGAAAAAGCAAATCAAATAGTAACATCGGAATCAGGCGACTCTCATTCCAGTCAGTCATCTGACTGTGATTGTATAGAGTGTGATTCAAGTTCTTTAAGGCCGCCTCTACCAAATGTGCCAATCACATCACCATCTTCACCATCATTGTTTGTTCAGCCCGTTCCCAATAACAGGTCTCTGAATAATGTTACAACTATTAGTGTGCCGGTAAATAATCTCAATTCTAACTTAAAGCATGATTATGAGTAGTCTATAATTTGGTTTTAATTTTAATCTGTAGTATAATACGAGTGTACAAATTGAAAATGTTCGAACTACTAAAAATATTGAGCTACCGACCACTTCATTAGACAGTGTACCACACCTGAAGTATCCATTTGAACAGCAATTGCTTACTCAAAACAATACCCGACCCGGTTTGTATTGAGTCGTTTATCATAAGTTTATTTTATTAAAAAAATTTGAAATTTTGTTTTGAAAATTTAGAAAGCAAGAGTCAACAGAGTCAACTTTCACCTAAACCACAACCTGATAAAACAATCAAAGTCGTTCATTTTGGTATTGTATGATGTATTTTTACATTATCCGCAACATTTTTATAGAATTGTATTTATTTAAGAAAATAATGAATTTATTAGTACATAAGTGAAGATTGTAAGACTGTCTAAATTTATGTCAGTTTTTTTGGACTGGCCATATTTCTAAATAAAAATAAAAAGACAATGAAAATTGGTGACCATTTAGCTTATAAATAAATATTCACTTTTGAAAGAACCATCAGTTCAATTTGAAATGTTTCTATTAAGGTGGTTTGGTATTTACTATAATAAAAGATTTTTTTTTATTTATTTTTCTTGCCCAATTCTACCAAATGAATGCCATATTATATAATATTATTTATTGTTGTTTATACACTATATTATTATTGTTAAAATGTTTTATTGTTACACTGCTCGTTAATAATTGACAAATATAAATTTTGTTTAATAAAATTGTTATATAATTCTCAAAATATCATTTAACACACCGAATTTAATTTAATTATACGTATTATACACTATATTAGATTTTATATCAGTGTAAACATTATTATTTATTTTTATACTTTTATAATTTACATAAATATTTTATTATTTATAAATTTTAAAAATATTTTTTTCATTCTCTTGAGTTGCATTATTTATACCATTATTTCAATTCTAACCTAACTTCCTATAATATAAATATATATTTTATATTATATACACTAATAAAACGTGTTAACAGTAAAAGTAAAAAAAAAAAAAAAACATTACTTTATTAGGCACTACACAATTTTACAGGTTTAAATTGGTAAAATAAATTTAACTTAAATCACTTTTTTTTCTTGGCTCCACCCATTTCTTCTAATTGGACTTTCAATGATTTAAGCTCACTATCTGGTATATATTTTAATAATTCAAGTTCATCTGTATGTTTATGAATTGATACTTTAACGCCCACTGGTAACGAATCTTCAATTATTTCAATTAGTAAAGATAGCTTTGTATTGGGAATATCAACTACCTAGAAAACATTTAAAAATTTAATAAGAAAACAAATTTAAATTTTGGTACTATTACTTGTATGTTACGTTCATATATTTGCAACGTATATTGAGCTTCAACATTATCGCTGTTAGGAGTAAATCGTTTCACATTGATCGTTCCTTTTGGCAATGCCCACCTAAAATACCATCACATAACAAACCTTTTAAAATGTTTGATAAAGTATAAAATTATCTAAATATACCCGTCTGACACTTCTATGTCCATATCTTCGGCAATACCATGCACAAATTTTTGAAAGGATTCTAATATAGCAAAATCATAACCTTTCATTTGAACATTCACCGCTTCATATTCTGGAACATCCGGTTTCAACATGTCTAGATAGTCCGGTTCATAAATGCTACCATAATGACAAACGGTTGGCATAGTAGTTTTAAGAGATTTAATATACGAGCCTGATCTGGCTAACTTGACGCAATGTTGCATCTAAAAAGAAAACCAACAGGATATTTTATGAAATATAATAAAGAATTCTGTGGATTATGTCAAAAAAAATGCAGTTTAAAATTAATTATATAAAACCTAATATCTATAAAACGACATAGTGTAGAGGTATTGATAATGATGATAATATTGTATTTTAATATAGTTAACCATACAAGTTAAAACTTATACCATCTTCTCCTTTGATTTCATCCCAATCCCAGTAATTTGGAGTCAGCCACTCTCTTCCTAAACTTTCATTAGCCCAATCTCCCTCTTCACATATTCTTGAGTGTCCTCAAAAATATCATATATCTCATATCATTCTCAATCACATCTAACCACATATTTTTCAGTTTTCCTCTTATGTTTATTTTCAATACCATTTCTACTGCTTTTGATTACTCTCTCCTCATAACATGCCCAGAACAACTCAGTCCATTTTTTATCATTTGTCTACTATTGAAACCACCTTTATGTTGTCTTTTATGTACTCATTCTTTACCTTATCGCTCAACCACTTAAGCAATCTAATCTCTGATACATTTTAATTTTTCTGTCAACTGTACAACACTCCAGTCCATACAACAGTTGGTCTCACCACACTATTATAGAACTTAACTATAAGTGTACTTGAAATTCTTGAATCTTTTATCCACTTTATCCAACCACAATTAATTCTATAGTTCAGAACCTCATGAATGTCACCATTTTTTTTTTATTCAAAAGATCCTAAGTACTTTAAACTCACAACTTTGTCTATGAAGGCTTACTATTGTTAGCTGTCTTGTCCTGTTCTTTCAAACTCATTTTCTGTTTTACTTCTACTTATCCTTAATGCCCTTTCTTTCAAATGCAACACTCCATATCTCAAGCATATTGAAAACTTATTCTAGAAATTCTTCTTTCAAAGCTGTCATCTTTAAATATTATGCACTATGGCACCTCATCTCATCTGCTGCTCACATCTAAGATGGGACAATCTGCCAAAGCTTTTTCATACTAACTACTAAATATTTTATGGTACGAAAAATAATGTTAAAATACCTAGTTATAATACATTTATACATACAAAATTGTACAAAAAAATGTATAATTGTTTATTATAAGTCATGTAAGTTGAATTTTAGGAGGCACAGCCCCCATGGGTCTTTGATGAGTCCATTATTTTAGTAACCTAGTTAAATGGTCTTTTGTGCCTTTGTCACAGAGGAAACACAATAATTATTATTTTAAATTTACATACCAAACATTTTGTTGCAAACATACTCGGTAGATAGCAAAAATACAATATTATTTAAACAATTAATAATAACCAAGAAATAAATTATATCTTATACAATAAAATTTCAAATAAAAACGGAAGAAAAACAGCAATAAGCGTAATTATAATATTGTATTAATTATTGTTTGAACGGTCCTGGGTTGTAAAAATTAAAGAATGTAAAATGCAATGTACCGCTGATACTTGATATCATATCAATAATCCAAGACCGTAATATCATACTAGATAAGAAATATCGAATACTGATACATAGAGATATCGATAATAGTTATGCATGCGTATAATAGATGGTGCTGTGTAAATCAATACAATTCGTTTTCCAACCAATTTCCACGTAAATTACCTAATTGGTAAAATACGTATATCTGATCACCGATAATATACTCATTATTCATAAGGGTAAATTTCCAAAAGTTTTATAAAACATTTTTCGTTCGATAAGTAGCCTACTTATCTAATGATATTTTTTTAGATCCAAATTTTAAATCTGGATAAACATATAGGCAAAGTAGGCACGTGTCTAAAGCTTGGCAATAGTAAAAACTATTTAATTTATTTCTAATAATAAACAATGACAATCCGAAATTGAGCGGTTATAGTGCATTCATCTCCCGTTTAACAAAAAGGTCAATTCCCAAATGGCTCACGTTTTTGAAAACACAAATTCCTTCCCACTTTATACAAACTTAGGACTATCACCAAAAAACGTGTGATTAAAAATATTTCGAGGGCCTTTCATGCAAATTTCCTTGAGCCTTACGTCTTAAACTATTACTAATACCCCTCTACTTTAAAACGTTGTCATCTAAATGCAAGTGGTTATATTCCAAATGTTTATCGTACATTTCGCCAATATTGTTTTTCTTAAAGAAAGATTTACAACCGTCAACCACGTGTTGTACATTTTCACCGCTCAACGTCGTCAACCGTGTATACACATAAAAATTAAATTATCTTCTATATCCTACTTTCCCAACTATCCATCTACAACAGTGGCTCACCATGAGTAGTATCTTTTGTGTTTATTTGAACGGGAATTATATAAATTTAACAAAATAATTTTTTTTAATATGAAGAAACCTAACATTTATTCGGATAGAAATCAAAAAAAAAAGGACATACTTCGCACAGTTTGTGAGCCACTGTTGTAAGTGGAAATTGTAGGTGGAAGAAAAAAACAAACATTATTTTAAAATCAATGTATTTCTCACTCCACTCAGAATTTAAATATAGTCTGTTAAAATAGTAATTATATGAATTTAATAAAATAGTTGGTTTATACAAAAAAACCTAACTCTTTTTTTTGAATGAAAATTTTAAAAAAAGTTTGTTGAAATAAATGGGGACTTAACAAATTTAACAACAATATATATTATTATTTATTAATACTAAAAATTGTAAAAATTTTGATACTGAAAAACTAAAAAACCAATTGTGATTTATTTAACGAGAATTTTATAAATCTAATAATGAGACTTGTTAATCTATAAATTAATAAGAATTTAATTTTCAAATTAACAAAGCTGCCTGTTGGCCATATGTTGACAATGTTAAATTTTATTAATAATTTAATTGTTATTTTTTCTTTCTGTGAAGATACACGTTTTCTATTTTTCATTTTATTTTTATTTTATATAAGCTCGATGCATATATGTAAAACTATAGGTACTAATTCACGTCGATTTCCCGCAATATATGGAACAAAATACTCGTACCCTGGGTTACCTATGTCATTTCCAGACCGTTTCTAATATAATTTTACTCGCAGACGGGCGTTGGTAAATTGAGTCCCAAACGAATTTATCGCTTTTCAAAATCGATACATTGAGGAGTCCCTCGGACAAAAATGAAAGCGGTAAATTTAGTCCTATTTGAATTATGATCAAATACTGATATTTTTAACGATATAAATACATTTTTACGTACATCATACACATTTATCAGTTAATCACACACAGATAGTACGCCATTTCAGACGGAACGCGTTTTTGTAGATTATTATACATAAATGTCGCGTATTAATAATACTTATCTTGTCGTATTTGGGAAATATCGACCATATAAATATATGTGAGACGCAATTTTCTGCCGCATAGTTTTCAAATTTACCTATACAGTATACATGATGCAGTCGTGCACCATCAGTTATTCTAAGTAATATTATAGCTATTATTGCTTAAAAATCATAATAGTATTATATTTTGTAATAAAAGCAAAAAAAAAGAAAATAAAAAAATATTGTCTATTCGAATTTGTGTTTAAAAAGGAGGGTTCCTATTTGAAAAACCATAGTTTATGCTTATTTAAAGTATACAGGCAGATTAGAGGTTAAAAATTAAAAATGATTTTAAAATAAAGCCCAAACGATTCTGCAACGTTTATTAAAAAAACTAGAAACAAATTAACTTAAAATCCTCCAAGAAAATTGCTGGTTCCTGATAAAAAAAAAACCACCTTGTATAAACCCGCACACTAGTATTCTCGTTAACTAAGGTTATTTAATGCGTATTATAGCGATCGCATAGAAACGTTATGTATATAATAAATAATATATATCATAAAACAAAAAAACTTTAAACTATCGCGTCATTATATGTACTGTACACTGTTGGGAAACCAATTGTGTACACAATATAATAATATAATCCGTGCAGTAATCAAATACTGTCGAGAATAAATTACTATAATAATTTACGAGCATATTTAGTATTTACATAATAAATAATAATCCTCAGTAAAAAATATCTATCGGGTATGTAATATTTAGGGTCGTAACTAGGCATTGGAAAACTGCAAGAGGATATTGAATAATCTGAACCTTATTGTTACCTCTTCACCCTCCCCAACAATTATTAAATGTTTATTTGTAGTGATGTGTTATGGTTTAGTAGGTTCTCCCCTAAATTTAGTTTGCACCATCTGATGATTTGGTCTGATGGCTACGGGCCAGGGGTTCACCAGAGACGCATTATCACTAAATGCAAAATATGTATACCTACTTTACATTTGGTGTACGATTGCAGTGCCGACCACCATTCGAGCTGTAGCTCACAGAATATACAAAATTATTACCAACATTTCAAGTCTTTAAACTTAAACCTTTAACAATATTACATTATTTTGGTAATAAATTCGCATATTTTTTAATAAAAAATTGAATTTCATATTGTATACAACAAAAACTCTGTCTATATTATTAGAAGGTACATTGTATGCGAGGTATTCATAAAAGCTACTCCGGAACTCAGGTCTGACAAGAGGGGGAAGTTGCGGGTGAATCAACCCGGGCCCGGAATCTTCTTGGGGGCCCGGTATGTGAACAGAAAAAGCAAAAAAAAAAAATGTATTTACTGAATTTCGAAAAACCCAGGTCCCCCATGAGTATTCCGTAAAACCCTATTCAAGTGCAAAATAAGTGTTCGTAGCACCGTAATGGGTTTAAAAAAATTCCAAGAATTATTTTTGTGTCGTAGATCGAATAGATATTATGGTTAAAACGTCGGAGGGCGGTGCTTTACATATTTTGACATATTTTATATTTTGTTTATCTTTTATTTTGTCATGACAAGTGGATAAATAAAAATATGATTTTAAAATATAATGTTATGTTTTAATTTTTAATTGGAACCATCGAACATGTATGTAAAATACGGGATAAAAAGGAGGGCCTGTATGTTAGTACCCCCGGGTCTCAATTTTCTCTCCACAGCCCTGTGGCGGAACTTTCGAAGATTATTCTGTTACCAATAGTAAATAATACTGTACTATAATAATATGTACCGATTTTGTTATTTTCAGTAATAAACATATCACAATTAATTAATAGTGTCCAGTAGGTACCAAGGACGCCCACAGTGGGGGCAAAAGGGTCTATTGCCCCCTGGAATTTTCTGGTATATGTCACTGTATACCACGCATAATACCATTTTACCATAATAATATAAAATATTTCTAGAATAAAACATTTTCCCCGTTTTGCCCCGGGTGGAATTTATACTGTATGCACGCTTGGTGATATGTATTCTTTATTCATACTTAACAAAATTGTAATACTCAAAAATTTTTTATTCAGAGTAAATACATATTAAAACCAACATCTTTTTCTAAATCTAACAGTTACCATATATTTAAATAATTTCCAAAATACGACTAAAATTTTGTGTAAGTAAAATTATATAGTTATGGAATCTAGAAAAAGGGGCAAAAAACCCAAAAGTTTCAAATTAAATTATGGAACGTGTAATTTAAAGCTACTAGATCGAAATCATCAATACTGATGGCCATAGCAATAAGTATACAATAATTGATTTTGACTTTTAGATTCTGAGTGGAGCGAAGAATGTATTGATTTTACAATGATTGTTATCTTTTATTTCTTTTTCTGTGGAAAATCAATTTTGCTCAGATTTGCAATGATAGCATTTTTTCTGAAAGAAAATCTGCCTGGGGTTGTTCTAAGCATATCATTTTTTGATTTTCCCAGAAATTTTCTCAATAAATTGGAAAAACCGGGATAAACAGAGGAAAATATATAATTCGTAATAAATTAGGTATTAATAAAATTGTATGACTTGTGATTGACAGTCAAAATAGAAAACGCGACGAATTATAAAAATTAAATGAAAGATGAATGAAGGAAGAAATGAATCGCCTCTATCGTTCCCTCCCCCTTGGATCCATACCTGCTCTAGGTATTTGCTCTAGGTAATTTTATTATTTTAAGGTTAGGTTTAACATTTTTTAGTACACAAAGCTTCTGAGAACTTGGTGCAATAGTGTGCACGTACACAAGAAAAAAAATTCGAGGGTATCCATAAAAAATGTACAATAATCAATGTTAATAAAAAAAAATATTACATTTTTATAAATAAATTACGCAACTCTTAATTTTCGGGAAGGGGAGGGTGAACCTCAAAACCTCTCTATATACATGTCTGGTTTCTACAATCCTAGTCAATAATTTGATGAAATATATTCGCTTGAAATTAATAAACGCTCAAAATACTCTTAGGCTCAATATTATTATATTTGCATCACAAATTTGTTGTAAGTAAACACAAATATTTATTTGAACATATTTTTTATAATAAATTAATTTGAACTGTTTTGTGCTAAAAAATATCCATTATATATAATGTGACTTAACCCTTCCGTTCCTGGCCTACTCGTAGGAGTAGGCAACTTAAATTCAATACCTACTTTAGATGTATTTATGGTCATATCATTAATTATAATACATACAAATATTCTTTAACATCTATACATACAATATGAATAATAAATAATATTCCCAGATCGATTGATAAACAATATACAAATTAAACATAAATTAAAGCCTGAAAAATTACCAAAAAATAAATGAGAATAAAAATTATATTTATTCAACTGTATATTTGTACACAAGTGGACAATGAAAAATTACAAAAAAAAAAAGTAAACTATTAAAAAATTATTGTGCTTTGTATCATGTTGTTCAATATAGGTAGACGGTATAAAATAGATCTCGTGTGATTTTGCATTATATTATTAACTTAATAGTGAAAAGTATGAAACAATCATAAGCTCCACCAACTACAATATGTGTCAGTGACATCAAAAATTAAGACTACAGCAGACGAATGCTATAATCAATTTATTGAAAATTGTACGGACGTCTTCGGCTGACGACAATTGGTACATTTCTGCAGTCCACTTCTATGCATCGAAATTTGTTGCAGATAAAGTCAGAACTCATATTATGTATATTGTGCATTTTATTTAATCGTAATGAAAACCGTATAATCTTATGATTTTTATTAAAACCTAAGCATAAAAATTAATTTAAAATTATACTAAAAATACTGAATCATTCCAGATTCTAGGTATCCACTCAGCGTTCATTAAAAATATGTTGTCAAAATGTATTGTTTCTTCTATCGTTATTTTTCTTCTTATGTCACGGCGGCTACAAGCACAAAATGACGGTCCTCTACCTGGTGCTCCACCTGTCCCTCCACCTACCCCAACACCTGACAATCCACCTGCTACACCTAACACTTCACCTGACACAACACCTACAACACCTAACACTCCACCTGCCACACCACCAGTCACTCAGCAAGAACCTTACGTAGTATCTATTCTAGGAACTATCCCCCCTCCTCCTCCTCCTCCTCCTCCCCCTCCCCCTCCACCATCTCCTCCTCCTCCTAGTATGGGTAATTTATTGGGTAGTTTTTTTACTTTATAATAATATTAATAACTATTTAAATTTGAACCAATGTCGAAAATCAGATTCATCATTTATTTATTAATACATTAAATAAATATTAAATGTATGATGATTTATGTTGGTATATTTAAGAATTACTATGGATAAAATAAAATAATTATTTATTTGTGTTAATTATCAATTTGTATTTCTTCTGACAGTATATTAATATGATCCTGTGCTTAATAATTTATTATACTGTGGTATTCTTTTATGTAACCTGTTAACTTATTTAAGTGTTATTAATACATTTTAAAATAACATATTGTTATTGTAACCAAATATGTATTATGTACACATAATGCACAATAATATATTAAATAATTAATTAACAAATTAAGAGCTGATACTGTCGATAGCTGCACCACTATTAGTTGTTAGGTACACGTGTAAAGTTGGAAAGGTAAGATATATAAAATTATTTAAATTATGTCCGTAAGCAACGATTACCCATTGCTAACGTAAAATGATTCTAATGCAAAGTTCGTTTATATCTGATTTTTAAGGCCGTAATATTTATGATTTTCTTCAATATTTAATCTCAAATTATATATATAAAAAGAAAACAAGTTGATATTGGAGACGGATGCAGCTACTGTTGTAGGTGAATAGTAAAAAAGGTGGGATAAATAAAGTTATTTAATTTGTAATTGTAGTCAACGATAAACCATTAATAACGAAAAACGATTCGGAACAAAGTTTGGTTATACTTGTATTAATATTTACGTTTTTCATCAAAATTTAATTTTAAAATTTATAAAAAGAAAAATAAATAAATACTATATTACACTCAATTCTTTTTGCGACCATTAAGTATGACTTATAAATTATAATGAACATTTGTCAAATTTTCAAGCATTTCTTTTTAGCCTAATAATTTTATCCACAGAGTATTTATCAAATACAAAATACGACAAAAACTCTTAAAATTAAAATGTCTAAAATAGCTCAAAAATGGATCAAATGTATTGAAAGATTTACCACGCCTAGAAAACGAAACTTTAAGTTTTCTGTCAAAATGTCAATTCTTTACAAATATTTTTAACTGCATAAGAACAAAAGAACAAAAATGAAAATAATAAAACCATTATTTCCATGAACTTTCTATTATTTCTACGTTTTTTTCCGGTTTTGTTCAATTATTAAAAAAAAAACTTTATTACTCATCAACTAAAAAGAAAAATTTAACAAAAAATTTATCTTGTCGCTTTTCGATTAAAGTAATGTCTCTGGTAGAAATCATAAAGCGTACAAATTTAAAATAATGAAAATTTAACGTCGTAAATTTGTTCGTTTTCATTTTTCGTCGGTTTATGAGTTTTTCCAACGAAAATGAAAACTACTAAGAAAATCGAAAAATGACCTACTTCCTTAGTAACTAGATCCAAAATGCAAAAAAAATGGTCTTGCAGCCTTTTTTTTTTTTTTTTTTGATTAAAGCATTAATTCTGATAGAAAACATAATACGTAAAAATTAAAAGTAATAAAATCGATAACGCCTTGGCGCGCCGCCGTAAGTATTTTACAGTTTTCTGATTATTTTTTTTTCTCAATTATTATAAAAATCTCTTGAAAAATCAATAAGTTACTACTTCAATGTGTCAACTAGGTAAAATTTCCTTTCAGGAAAGGTGCTACACATCATACAACAGAGCAAGTTTTCTATTCCAAAAGTTGCTCACACACAGACACAGAAACAAAACACATATCATAGTAAACTGTAAAATTAATAAATCCCTCGCGGCGTCGTACGCTCAGAATCTAAAACCATAAACTTAAAAGGATAATTTTTGTGTACTTCATTATAATGTCGTAAGAAGCTTCAAAATTAAATACCTTTCAATTTAAAAATGTGTTTTCGATGTTTTTGTATTAAATTTGTCTCCTTTTTTTTTTTTTTTGATTCAGAACGTGAGTGGAACTATTGGTTTTCCTATGATGTGTGATTTTATTTTTAGATTCGGAGCGTAGCGACCGTATAGTGTTGCACCTTTTCTGGAAGGTCATTTTCTTCAGTTGATGTGTTGGGGAGTTCATTTTTCGATTTTCCGAGGTGTTTTCAAAATAGTCGGGAAAAACTCGAAAGAAAAGTATAGGAAGTATAGAAAAGTATAACACCGTGGCGTTACCGATTTCATTGTTTTTAATTTGTGTAATTTATCACTTATGTTTTATAGCATAAATATTTTTCCAATAAAAATATTAATAATTATATATTTTTTTTATTGAATTTTTAATCTAGTTGGTGATCAAGAAAGTTATTTTATGATTTTCTTTGTAGTTTTTTTAATAATTGAACAAAACCGAAAAATACGTAGAAAGAACGGGAACATTTACGAAAACAGTCCATTTATTATTTTAAATTTAGTTTTTGTTATGTATTTCAGTTGAAAATATTCGTAGAAATTTGAAATTTGAATCGAAAACTTATAATTATTTTTTCTAGACGTGATATACTTTCAGAACATTTGAGCAATTTTTTACCATAATATACTAAACACTGTTGAGAAAGCAATACTATTAACCGAACTCCGCTCAGAATTGATTTTTCATTAGCAATTGATAACCGTCGCGCAGAGAATAGATAAACATTAAACTCCCGTCTATGTTCTACCTTCTCAATTTTCCATCTACAATAGTGGGAGTGGCTGCACCCGTCTTCATAATCCTAGGACAGATTTTTTTTCCTGCTGTTTGTCAAAGAAAATACAGTGAGCTCAAATATACAGTTAACAAAAGATAGTACCGATCAAATAATACCGTATCATTATCGTGATAACAAAAGAAGTTGTAGTAATAATAAGTCAAAACGATATTTGTGTTCCAAATCAAATTAAGCAGTATGCCGAGAAAGTAAGCCGAGTGCACGCGTATATATACCTGTAGTATAATTAGCGTAATAGCCCCTCAGATGCCCCAAGTAACCCACTTATTCGGCGTTAGAATTTTTAATCAATGAAGTTTTATTGGAAAATGTATTAGTTAAACTTTCACAATGAACCCAATACGTGTAAGTGGATGTTTACACTCGAATAATTTAAACGTTTACAAGTGGTTGAAATTAAAAAAATAATACAAATTTAAAACTTGTTTGAAAAATACATCTTATCATTATACAAATATTCAATATGTGGTAATATCGTTCGAGAACCGAGATATCGACGTTTAAAATTTTCTAACTCAACCTTTTCTGATTAAAAACAAAGATAAGAAATATACAAGTTGATAACCAGTGTCCAGCAGAGTTTCGGGCGTTGACATAATATTATGCCCATGTTTTCGACTCAAATCACAGATATATTAAAAAAATGTTGTTCTACATAACTGTGATTCAAATAAGTTCGGTTGTTTTATTTTCGGCCGAAATAGTATGTATAGTCGAAAATATTTTCTGTTTAATTCATGTTCGGCTATCATATTATAGCCTTCAGCCTCTTGTTGGATTTTAGTTACTTTTATTCTGCGTCGCACAAACTGCGGTTTGTCATTCTGAATTATTACTGATAATAAATAACTTATATTTTAGTTTTTCATTGTTGGTCATGCTGATAAAAGTAAAATTGTAGGTTATTAAGAACATATTGCCATTATTTTGTAATACATAATAATATGGTTTTATTATGTACACTCCCGCCATTCCGCTTTTATTTTGTGTTTTGTTAAAGTCCATGTGAATTTGCTATTTCATCGTAGTCTGTATGTTTAAGGTTATTTAGTCATCTGTATTTTATTAATTTAAATTTAAAATGTTGCGTATTAATAATTTTTCTTGTTTCATTTAATTTAAAGATCAAAAGATATTTTATATTTTCAAGTAGGTAATCATAAACCTACAGTAATACCCCTCGTAAAATATATATATTTTCTAAGTCATTTTTTTCTGTAGTTCTGTACCTGATAATTAATTATGCCTAATAAGAACCCGTTTTTGAAAACCGGAAAACGGAAGCGTAGGAATAGGAAGAAAACGGAAAATACAACGAAACCGGATGATAAACCTTTTTGTCCACGATTGATGGTCAGATACGACCAATCTGAAAATTCAACGATTGGCTATAAAGTAATATGGGTATGTAAAATGTGTATGAAATGCATACTGCACGAGGACGCAGTTTTAACTCATTTACAACGGTGCAAGATACAATTCAAAAACAGAACTACTTTTTATGAACCCATTAAATCGTAAGTTATAGTATTTTTCTGTTAGGTAATTTATTGAAATGATACCTACTTATTTTATTTTGTATGTTTTCAGTGCTGAAGTTAAAAATACTCGTTACGTTTGTCGGCTTTGTGATGGTGTTTTTTCTCGTAAAGTGACATTATTAAAGCACATAGAGAAACATGAAAATAACAGTGATTCAGAATTGTACGAGTCTGAAAGTGAATTTGTGGCTCCTACGAAGCGCCATAAACCAAATGCCTCTTTACCAATTTCATTGGGAGGTCATGATCAAAAAGCATCGGCATCATCAGTAGATCATAATCAGATTGCAGAAACACCAGTACCCAAACGCAAAGCTAAAGCAAAGACATCTCAATCAGTATCAACCGAAGGTCATAATATCAAATCTACATCAGCATCATCGTTGGATGTAAATACTCTGGAAGTCAGTGAATTTAATGATGAAACTACTGTTGAAAATTAATTACAATAATTATATTTATCACTTTTATTATTCATTATTATTATGATTATGATTATTATTATTTAGTAAGTCTATAAATTTAAATTTGACACACTTTTGACTAGGGTTTTATTGCGTCTGATGCAGGGGTGGTGGTTTTTTTCAATAGCTGTCCGTGATTGGAAATATAAGTAATTCTAATATTCTTTTTTGTGTTATTTCTTAATTTCATTAGTATGAGTAATGCATTTAGATATTTTAGAGTTTATTTTTGTGTTAGTTAAGTAGTAACTTAGTAAGTTAACTTAACACTTAATTTATTAAATTAAAATAAATTATATAGATTTTTTTTTTTTTATGATACAGTAGGCAGCGATTATCTGCAACGATTTTTACTAGTAATTATTAAAAATTTCTAAAATTTAATGTGCATAATTTTATTGTCACTTATACCATTTTTGGATTATAACAATTTAATATTTAAACCGGAGGCACAGAAAAAAGTTATTATCTACAGGTGTCCCATGGAGATAGGAAAAATAAATTGTAAGTTTTATTCAATATTTTTAAGTTTAATTTTTTGAGAAGTTGCAAAATCATTGCACTATGATTATTAAATTTTATATATTTTTTTAAATCTAAATAAAAAATATATTTAAAAAAAATAATCCAAGATCCGTTTATATATATTTATTTTGAAATACAATTTTCAGATGTTCTATGTGACGAGAACATTTCTGAGACTTAGTTATATGTTGTACAAAAGTAACGAGACTGATTTTGTTGTATGGTTTAGAGCAGTGTGTGTGCAATCCAGGGTTCGTGACCCCTAAGTTGATCTCGAAATTTTAACAGGCGGTCACCAATATTAAATATATTTGTACACCAAATGGAAGTTATAAATACATACTATTTTATATAATATAATATTTCTTGTACTGTCGGTGACCGTATCAATCGTAATATGTCTTATTATTATCTTAATATTGCATAATAACTTCTATTGAACCACGTAGTATATGGGTTATCTTTTAAATTTAATTCAAAATTATTATTTTCTTTCGCTTCAACTTCTTTATGTGAAATAGCATTTTTAACACTAGCAATAATAAAAAACAAACATTGCTCCAGATTAAATTTAAAAATAGATTTAAGAGTGGCAGTCTCAAATATCAAACCCAATTTAAATTCAATCATGTTTACAATTTATGTACAAGAGTCAATAAATCATGTAATTTTATAATTTTAAATTATTAAAATTTTGATTAAGTATAATAATAACAATTTTAGTAATTATTTTTGTTTTGTATACAAAAACTTTAAAAAATTAAATTAAACAAATATTAAAATAGCCTAAAGTTTTAAATTTAATTTATACTACTACAATTAATGTATACATTAAGTAAATATATGTATTATACATTTAATGTGTAATGTTAGGTCAAAGAAGATTGCGCACCACTGGTTAAGAGTGTTGGGCAGTAGACAGAAAAGTAGAACAGTGATGAGAATACTTGGGTGGGAGAGTAGATTGACGAGAGAAGATGACCAAAAAAGTGGTTGGATGAGATTGATTATGATATGAGGGAAGCCCGTGTATGCAAGTTGAAAGATCGGATTAAATAGGAGTTTAAGACAGGGGGAAGGATGGCCAACCCTAAATAGTTGAAATGAAGGTAAGAAGAAGATTTTTATAAACAATTTTGTTTTAAATTTATTTGGTACTGGTCTAGTTGACCTCTGTCCAGAAAGTATTTCCCTGCCATTCAGAATAAGTTGACACCCGTCATTTACATCACCCATGTTTTCGATGTTCTAATCATTTTGTTATAAAATGTATTTATTTCATTAAAAAAGGGTATGAGAATTATACATTATTAGATATTTTAAGAATAATGTTTAGTAAAATCCGTGTAGTAAAATTAAAGATATAAGATAGGTATAACAGCGGGTACCGTATATAATACTATAGAGTATCAGTTATTTAGTCGCTGTTGTCGAAAATATTACAGTAGAAAAATTAATTCCTAACAAATGTTTAGTGATGTGACCGATGATTCATTGACAATAATTTTTCTGCAAAACGCAAGAATTATTCATAAGACAAGGTCTTGTGATAGTGAATACAGAATGGTTTTAGATATGCAAAGGAGTCGGTGACAATGTCATTTAAGATCATGTCAGTCAAAAAAAGGTGTTAAGACCAATAAGGTAAGGTAAAGTTACCAACCAGTACCATTTATTCTACAATTATTAAAGTTTTGAAAAATGTAAATTTCTCTCATTGCCACTTCTTAATAATAATTTTTTGTATTAAGAATTTTATTATTTTGGAAAAAATGGTGAATCATTTGATATTACTTAGTAGTGGTAATGAAAAAAATTTAAATTATCATAAACTTTGAAGAATTTTTAGAAAATTATGACACAATATTGGTTAACATTTTTTTTCAACACTAACATTTCTATTCAAAATAATTGTATAGAACGGTTCTTGAATTTTTTTTTTATTAGAAAAATAAAATTAAGAATAAAAGAGCAATAGTAATCAGGTCTCTTTCAAAATTTGAACTTTTGATAATGCCAGTTGTTAGTGTAGAAATGTGCACTCAGTATTGTCGTTTGTGCACAAAACCTTATTGAATTATTCTAAAAAACAAATTAGGAGAGGCACTATTAATATCACACGTATATTTAATGTTGTGTTGTACTCAAATGACAACTGATTTTACTACTACTACTACTACTACAACTTTATAAATTAAGGTGGGCCACTTAATCGGGGGTGTTCTTATCTTTTACTTAAATAAAAATATTGTGATAAATGTGAAGTATAACAAGATATGACGTGAAACCACTACAACATAATTAATAAATTAAATAGATGTTAACATAACCTATATAATAATAAATAAGTGGTGTTTTGTTCTTTTTCTACAAATTTGTTTATTTATATTAAGTTCCAAAATTATCCGTTTATATAGCACTAAGTACAATACAACATGTATATTTATTTATTCATCTTTTCAAAATGATAATAATGAGTGCCATAATTTTTTATGTGCATTTAGACTGGTGAACTGGACTGGATACACATTTCTATACTGTCCAACTGGCATTATTAAAGATTCAAATTTTGAAAGTGGGGGGACATTGAAATGAATCTGTAGTAATCATTTAAAAAGGAAAAATGAAGACATATTGAAAAGAACTAAAGGTATTTGTTAGATATCCGTGTGACACCCTTTATATTGCATATAGTTTAAATGTTAAACTATTTTAACTCATAAACGGTATCTCCTATATTAGATCTATAAGTATCAAAATGTTAAGGAAATATTATTTTTTTTCAATCTGAGTTGAGAAATGAGGTTGCTTTTGAAAAATCAAAAGTTATTGCTCATATAAGGTAAATATAAGAAGTAGATATGAAAATTTAAAATAGTTTTAGAATAAAGCTTATACAATCTCAAAATTATTAAACCAAATTAATTTAAAATCCCTTGATCATGAAAAATTAACATGTATAGTATATAGCATATAGCATATTGCAGTTTTTTTTATTTAAAGTTATTTATCTTATTATTGTCACAAACTTAAGATAATTCTTATTCAAGTAAAACAAAAAAACTGATAATTTCCAGTCAATCTGCAAAAGAAAGGGGAATGCTCTCTTTTTTTTCTTCTTTATTTGCATATAGTTTTTAGAAGAGAATGTTTGGCATATTTAGTTAATTTTGATAATGTCCAATCCAGTAAATATCGTAACATATTCCTTAATATTATATTATATTTGTTAATATTCAACTTTTAAAATAGAATATTTCTGTTTTTTAGACCATAATGGCGAAAACAGATTATAAGAATATAATATATATTTATATATATTACATTTTATTATGTTTACAGTGAATTAAAATTTTTAAATTGACTTAGAAATAATTATACTCTTGTTATTTATTTATCAAACAATATTACTAATATACATTGGTGAGCAATAATTAATGACATTTCTATTGATTGTCAATATATCGTTATATAATTTATACTAACTAATAAGATGTGAATGAAAACTCTTTTTGGAAAAGAAAATTATTCTTTGGTGGGTCTGGTTTTATTATTAAAACGAAGTTTTATACCTTGGGAAAAAGGAATTTTAATTCATTATCATGATCCTTGATCAATCGAATCCACAACACGTGGCCATTTTGTGATGCAGAAATCAATATAAAAATAGATAAATGATGAGTATAATAATTGGTTGTAATTTTTAATATATATACAGTGAAACCTCCCTTAATGGACACCTTCAAATAGCGGACGTTTTTTTAAGAAACGGGAACATATTCACTATTTATGTATAGGAAAACCTCTAAATAACAAACACTTTTAGATTCCGAGTGTATCGAGGAGAGTTATTGGTTTTATTTAAATGTTTATTTTTTTTTTCTAGTCTGGACACGTTCTTTCCTAGTAAACTTGATCCGGTTCTTACGTGTAGCAACTTTTCTGAAAGCTCAAGTTTTCTAAATTGTCCTCCGTAATTTTTTAATCTTCAACGTTTTTTTTTAAATAAAAGCACTTAAGTGGGAAAAAAACGTGAGAAAATGTACAATTCCACGATTCCATTATTTTGTAAAAACACAGACGACGTTTTCTACCAAAAAAAATGATTTAATCGAAAAATTACAAGACACCTTTTTTGTTGCCTTTTTGATTTAATTTCTTATGGTATCATCGCCAAAACTTTTGAGCTTTTGAGAAATTTAAATTTTTGATAGTTTTTTTGCTGCAATTCAATAATAAATACACATAGACATGAAACTTGATAATAATACTTATATTGGACTTATCTAGAGGAGGTAAAATTTTCAAAATCATCAGATGACTTTTTTACAAACGTTTTGAAATCAAATTAAACGAAAATCGCAAAAAATATTACGGCACTTCAAATTATACATTACCGAACTGCGCTCGGAATCGACTTTTGTGAAGCAAAGGTTTATTGTTGATAAAGATATAAAGACATATATAAATGAAATAACCTTATGTATTCTACCTTCTCAACTTCTCACCTACAACAGTGGCTGCTCCTATCCCCAGTATTAGTTTTTTTTTTTTTAACATTGATATTGATAATTTTTATTGTAAATTAAGAATAGTTGTAGAATATCTAAATAAAAGTCTGCAGTATTAAGTTATCTTTTATTACTATGTATGTACATTATTATACTGTACATGACATATATCTTATATTATGTGTCCATTTTCTGAGATATTATCACATCAATGAAATGTTGTAACTTTGAGATGTATTTAATTAATACATTTAATAAAAATACAATTTCTCCTTCTGATAACAGACATCCCTGAATAGCAGACCAAATTTCAACGTCAAGAGTGTCTGGTATTTAGAGGTTTCATTGTATATATAATAAAAATATTTTAAAACCTTAAAACAACCTCAATACAAAAAATAAATAATCTATTCCCATTATTAAGTTATTTTAAATTAGGTTAAGTTAGTAAATTTTCATATTTTTCAGAACCGATCAGCAGCAATCTTATGTATGGCCGACGATGTTGCCACATCTTCTGTATTGGATTTTTCTCTTGGGTTCCTCACGCACAAGACCCATATCAAGCAAATACCACCATTAACCAGTAAAGAATTAGAGATTTTGAGTACACAGAAACTTATGTACACTAATGCCCTTTCCGCAAGTTCAAAATTTAAATTTAAAAAATGTAATCGATATCCTAATGATTGTGGTACTGGAGCAAAGGTTGTGGCCAAGTCCCGAATACACCGTGATGAAATCCTCCGTGATCTTCGTGGCAGACTCTGTACAGTTAATGAATCATTTATCAAATCATCAGGAATTGATTCTTTCCTTGTGCAAAGTACTCGTGCAAAGAACAACAAATCAGAACAGCTTTGGTTAGGTCCTGCTACGTATATTAATCATGACTGTAATAGCAACTCAAAAATATATTCTATAAATAATGACTTTGCTTGTGTGAAAGCAACCAGAGTAATAGAACCAAAAGAAGAAATAACAATTAATTATGGCGACAATTTTTTCTCGAGTGACGAATGTTACTGTGCCACGTGTGAGAAGAACTGTAGAGGCGCGTTTTCTATACACCAACAGTCATCTGTAATAATTTATATTCTTAAATGCAAATAAATGTATTGGTCATCAGATAATTAACATAGTTATTTTTTTTTCAGACTGAATTATCATGCCACACATAATTCTAATTGCTACGTTTTGGTGATCATAGGTATGATATTTGTTTGTGCTTTGTGCAACAAAACTTTCAAACAAATGAACACAATGAGACGCCACTAGAGGGACCATTTTTGTGGTGTCATCTTTAATACATAAATATTATGTCTTATTAATGCAGTATAATTTTTTTTTCATTTATAAATGTGTACAAATAGAAAAAAAATTGCATTAAAATAACCTAATTAATTCCAAATTGACGTACCTATTTAGTAATAGATTAAAAAAGAATTATTAAATAAGCTATTATTAATTTATGTTATACTCTATAAAAGTAAAACCAAAAACAAAAACAAGATGTGCAAATAATATAATAATAATTGTTTAACGGTTTTGAGACTGAGAACTAAGACTATGTTTATTATAATATTGTTAAATTACTTTTTCTGTGTTTTAATTGTCTACACTTTTTATTAATCAAAACTAATATAATTGCTTATTTTCTTCCCATATTGTATTTATAGTTTAAATATGTAATTGGACGACACAATTTTTTAAAATCTATAAATATAACACTTAAAGGAATTTAAAATTATCTTAATTAACAGAAAACAATACTAAGATTTAATTATATTGCAGGATTTGGAAGTTTTATAATATATAAGGTGGCAATGGCAAGAAAATCTTTATTTGAAAAAAAAATTAATCAAATGCAAAATACTGAATTAAAAATAATATAATTTAATCTAAATTTTTATTTTTATTTTCCAAAAAATGAAGTTTTTTGATGTCTAAGTAATATATACTAGAGTACTAGACACATAAAATGTTTAAATCAATGTTATTTTCTATATTTTATATTCCACACAAGATGTAAATTATCTCTATATAATCTGACTATCTTCTCTAATGGGCGGCCATAATCAAAAGCAAAATCAATTTTAAACTTGCCAGAATTGTTTTTAAATATTTTGATTTGTGATGGTAGCTTTCAAATGTTTAAATTAAATTAATTACATCTTCAGATAAATGTACAAAAGTTTTTATATTGTGTAATTATTAATAGGTTGAGTATTTAAATTTTTGAATAGTATTTACAAACCTTGGTAGTACTTGGGTACATATATATACTGTAAATGACAATTCGAGATAAATCTATTTATTCATACCTATTTGATATAATAATGAACAAATAAATAATATAATTAATACATGTGAAAATTAAAATAATCTAACAAAATATATTTAAATCTCGGTTTAAATGAGTCAATAAATAAATAAAGCTTTCAAAGAAAAATTATAAAAACTTTGTAAACAAAATTCTAAAAAATTAACTTACATATTATGTGTAAATTATTTAAATTTATTTGAGAAAAAAAATTGTCCATCTTCCCCAAAAAATATTAAAAATTCCAAATGTTTCTATTCGAATCTGTTTCTAACTAATTTCTAAAAAGGAACAAAATCAAAGGAACTCGTTCCTTTCAAGCACTATCCATAGACCACAGCGTTTTTGTATATTCCCTATCTTGTGCCAATTATTAACGAGGAGAAACATATTTATATTTAGAGAATTAAATATAATGACAATAATAATCGTATATTCATAATATAGGACATTAGATAGTAAATCACTTATATTTAATGTTTTAGTGGAATTATGTCTATTTTAATGTATGGTATTTGGTATACATTTTCCCAAATACACAAGCTTTTAAAGACAATCCTAATGATTAATATTCACTATCATATTTTATAGGTACATACCTATTGAGTAGGTTACTCGGGTTCACAAACAAAACTGATGAGCATTTTCAAAAATAATATTAATTGGTTCTGATGAATTGACATTTAAAAATGATACAAAGTTATAACCTACCCAAGTACCACGGGCAAATTTGGAATTCCAATTAGCAGTATTATAAAATTGTATTGATATTTGATTGAATCATTGAATACTAAAATGAAATTGATTCTTTGTGACAATTGTTTAAGGGGCAATATTTAGGCAATTTCTAATCTCGTTGCTGACAGTGGATCTTTGTGTTAGACGATGTTTCGTAAATGATCATTAGCGGCGTGAGTGCGATTCAATCATAGATAAAACCATTTTTTCATTTTCAATGCGTTTTTAACTCATCTGTTTTGTCATCGTCGTAGCAATTAATAGGTGGAAACATAGGATTTGGCCATAACATTTAATTTATATCGTTGTCGCAAATGTAATTTTGAATTTTAAGATTTATCAGCTGATAACGTCTGTTCATACGGTCATTCAATACATATTTCTCCAGGTGTTTATCATTATTATTTTCACCGTGTAGATTTTAGAAAGTATTCAATATAAATCCAATTATAATATAATTAGGAAAAACAGTTGTTGTGTACATATAACCTGTTAACTGTTACAATTACCGTACAATGTATAATTTAATTTATAAATTGAAATTAAATTCCGTTGGAGCTTAATACGTAATACATTTGAGGTACTATTATATTGCTACATGGTAAACGTGCGGCGCAGTTAACAGGTCAAGGTGACTGACTATGAAGCATGAAAAAAAAAAACAGAAGAAAACTACCTAGATAAAATTGTATTTTACTAAAAAAAAAAAAAAAATGTTTAAAACGTGTTCTTTCGAACAGTGTGATTGGATAAGCGCCCGCCTCTATGGTTCTTGGTCTATATTTTGACGGAAATCGTAAAAATTATGGCATTTCAAAACACGAATAACCAAACTTCGCCCGGGATCGTTTTTCGTCCGGCAACGATATAAACGGATATAAATATGGACATGACAATACAAATGACATTTAAACTTTAAAAACTTGCATTGTGAATAATATATATATATATATAAAAAACCAATATATGCAAACGCGAAAATGTATTACAATAAACACGATTACGACGGTGAACGCGTTATAAAAAAAATGTTTATTAATATTTATCGTACCTAATGGTAATTTTATATTTGTGCGCCGATAACTGAAGTCACGGAGTACTATAGGTACGCGTTAAACAATCGTATCTGTAATGTCGGTAGAACGTACCCTGTAATTTATTAATAATATGTCATCTAAGGGACGTGTGCGTGTCGCGTTTAAAAAACCGTAACGCGCGAAACAAAACGACAGTACGACACTGTACTGTACATAATACTCGTGTCTGTGAAACGACACGATAAGTTGAGAACCCCTCAGTTCTGAAATTTAAATTTCAAGTCTATGCAGTAAATATCCGAAATAGTATAAAATCGTAGTACCTACTAATACACTGATACAATCGTAATAGGTAACCGTAACAATTGGCATTCGTGTAGTACCTAATTGTGTGTGTGACAATATAGTAAATCACAATTTACCAGTAGAATTCTTTTTTCAGTCTGACAATTGGCTATTATATTTTCTGCAGCAAAAATCATTCCAGTAGGTGGGTACTTAAATAAAATTGTCTAATGTACACCGTGAGTTCTTATTCACGATCAGTACCGTCAACTTCAGATCCCAAATCCAATGCCTTCAAAAATTACTCAATTCATTACATACAAATAGATTAAAAATTTAAAAAAAAAATACATATTATGTATGATAGGTATATATAGGACAAAATGCATTATTACAAATGATTAAGTATACTAACCATATTCTAAAATATTCGTTATTTATTTGATTATTATTTAGAACATTGATTATGGCTGTTTTCAAGCTATAAACAAGTTTCATTAGTGTACCTGTCGGTGTAAACAAGATTCCTACACTTCTGAGGTTGACAAATTGGGTCTAAAGTTGGCTGTACGGATCACGAACTTACGAAATACATTATACAATTTTATTTACATACTAGAATGATTTTTGCTTGTAGAAAATATAAAAACGTTTAAAAAATGATGACCATAATGAAATATATTTGAATAATATAACTATATTATTAACAAAAGTATTATTATTACCTACTACCAAAAGTAATTACCGAGTACTACCGCCTAATAATAATTATATCAAATTGTTCAGGCAACAATTGATCAAAATTGATTAATTATTGACCAAACAATTGTTAACTGTTGACACATAGGTAAGTACCTACATTATATTATTCATGAATAATATCATAAATAACTATTTTATGTTATTATATTATGTTTTTATAAGTATTGATAAATATAGCATAATTTATCTAAATAGGTGTATCATTTTAAATGCACTTTTACGATAAAAAAAAAAAAAAAAAAATTGAAAACTTCCATAATTTTAGTCGTTTTCCTATTAAAATATATACAAATATTTCTGGTCCTCTATCGGGTAGACAGCGAACCTAACGAAAATTTTAACTTCAGTAATGTTTTTACATTGCTTATTAATAACGCTATATTGCATCTGCTAATGTAATCAACAGATAAGCCAAGTGTTTACACCATTGAGCAGATCAGGAGGCCTCTAACCTTCATTTCGGAAGCCGCATATTTATAAAGCTAATTGTAGCCAATTTATAAAGCTTTACAATGTAAAGTAATGTTTATAAAATGAAAACACATTTTTCATTGTAAATCAAATGAAGGAACATTTATTTTTTACACTACACAGAACATTATTGTTGTTTTACTTATGAGTAGAGTGTTAATTTTTTCTGTAAGTTTTTTGAAATCTGGCTGATAACTCGTAAGCGCAGTTCGCCCAAGTTCACTTGAATGTTCATCAGTTAGTTCAGATCGATATTTAGATTCAATGAATTTAATTGGCCGCCGTGTCAATCTATAATAATGACTGTTATGATAACGAAACCGACGGCGATAAAAACATTATCTAACGATCCTAATGGGGAATTATATATATTTATTAATTTTAGTTTGAGCTTGGTTCAAGACCGCACGAAACTTTTTTAAGAGCCGCATGCGGCGATCGTGCCTCGTGACCACCCCTGCCATAGAATAATTACTCAATCATCTATGGTTCACAGTTTACACCTTATTTATCTACCTTGGCCAGTATTTTCAATATTAATACTTTGATGTTATTCTAAACGTTTACTCATAAGTGATACGCTGTTAGTAAGTAGGTACATACCTATTTTACAGAATTTCTGAAAGTCCAATTATCTACGTATGGACGTGTTTAAAAGTAATGTATTGTATTTACATTAATTTATTTCAATAGGAAACGCCAACATGCAACGCTTTTGGTAGTAAGTACGGGAAATCATTTAATTGTTAAAAAATTATGCATTAAATACTTGCAAACCAATAATGATGTTTAGATCAGAGTCTTACCCAAGTGATCGATCTCAGTAGCTATCAGCTGGTAATTTCTTTTAGATCATATACTACGTATATATATGTAATAATAATTTGTGTTAAGTAATTTGGATTAACTATGGCTTTTTTGGGATAGGAAGAAAAAAATGTAAAGAAACGACCATAACATTAACATTGTCAAATGGTGTATGCAACTAGGTAAGTGTATTACAGCAAATTATAGGGCGTGTGACCAACATAGGCACCAAATACGCGTCACGAAGATAGTTCACGTAATTATATGGAAACCACTGGTGTTTCTATCGGGCCAGTGGAACATATGTTTATTATTCTTATCATATAATATTTTAGAATGATAATTATTATCATTCGAATTAATCATTATAATTGTTGTGTAAGAATTGTTAATTTTGTTAAAGAAAATGTTTTTTTTTTTTTTTTTGTAAAATATGAATTCAATTTCTTTAATCATTTGCAATAATAGATTTTTATAAAATAATAACATCAATCTTTGAGTTTTGAATTATTGTGACTATTGTTAATTTTAGTTTTTGTTAGTAATGGAAGAAGACACAGTTGAGTCGAGTGCTTTAAAAGTTAATGCCGCAGAGAATAAAGAAAAAAGTTAGTAAATAAAATTATCTTAATACATTATTTAATGGTTAATAACAATTTAAACTTGGTACTTATCTGAACTATAAGTTTATCTACTATTTTTGTTTACTGTACCAATTATTTAAATGTCACTTTTAATTTAGGTAGGTGTCATTAATGCTAATTATGTAACATTTTTATTCAAATAATTGATTATTTATTGAATTTTTAAACTTTTTTCTTAACGTATGCTGTGTTTTTTATGAGTCATATTATACATTTAAATTATTATGTTAATATATTACTCCAGGGATTGTCATCTACCCCTCAATCTTTCTAGGAATATTGGTTGATCGTAATAAAAATTAATTTTACCATTATTCGGTCTTTCGCGTTGTAAATAATCGGATAATAAAATATTATTTTTGTAATCTTCAGCACTTATGATACCTTGGAATTTTCGAAACATGCAAATACACAAATCTACGAGTCAATACTCATATAACTTCATTTTTTGGTTCAATTTGGCCATGTGAATCTACATTTTCGAGTATAAAAAAATCGAAGAACAAATATCAGTCAAGAATGAAACAGAAATTCGGATTCAAGTTTATGAGCAACTGTTTCTAATTACACCCTAGAATTCTCAAAATGTGCAGAGAATCAATGTCAAATATCACATAAGATATAAAAAAAATGTTTACAGATTGTTTCCATTAAAATTAACTTCAAAAAAATGTAGGTATACAGTAGAATTCACTTAATGAGGACACCGCATAAAGGGGACAACCACTGAATGGGAATAAATTGGCATAGTCCCGAAGTAATGTATTAGTTTTAAGCAATTTAACTTTGTTTATTGGTGATAAACTATCAGTTATAAGGAACATATATATTTATAAATACCTATTTTCTTATCGAAATTGCTAAGAGAAGTTTGTAAAATAAGGTAAGTGATGCTGACAAAGACAATGTGGATTCAGTCAAAATTACAACTAGAAAAGCAGAAAAGAGCATTGATCAGTTGAGATTATATTTCATGCAAAATGGAAAAAAAAATGCCCAGACAACTTCACTAGATGTTTGTCAATAAACAAAATCTTAATAAATTACACAAATGAACAATTTTCTGCAGCCTATCAAATTTTAAATTGATTATGCATGCACATATTTTTTACAAAAATGATTTGGTTTATCAATTAATTTATAATATATGTGTATAATAAATCAATCAATTAATTAATTAATACTACTACTACTGTTTAATAATACTTCTCTTAATATTTTGTAAAAAAAGTTATTATTTATGTATGTAAGTATATGCACTTTAATGGTTTTTTCAATTTTCTTTGTTTAATCGGTTAATTGGGACAGTCAGATAATGGGGACAAATAGGTTACTGCCCGATGTGTGCCCGTTAAGCGGATTGTACTGTATATGTATAGTATATACCTACAGTGTAAACTTACTCTATACCTACTGAATGTATTTAAAAATATAAATAATATTACCAAAATTTAAATTATTAGAGGTTGACTATCTTAATCTAAGTCAAGACTTAAAAAACAATTGAATGTTGTTCACAAGTTGGAAAAGGTGGGCGACCCTTGTACTACAGTATACTTTTTATTGCCACTATATGTTTTTAATCAAGTTTTGCAAATCATTACACTTCTAAAAATACTGAGTATTCAATCCAATCCTAACCATGATTGATTGAATTCCTTCAGATTTTCCTATATTAAGAACTCCCCATCTTCTTTGTTTCCCCAAGGAAACTTAGCAAAACAGTAAGTGTGTAAAAGAGACTGTAAACGCTTAAAATGTATTATTTATTTTTTTCACATCATGTTCAATATAATATTAAAATATACCAAAGTACATTAGAATTGAGGATAAAAATGTCCTTGACTATAGACCACACAAGGAATAAAAAGCTCCAGGAAAGGAATAGTTATTGGCACTTTAAGAAAAAAAAATTATTTTTGAAAAGGCCTGGAAAATAGCCACCCGATTATAAATTAATGTAATGTATTAAAAAAAAAAAAAATTATATTTGTTGTTTTTATGTGTATAATAAACCACCTAATATAATCTATGTTTTTAATAAATCTGTTTTAGAACATTTGTAGTAGGTAACATTATTTTTCATTGCTATTAAAAAAAAATCTAAAGAAAAACTTTAAAAAAAATATTTTTAAAACTTTCAATTACAGATTCATTTTTATTTCTCAATAGGTATTAATTTACAAAAAAGAATTTATTTTCTTAATATTTTTTTTTACCAGGGCTATTTTTTCCTATTACTGGTACATTAATGTATATGTGTAAGCATTTAATATGATTTATTGATTTAAAAATTATTTTAATTTTAAATATTTATTTGTTTGTCTTAGTTGAGATATTGTTAAAAGCCACTGGTAATGCACCGATTCTAAAAACAAAAAAATGGATGGTTGAAAAAGAAAAAACTGTTGCTGCAATAATTGAATTTTTACGAAAACTGTTGAAACTAGATTCATCTGATGCTTTAGTAAATATACAGTACAAATTTTGTTTATAACTACTTTATTTTGTATAAACCATACATAATTATTTTAGATTCTGAGTTGAGTAAGGAATGTATTTGTTTTAAAATGTTTATTTTATTTATTTTCTGTGATCAACTTTTCTACCAGTACTAATTGCTCCAATTTACAATGATAGCATTTTTTCTGAAAGGAAATCTGACTGAGGTAGTATTTCAATTCAATTGGAAAAATCAAATTACCCAATAAATGGGAAAAAACATAAGAAAAAAAGGTTTAAAATATATTATAAAAATATTATTAAAGAAAATATATAATGCATTATGCAATTTTGTCATAATATGACATATGTATATATATATATTGACAAAGTAGTACTATTTAAGTATTAACCAAACTCTGCTCAGAATCGTTTTTTGCTAACAATGGTTAATTGTGTACAGTTTTACATTTAATTTCCCCTCTACCTTCTCAACTTATCACATCCAACAGTGTTCCCCCTTGTGCAAAACATGTTAGTCTTTTTATTTTTATATTCATTGAGAAAAAAGTCAAATTTATTAACAACTCAAAATATTAAATTATTAAATGTTACATTTATTATGATTATAAATAAATTAGAGTTCTTTGCAGTTTTTTTAAAAAATATATATTGCTAGATTTACAAATTTTAAAAATTACAATTTATTAATTCTTATATTAACGGGTTTTTATGGGTGCAATATACTAAAAAAACTGTGTATATCAATTAATAAAACATAAAAAAATATATATTATTTTTATGTCTTTGTAGTTTTTATACATAAACCAAGCATTTGCACCATCACCCGATCAGACGATGAAAAACCTATATGATTGTTACAGCACAGAAGGTCGTCTTATATTGCATTATTGTAAAACTCAAGCTTGGGGCTAAAATTAAACATTCACAGAATATTATATTTAAATTTTTATCAAATAGAATAAGTTTTTTTTTTCTATTTATTATTAGTTTATTTTTAAAACTGTTTAATATGTACACATTTGTTTGATAAATAAAACTACTTATTATTGTTAATTTAATGTACCAATGTATAAATCCTAGTTTTTAAATTACGTATTGTATTTAATTTATAACAACACATTTAAGCACCATAGGTTATGTGATCTTTACACTTTTAATTTAATATATTAAAACAAACTCAGTTATAAAAATTTAATAATGTCTTTTTAGTTGCACAATGAAAACAGTCTAAAACGTCACATGTTGCCATACAAAATAAATAAAACAATCTAAAACGGACCTCCAAGGTACCAAAAATTTATAATCATGATAGCTTTATTTTTTACAGGCAGATTTTATTGTAACTTCAAAGGTATTTCTAAAATTGTTATTTTGGCTTATAAGAACAATTTATTTATTTCCCAATTAAATTTGTTTACCAAAACTCCTATATAAGACATATGACAATATCACATTAGTCTTCTAATGCCTGATCACAATTTCATGAGTGCTCAATGGCCATCATTTATTTATCAATCAGTCCCTTTCAATTCTGGTACCAAACTGTCCACTTATTTTTAGTTCCTATTCTATTCTATTTGAGAGCACGTAAAATGTTTGAAGATATAGGCTTGGAACTGTATTTTTGGATATAGCCCTCCTATTTTAAATTAGTAACAATAATTCAGAAAGGTAAGTATTTGCTGGCTGCTGTAAATAATTTCTCAGTACAATATTTCAGTTGTTTGGTTATCAAATTGTGAATATAACTCAAGTTTTCATAAAATTAAAAACTACTGCCAAGAATTTAGGGCTATTCATACATCATTTAACCATTCACAAAGCTTTAGTATATTTCCGTTTAATACGCTAAATCATCAAAATAACAGTATTATCTCAAACAGTACCAGTAAAGAAGACTTTGATTTTACTCTCAGGATTGATGAAAAAGTATCCAGAAAACATATTTAAATATACCAATTTGTGATCACTATTTAAAAATACTAATAATAAAACAAATGTGTATCTAAATTTTGATAGAAGACTTGTAAATAATAATACATTTTTTATTGTTTTATTATTTTAAAATATACAGTATTCTGCAGATTATCTAAGAAGAGTATACCAAGATTTGTCTTCATCATAAATGTGTATACAGTTGTTCGTAGTAAAAAATATGGTTGTATAGTATATTATATTCTAAACTCTGTGCAGAATACATTAATAATACACTTTTTCTATTTGAAAAAAAAAAAATGTATTAAAAGTATAAGCAAAGGATTTGCAGCAAGGGATCATTGATTTCCTTGATCATTTTTTAGATTCATATATAACAAAATTAATTTAACACATTTGTATAGTCAAATTGAATTCTGATAAAATTTAATAAATATGTATACAAAAAAGGGTTTTCTAACTGTTAACAATTATTACTTAAGGCAATAATAATGATTGTAACAATATTTTTTTCTCAAATTAGTAGCATAGTAATAATAATAATAAAACAAAAAAAAAATATACATAATAATATACAAATACAAAAAAAAAGGATAAAAGTAAAAATGCGTAATATTTATACAATGTTAATACTGGACGATTATTAATAGTGAATCGAGAATTTAGGTATGTAAACCCAGTTAAAGTTTTGGGTGTAAACCCATCATAATAATTTAATTTTTATTTCCTTACAATTGTATTATGAGTTTACCGATGACAATATGCTTGGGAGCAAAATCAGTCGTTAGTCAACACTGACTGCATTAATATAACAAAAAAAAAAAAAAAATAAAAATATAATATATTATATACACCACTTGAAAATAAATTTAAAAACAAGAAAAAAAAATAGTTTTCGTTTAAAAAATGTAAACATGTGAAATAAACAAAAGGGGGGGGCGAACCGCGTTCTCTTCAGAATAGGTTGGCGGCGATATTATTATTGACTAGATAAATAGTATTCCTCGAAAAATTGGCAAAACTCTTCAAGTTTCCACTTTAATAGAGCTTGATGGCGCCAAAGGGTCTTTCGAGATGGGTGTATGTAAATTTTCGGTTGACTGAAATGAAAAAAAAATTATTACGTAAGTATGTTAAATCGTTTAACGTGTTTTTGATTAAAATATTTACCTCTATGAGATGGTCGAGCCCAAATAGGAAACCCTCTTCGTGGTTGCCAGGCACCCAAGGTTGTCTATGGGTGAGTACCGTGTTTTCGGACACATGCCGTGTCTTGGCGAAATCAATCAGCCAGGCGCCGACCTTTGTGTCGTCGTAGATAACCAAAATACTGCTACCCACGATCTGATCACGGATACATTTTCGTATTACACATACGGTCGATCTCCGATATATTATTGGGTATGTTCATCACTTACCTCGTGAGTTTTAAAATAATGAGATCGGTCCAACTTTGACCGGATCTCGTTCAGTCTGGCGACCAACCTCTGTTTGATGTCGTGGCGGTCACCCAGGAACAAAGCCAGCGTGTTGTTGACTTCTTCATCGCTCTTTACAGTCTTCAAGTCGGTGACGGGTGGAGAACCACGAAACTATAACATTAAATATTCAATTAATTTTTATCTATTATCGTATTCGTCGCAAAAGTACATAATATATTATTATATATTATTACCTTCATGGCTTCAATTCTAAACCCATGACTGCACGTCGAACTCTGCTCTTCCCTGAATTGCATGTATCGCAATTTCGTGACCGCTTGCAACTCGCGCTCTTCGGGGGTAGGCGCTTCCGGGTCCACGGCTATCATCTAAGTTCAGGAAAAAAAAAAACGCCAAAATTAGTACCATTATTGGTGAACGATTTTGTGTTTGTAATATAGTTATTACCTTGAGATACAGATCCTGCCGCGCGGAAGTGTTTTTCACTTCGGACTCTAAAAACGTGCGGGTGCCCATTTTGATGTCCATGACGTTGGGATCCCTGAAGCCGTACAACAAATCCTGGAGTTCGATGAACGTCTGTCCGTTGTACTCGACTTCCCGGTAATACTTGGGCACAATGTCCTGGAGACTGGGTTCGTTGGAAAGCGCTTCGTACACGTCGCGCTCTGTGCCGCCGCTGCACTTTTTCCATATGGTGCCCAGACCGGCTGGAGCGAAACAGTCAGGATGGCCGGACAGTTGAAACCAAGATTGTTGTTGGGCACCGGACCTACAAGTCGTCGCCGATTGAACGGAAATTGTTTCTTGAGACGGTATTACTCGGTGATGTGCTTCAGAATTCGTTACCACCGACGTTCCGGTGCGTTCGGATCCGTTATTGTTGTTGTTGTTGTTGTTGCTGCTGCTCCGTAATAGGATATCGCTGGCGGGCGCGCTCAATTCCAGAGCGTTCTGAAGCGAAAGAACGAAAATAAAATTTAGTTAAATTTCGATACTGTTATGGGCGAGTAGGTGCTCTAAGAGATCGCGTCGTGTATAATCACATTAATTTCTGTAAAGGGGCCCCCATACACGATTATTCAAGATTATTAGCCTAACCGTCAAAGATATAGGTAGGTATTTACAAATGTTTTTGTGTTTATGTTTATTGTTGGCTATTTACAACGAATACCACTAATACGCCTATACATTAAAATTATTATCAATTCGAAATTATTATGAATGGAAGAAGCTTGCGTTGCAATAATTGCAGTTTTGGCAACAGAAAATTCAATGGGGAAATCGAATATGGCCAAAAGAGTCCTTATGTTCCTTAATTAATCTGCGATGGTATCAGTGGGGTGACATGACTGATAACAACCACATCTAGTCCACCATATCATATCAACCAACTCGTGAATAAGGCGAGTAATAAATAAAGCCATATTAGATATGGGGTGCCATTACAGGTGAATTAAGGAACCACGATTATAGACAGACGGTTTCTATCCATAATCGTGTAAGGAATATTAGCAAATAAGAAGTGGTTTCGTAGCCGATTAAGGTTAGACAAATTTATTTTGACTGATAACGAGTACCAATCATTGCTATACACATGGCCAATCGTGATTGACTACAAAAATCAAACATGTTTAAAATTCATCGGCCATTTAAAAAGATTGACAATCATCTATAGTCAATACATTCAGGTCACTATGTATGTATAACTGTTCCCCGGGCAGTATCGATTTGTGGACGGACAAGTGTTTAGGTTTTCGTGCCGAATGAGAGGCGGTAAGTAGGTTTTTCGTGCGGATAACATATGACGCGAGTACCTAAACAGTAATGATATTATTGTGTACACGTACCAATGCGAAGAACTTCAACAACGAGTTTTCTTTTTTGTGGCTTTTCTTCGCCGCGGTCATCACGGAATCGCATTGTGAGCTCTTCCATTCGCTATCGGATTGCTGTGAAAAAATAAATTAAATCCAATGAGTATAATATATTAATCAACACTGCCGACAACTACGTCGCAAACTATAGGTGTATTTAAATATTATATAGGTAGTATAGGTAATATTGTATGCACGTATAGCAGGCATACACGACTGCCGCAGACTGCGGTGGGTTTCCGCTTTTTGTCGTCTAAAAACACACGCACGAGCACAAAGCAATAATAATAATAATAATGGTAATATTGTCACTTCCATACTAATGAATGTATAGGTATTTTAAACATTATTGGCGGAGCCCTTGGAATTCTAATATGTGTATAGTATTAATATTGTAAAGCGAAACGGTCAAGGTAAACTCCATCGTCGAGTACTATTATAACCAGACGATCGACTTGACATTTTATTAAATTTTTGTTGTTTTCTTCTACTTTTTTGTACGAATATTAGTATTTTTTTTTTTTTTTCAAGATTGACGCAGGCGTTTTTATAAACGCGCTGCCGGTTAAGAGCGCTGAGAATCTCGTAAGAAAAAAACGATTAAGGGACGGGGAGTTTCTTATCGTACACGTTTCAGAATAATCGACCCCGAACACGCTTAGGAAAAGCGGGCGAAGCAAGAAATGTGGGATTGGACACGCAATAAGAAATAATTTGGGGCGACGACAAATATAATCGGGAAAAGAACCGATAGGAAGGGAACCAGAGAAGAGTCTAGGGACGTCGTTCTTGAAGCTGCGAGTAATGATAGAAGACACTTGGTATATTATATTATAAATACCGCATAAAACATTATAGTGCAGAGAGCTTGAGAGAACGTTACCAACAGTAACAATATTCATGTGCTAAAAGTATGACAAAAACAAAAACCATTACTACGTACTTAAACATTTTGCCGTTTTTCCAACGATCCTCCTCTACAAAAAACTAAGAAAACTACAAGTAAAATCGACCTCCGCGTTGACACACACATGCAGGCCGTAACGCTGTACGCCAAACGCTCTCCTGTCGTTTTTCGATCGGAATGATAGTTCATTTTCGAAAAGGTGTTCACAGACGGAAAGAAAAAACACGCACACGTCCTATAGATAATAAAACCGATGTACCCGTTCCGCTACGATACACGTTCAGTATCTAATACCGAGACGCGAAATTGACAGTTCGTGGTTGGCACGATATGATGCACCGTGCCATAGTATTATAATAATCGATATGCGATATAACTATATAATAGAAAAAAAAAAAAATATATTAAAAACTCTACAATGGGTGGTCGTCGAGCAGTAAATATTTTGCAATAAATTCGATTATTGCGCACACACGCATCACAAAACTCTCGCGGGACCCCACGGAATGCTCGATGGAAACGCCGGGCGAATAACAATGGGATTTATCTATTGGTTTTTTTTTCTCTCTCTCTTTCAAGTCAATATTTATATGCGTAAGTATCTACGTATACATATATGTATATGTATATATATATATATATATATATTATACGGGTGTTTAAACATTACTATTATAACCACCGGTCATCGGAAATAATATCATATCTTGTGTTTCGTCACGGAACGTGATAAAAATTATTTATTATCACTGTTCGCAGGAAGACGTACCTCTATACCTAATACAATAATACTATTGTAAAACGTTTACGACTCGGGCGTATCCGAGATTCGGAATGTAACATTACAATATTATTTTACCAAGGGACGATTTTACGACTCGTCGCCGTTGGTTGCGCGCGCGGTAAAAAAAAAAAAAAAAAAATCATAGGGAGTAGAAAGTTTTAAAAAAAAAAAAAAAAATATTTTGAACTATTGAACTACAATAATAGTAGGTATATTTATGAGAATGCGTTAACAGTAGCTTTTTCAAATTTATAAGGGGACGTAATAACCGCCCCACCTCGCTCCAATATGGCCTATATACGTTCCAGGAAGATACCTAGACGTTCTAATATATTATAATAATAATGATAATTTAAAATATTATTCAAATATAATAATAATGATTATTTTCGCGAAAAAAAATTCTTCTGCGCGGCGAGACGCGTATTTTTGAGGGGGTTTCGGATAGGCAATAATTTCGTATCACGTTTATTTCATAATATTCGAACAGGCTGCTGATACTAGCGCGCGAGAGTTCTATTCCCCGAATACCGTCCCTCGTTTGTTTAGAATATATATATATATATATATATTTTTTTTTTACAGAATACACATTTTAGTCCAAATATAATATAATGATGATCACAGGTTCGCCATATGCCATAATATTGCATAACGTTACGAAATATGAATTTATCGAAAATTAAACACCGATTGCGCAACGGAAAAAAATTATTAATTCGAAAACGACCGTTGAAATATTACACTATTGTTACGAATGTCTCCTCCCCCCTCCCCGGTAACCTTCCGTAAACCGCCATCACAACAATAATAGAGCCTATGAGAAAAATCTGTTTACAATTTTTCGACGTTCGCGATACAATCGATAGCAGTGGTATAACTGGTTTTTTTAACGAAACTTTATAATTTATATAAAACAACGATAGCGACGTTAGGTACACATTGCTGAAAATACATTTCGAAGTATAGGCCCGCTTTCATTCAGAAGCGTGTGCAGGGATCGCGGAGGCTAGAGTGTTATGTCCAACCCCCCTCCCCCCATCGGCTTGAACCGATTACGAAAATATATACATCTGACGCGTCGGTTTCAAGTCGGATTTATATCGAACACAAATAATTTACCTGGTAGATTTCCGTTGTCATAACATAACATTTATTCATGGTTGTTGTCTGGTACATTTCCGGGCATAAAGGTGTTTTAAACGTATAGGTAACTACTATCTATGCTCAAAACAAACAGAGCTGCAGCGGAGCAGTTGCGATAAGGCGATTATTGTTTGTTTCGGTTGTATACTATTCTGTAGCGTTTTGCGTGTCTTTTACTGCATTCGCGCGCGTTTTTCGCATACACCATCACTACGATCCCGTGTGCGAAAATTCCTTTGCGACGTTTCGGTCACGTAAATCACGTTAATCACACGACAGAACGGACGCATAATCAGTAGGTGATTACGCATAATGGACGGGCTTTCGGTTTCACCACTGTTGCAAGCGTAGGGAGTTTGGACGGTAGGCTTTATACAGTAATTCGATTTAGACACGCGTGCAGCGATAAATCATTCCTTAATTGTTAACGGAAAACGATTTTGAATCGCGGAAAGCAATGTTCGGTGAAACATGTTTTGAAATGTCGCGATTTTACGATTTTCATAAAAATTTAAACTTAAATCGTTTAAATATATATATATATATATATATATATGTAAAAAAAAAACGGATAAATACATTACACTCAATTTTTTTTTTTTTTTTTTACCACTATCTAAGTATTATAACATATTATGACATACCTCGCGTTAATTTTTCTGGGGGATATTTGCTCGAGAATAATTTCATAAAATCAAATAAAAACTAAAAAAAACTAGTAAATTTCAAACGATTTAAAAATGGCATATATATTAATATGTGTATTCGAGTGAAAATAGCAAGTCTTTACGATTATTGCTAACCGATTTATAACGAAAAAACGAAAACCGAAAATTAAGTTAACCGCATTACTGCGTACATTTTTCCGAACTATAAACTAAAAAAACTCCGAGGGAACGAAAAAATAACCCTCCATCCAATGCACCGATTAGACGGACAAACGCCGCAGAAACCGCCATTAATCAAAAAGCCGAAAAGCCGATTATCGGATCGGAGATTTTTGGCGGAATACAGACGACACGGACGAGCGTAAACGAGCGCACGTCGCGCTCATACGAAACCCAAACGTTTAAAACACGACATCAAATACAAAATAAAACGCATTAATGGATGTTTACCTACGCGTAATGAATAAAATCGGATCACGAGAACAGCACGTTCACGTGAAAATAATGATAAACAAATTTACAATAATATATTATTATTATTATAACGATAAAATTGCAGCTGCGTTGCGTTACGAAAATACGAAATGTGTTATATTAAAATATAAAACAATATTACTATTGCAATAAAATAGCCGCGGCTTATAATAATAATAATAATAATACTTGTTATGAAAAAAAAAATCGTACGATGTCCGGTCGTGTTCGAATACAGTTATCGAACGTGATAATTTTTATACAAATTATGTAAATCGAATAGGTAACCAAAAAAAAAGCCGAATAACCGATGGGAAAACCCCTAATATTATTACCATTTATCGTGTAATAAGAGAAACCCTTATCACCTAGTGTATTCGGATAAAGGAGTTTTGATTCGTTAACTGGTTAAGTAGATTTATTTTTTTATATACACGGAACTCGCAAGTACGTAATTTTTATGTGCTCGTGTTATTATCTAGTCAATAAAGAATAACACAATCGAGCACCAATAACAATATTATACTGATAACGATTTTTCGCGCACAGAGTACGTTCTAACACACATAATAGACGGGCGACCAAACTGTAGTCATCGCCGTCCGATTAAACGCCTGGCTTTATGAACCGATTTCGGAACAACCGTACCTGTCCCATTTGGAACAGTGATAAGGTACGGATAGCCTATCCGTATCCTTTACTTATCCATGGAGATACCAGTCGTTTTATCGGAAAACGTTGCCGCGGTTCGAACTTTTTGTTCCGGGAAAATAGGACGTGCGAAGGATTATTGCAATGATACGTGTTAAAAAAACTTTCCGAAACGAGTCGTACATCATTATAATAATAATAATGACAATACAATTATAATAATCATCACGAGTTAGATGTTTACGTGGGTTTATACGAAGAGCGACTATCTTTGATGATTATTATATTCGAATCAGATTTGTGACTTCAAACGAGCGTATTTCGTACATAACTCGAACTCTAACGTTTCTATTCAGTATATTCCATCGCAATGCATTTTTTTTTCTTCTCTAAACACGTTTCTGTGAAACGTTACAGAACACACTGCAGCACAATAACACATAATATATAAATAAACATTCGGTATATTTGACGTCACGGGCAACAATTGCGATTTATTTTTTATTTTTCTTATTATTACAATATGTTTTCAATGTTACATTATAGGTATATTTTATTTTTAGAAAACTAATGATACTATATTGTTGCGGTTTGTAAAATATGTATATTAAGCAGGACGATCGATATAATATATTTTTGTGTGCTCCGACTTTACGAGTAGATACTGCAAACAATTGATAAAAAAAAAAAAAATAATGCCTACTTACTACAGCCATTAATTAAATTAGAGTAGAATTTTCGAGGAAATATCAAAAAACAAAAAAATATTATCTATCTAATGATATTTGGTATTGTATACCTAGTTAACTCTGCAGTTTGCAGGACGAACTAATTAACACGCGATTCCTCATTATTACTGGCCATACGACCAGAGGCCACCGACCTTTCTCGACAAACTTTCTCTTATTCTCCTACCTACCTATATATAGCCGTGTTTTTCTTTTTATTATGATAATATAATATGCCTATTAAAGATAATCTATACGCCGAAGAAATTGCATTTTATTAATACTGAATATCCAGTGTTAACATTATAGGTATACATAGGATAGTTAAGCCAGACGACACGAGTAGGTGTTAGTAACAAGCATTGAATAGGAATATTATAACTTTCACGAATACCTCCTAATGCGACTTCTATACTATATCTAATATTTATTATTTTAAACTGGTTATTTTTAACAGTGTGAAAAAAAAAAGGTTGATATTCATAAGGTAGTTAATTGTTACCTAACCGATCAGAGAATTAAGATACTCATCGTGTAGATGATACAAAACAATATTGTTAATAGGTAAGTAAATTGTTTTAAAAAATTGTAATCACAAAATATATTAACGAAATCGTACAATTTTAGTAAATTGTATAATGTCCAGAGATCTATGAGTTTCGTACAATTACCGAATACAAAGATGACAATATTCAGTTAATAATGTAGTTTGGCTAATGGCTAATACTGAAAACGAATATTTTACACACCATTATAGATAATATTGTCGAAATAACTCTGCAGTAGATAGATCAATCGGTATTTATTTGCCCAATTGTCAAGACTAATATTGTAAAACTGCGAAATCGAATTAAAATAAAACGTAATAATATACCAGTACATTAATTTTCAAAAACAAACGGACAAACTTCGCATGATTGGTGGGCCACTGTTGTAGGTGAGAAGTTAGCAAGGTAGAAAGAAAATTTAATGTATCCTACGATTAAACATTGTTAACGAAAAACGATTCTGAGCGGAGTTCGGTTATACATTTTTTGAAAGGCCGTAATATTTATGTAACATTAAAACTGTAAGTTAACGTAATTTTTGGTACAGGATTATGATAGTAACAATATTATGACAATCAATGATAAGGTAAATATACACAAAAGACGTAAAAACTGCAGTTAATTTTCTTCTGCACATATAGGTAATGAAGGGCCATTATTATAGTTTAATTAAGATTTATTTTTATATTTTATACTTACCTAATAATCGACTATAGGCGCCGATAATTTTATGATTTATAAATTGAAATATGCAGACACGCATAAAAAAAAAAAAAAAAAAAAAGAGTTAGAGATCAAAATAAATTTATTATCTTTTAATACAATTTTAAGATTACTATAAAAAGAGGTTATTATCAAGGTTTAAAAAAAATATATATGACATACAGGATGTACCGTATTTACTTGAACGTCAAACATATTTTAATTTATTTTCAATTTTTATTTTTGAGCAGTTGTTTTTGTTGAATGTGTGAATAGAGTACCTAGTATTACCTATAGTATAATTTTACAAGTAAATCAATAGTTAATATTCAAACTCTAAATGCTTGTTTATAATAAACGACTACTAATTCAGTGCATAATTCTCACAAAAATATTAACTAAAATATAAATAAAAAGTATAAAAATTAAAAACCAAAAAATTGTATTTATATATATAGAAAAAATATTCAAGAATTTACGAACGTGTCTTCTGTATAATGAAATGGAACATCCTGTACCCGCTTAGAAAAAAACGTAAAGTTTAAAAGTTAATAATTTACGCGATTATAATGCAATCATATTAGGTATCTTTAGTAACGAATGAAATTGCGTGTCTAAAATAGAATATAAATTCGATTGATTTCAAGGCGTACATCTTATTCGTCTATACACATATTATACATGTACTATGTATTAAAGCAAAAACGGTTTAATATTTAAAAATCAAACGCACGCAAAGAAAAACTCTACAGGTTAAGTTTATTCCAACAACATAAATACGCGTCGTAATGTTTACAATACCGAATACAAGGCAATTAAAATCAATACCACGGTACATATAGGTAAGTATTTTATTGTTTGTATAATATATTAGGCACTAATAATAATTACGAGTATTACGACTTAACCTACCCGAACGTTATACACGTGCATCCAAAAATACAACATAATATTATGAAAATTAAACGTACATTTAATGCCTAAATAATATTGTTAATAAGTAGGTACTTATATTTAAAAAATATTGTAATAATAATAATAATTATTGATTATTTTACGCAAAATGTGGTATATTTAAGTGAACGATTTTTACATTTAAAATGTAAATTATCGTATGCCTACATATTGGTTTGAAAGAATGTTTTATTATCTCCAAGGATACCGCGGGTTGGTTTTAGAACAAGCGTCTAGAGGACTTTAGCTCAATGACGTAAAACGCATTGTAAGTATACCTTATAATGTGTAATATTATTGCCTATAAAATTCAATATTCAACGTGTCATTATCAGGAAACGTCGGTAATATTGGCGACAGTGTTATTGTTTACCTATATCGATTGTAATTATTATTATTATTATTTCAGTAACTTATTCAACTGCGTTAACTCTACACGAGGATATAATCGTAATTATTTTTACAATTTACAAGAGTAGAGAAAAAAAAAATCGTTTATGCGAGCGCATATAATAATAATTATAGTAAACGGTTTGTCAAATACGCTGTAGCCGGATATTTTAAATAATATTATTGTCAAAAAATAGATACGTAAAAATACGCAATAATATTAGACAAAGGATGTTTTGTATTATTGTTGTAAACAGGAAACTTTGATATTTTTATTGTGCTATCACAGAATAGGTATCTATATTATCATGACGCTCGGAGAGCCACTTATCAAAGTTTATTTTGTTTATAATAATATTCGTCGAGACAATAATATTATAACAATGTGACAATTATTACGATTACATCATTTTGTACGGGACGTTAATATAATATTGTCATAACCGCGTAATTATGTACACGAGAAATCTAAACGAGTAAATAGGTAAATGGATTTATTAGTGGTAAATGAAAAAAAAAAAAAAAACAAAATATCACCAGCAGCTGCTGTACGCCATTACGTTTCGAATATTATTATAAAATCTCTTACATAATGCGAAGTCTTAACATTGCCTTTTTTTTCCACATCGACCAAGACGCTTTGCAAGCACGTGTCATTTTTTTTTTTATGTTTTTATAAATCGAACACGCTTATGAACGATGATTTATTTTGATGGGTAAAAAAAAAAATTGGTCCGCATAACGATTTAATTAAAAACGCGCTGTCCACCCACCCATCTACTTATTACTACGATAACCGTGCTTACTGTACGTATATTGTAAATAACGTTACGTTAATTTCGATATTAAGCACCGTGTTACATATTTCGTACGATACGTTACATAAAGCAGTGGTGGTCTGAAGTTATCTGTGGTCCACCAGACTAAAAATAAGGTTGACAGTGGCGGGCTACTAGAATAATCAGACCAATAACTATTGGAGAGAAAAAAAAAACTACACCCGGTGATTGAAATCGAAAAACGCGATTAAATATCGAATTATTAATTGGTTGAATTCCCGATTGTTTCTAAATATCAGTAAGCAGTGGCGGTCCTATCGTAAGTTCTCTGTAAGTGGTCCGTAGTGTCGAAAAGGTTAGGGACCGCCGGGCCAGAGGGACACCCACATAAGCGTTGCAATATCGAAAACGACGTATTGTACCAGTTTATTAACCGTTGCGACTGAGGAAAAAATTAATAACAACGTTGGCGACCGCCTGAGAACAGCAATCGCCGAGTTTTTTTTATAAACGCATTTTACAAACGATTGATATTCGATTGACAGATGCTAGGTGCCCACTATTGTCAGGGGTGATTCTAGAGGGGGGCGACACCTCCTTAAAATCAACTGTAATTTCCAATCAGCATATTATAGTTATTCACAAGACTTATAATACATACAATTTTAATATTTTTATTTATAAGTTTTTTCTTGAACCAACAATTGTTGTAAATCAACTAAACCTGTAATAGCTGATAACAGCTGGCAGATATTATGGTATAACCCTAACCCTACCAGTCGTCAGTCATCAAATTTTGTTCTCGGAAATCGGCAAAATTCACTCCGAACCCCCCTTAAGAGTAAACCCTAGGATCGCCCCTGATTACTGTCCGGGGTAGTTTCAGAACTTTTAGTATAGGTACACGAATTGCGAATTTCCGTCGGGCCTAGTAAATTAATACATTATTTGAAAAAAAAAAAAAAAATAAAAAGCGAATCGCCCGAACTACAAAATTTATTATAGACTCCCGATAAATAAGAGTTTGAAAATTCAAAATGTTATGGTAACCCCTATCGGTCTAACACAAACTGTGTAGACTTGTAAATTTTCTTATGGCCCGTATTGGGCAATATTGGGTTTTTCGGTATTATTTAATTCAGATTTAGGAATCAATATTGGTTAGGCACTTGTAAATATCCATGCAATATTGCCTCACACGCAAATTGGATTACAAAAATGCATCGCCGATTAAAGACTCGCGTTTCTTCTTCTGTCCGAGCAATAGATCCGAAATATTTGTCTGAATACACAAATAATACGCTTTAAAAATATTATGTTTTGTTACATTCGTTTTTTTCAAAATAGATTTTATCAATAGCTACTAAATAAATGAACGGGCCGATATACACGGACATGCTTTAGACAGTTATAGTATTTATAGTATTAAAACTGGCGTGAAATACTATTGTAGGAACACGACAATGAAAATGCTCGTTTCTCGACTGTTGAATGAATTTCCCCGACTATTCCGGAAAGATTTGCGCGGGAAAAGACCACGAGGAAATCGTTATATATATTAAAAAAAAAAAAAACTGTCGTAAACGCGACGAATGACCGATAGGTCAGCGCATCTCATAATTATTCGGAGCGTAATTATTTCAATTCGATAATAATTTAGGCACGATTTTTAATTATCGTCTCGTGCGAACGACGGACCGGGTGAAAACCTATGACACCGCAATAATAACAATATTGAGCCGGACGCGTTTTCGAACGCCGGACTTCGATCGGAATACGAAATATTTCAATATTACAATGGTAGGTGCCTGTAATGAAACATTATGTACTTTGAAATTTATTCGTTATTATGGGCATTTAAACGCTATTATTGTAGTGCCGAGACCTCGTGCTGGTAATTTTTCGATTTCACGGCGCAAATATCATTGTTATTATTCATGGCGCCGACGCCGAGAAGAAGCGAAAATAGTAATAGTGATAATAATAATAACAACACACGCGCCGCGGTGATAACGAGACGGATAGCGGATACGGCGGCGTTACGAGATTTTTTTTCAGACCCAACAACCCGCCGCGCATAATACCATAGTACACCCATAGATAAACGGGTTTAGAAAATATTTATTCCGTTTTGTTTAACCAGTTTTGAAAACTACAGATAATAATAACGAAAAAAAAACGCGCTTCTAAACGGCGGATTTCGCCGAGAAAACATCGAAACGGGAACGCGGGAAATGTAGAACTGCCGCTGATATCGGCGGTACGCGAATTTCTGGTTTATAAATAAATCGTATTTTCATTTTTTTTTTTTTATTTTTTTTTTTAGAACAAACAGGTAGGTTGTTTGAACAAAAAAATAAATAAATAAAAAAAATACCGAGCGAATATACGATAAAATAAACGCCGAACGACCGTCGGATTAACGCGTATTATAGTGTACATTATGCAACAACCAAGGCTATATTTAATAATATTAATATGTAACAATATTATAATCTTAAGGAAAAAAAAACCCCCTGGTCTTTTTAGTGTATTTTCCCTCTCCCCCCCGGCTTTTTACAAAGTCTACACGTCACGCGGAGGCGTCGCGTTTTTTACGGCAAAATACGAAATCGGGTCCGGAAATTTGCCGACCGCGAAACGGATTTTTATTTTTTATGTTTTTTTTTTCCTACCGGCGGCGGCCGGTATATTATGTCCGCTGAACCTACAATATTGTCGGATTCGAAAATTTAATTATCGCACGACCCGACGGTGCCCGGGCAGTCGTAAATTTCCTCGTTCGAACGGCGATTGTAATAATACCGAACAAAACGTAATATCGGAATGGAATTGACGTCGAAACGCGCAGAACCCTACGCGAGTTCCCGCACGAGTACAACGGGCCGGATTAACGGGAGGGATGGGGGAGGGGGAGGGGGTTGAGTTGATAATTCGAGGGTGGGGGACGTTTCGATTCAGCGGATTCCACCGAAAAACGATTTTCCGTTATTTGATTTTACATACCTGCTGAACGTTGCCCGTGGTCGACAGCATGTCGTGTGAGGCGCGCGCGAACGGTTTGAACACGGGCGAAACGACGAGCGTTCAAAAGCCTACGCGACCGGCAAAACCCGTCGCCGTCGGTGATGGGAAACCGGAGAAGGGGACGCGCGGGACGCAAAACAATATTGTCAACAATATCGGGCAAGTCGGTCGTCCACACAATACGCATTTAGAATATTATAGTATCGATTCTATTTGCGCGCGACAATAACAACGACAGTAATCGTAAAACGAGACGCAATTACAATACGCATATATTATTTACAGGTAGGAGGTATCTAATTATAATATTATTAGTACGAGGCAGGTGCACAACTCACTTTGCTGGACAACAGTTTTTCGATCTGTTCGATGGCTTTGGTGACTGTGGAAAACGAGTCGAAAAACGACTGTCGTCCGGCCACGGGGCACACGGTCATGTCGCTCATTCTCATATTATTTAATTTGATTGTCGTTTCTACCCGCAAGTAGACCGCAGCAAGTATAATATGATTTGTATTTTAATATTATCGCACAGCGCGACCGCGGTTAAAACCGGACGGGAAGAACGTAGCCGAAGTAAAAAAAAAAAAAAATAATGATATTATACCAACAGAACGTTCGCGGTCGGTAAGTAGGTACGCGGGAAAATAATATCAAAATTTGTTTAAACCGGACACTTTCGACGGGCGGGCGACTGTTACAGCTGGGACGTGCGTACGGAATACGGCCGCGGTCGTATACAAAATAATATTATATCCGAAGATAATTGCATAATAATATTATGTATCGCGCGGGAAAAAAAAATAATAAAAAAACACCACCACATTAACTGACACGGGTGTCGCGGTTCTCGTCGTCGTCGATTGAGTTACCGGGAGAGCCTCGGAGTGTCGTCGACAACTGACCGTGTGTGCGGCGGACGCGTACGCGAATGGAATCCAAACTGGCGGAGTGGCGACCACACGCGCGCGGCACGCACACACGGGAGCGGCGGCGTTAAGGTGAAACCACGGTGCCGGGTGGGGGTCGGGTAGCGGAGGTAGCGGACGAGGTCTGCGACCGGCTTCGCGGCTCCCCACCGCGCGCAGACGGCCACCCGAAGACGACGCGGCGGCGGCGGCGGCTCGACTCGTCCGTACATACGCGCGGCCGCCGACTCGCTATTTTTAGGTCAACTACACTCGCGTGCGAGCGCGCGCGAGTCCCGCGCGACGAAACGGCCGCGGAATATTTATGTCCATATTATTATTATTATTATTATTATTTTTTTAATCACGTGCATTTTTTAATAAATGGGGCCCGGATTCGAAATGCCGTACGCGCGCGGCGATAAACGAACCGCAAGGAGAAAAAAACAAAACGAAAAAGAATAACTGAAAATGCGACCAGAAAAATCGCGGCGCGGACAAAAATAAATTTAATTTACCCAATGCGCGCCGATACGTCTAAAACGGAATTACGAGAGCGCGTCCTCTGACGCTCCCCCTCCCATTCCCGGGAACACATTAATTCAAAATATTTATACCGGGACCCGAACACAATAGACGTTCGCAAACAGAGGCGTTCGCCCCCGTTTAGTCGGCGCTTATGGATCCGCGAGAACGTTGCGACAATGAATATGAAATTTCTCGAGACGCCCGTTAATAATAATTTTGAATTGTATGCTCTGTATCCCTATAGTGACGTAGTTATATATAGAACTTCTATTGCCCGTGGCAAAACATTTGCTTGGTTAACCAAATCGAGGGCCGAGCGGGCAATCCTAATTGGGGTTCACTTTACACAGATTGAGGCGAAGAAAAAAAAGAAAGGTCATCGTCTGTTTTTCCCACACGTGTCTGCCCACTCGAAATAATGACTCGGGGGCCTGATTTGGGTTCCTAAAACGTCGCGGGCCCGTGGCTCGTTGTCCGACCTGACACCCGAGAAAGAAAATTCAAAATTAAAGTCTCGATTTGATTGTTATTTTCGTGAATGCTTCATATATATATAAAAAAAAAAATAATACTGTCTGTGTTATTATTGTGTTGCATACACATTCGAAAGTATCGAATTTTCGGCGCGACGCAACTGCAGCCAGTCGATGGCACGCCGGACAAATATGTGAAAATCCGGGAGAAAACTGCGGTCGCGGTATAACCGCGTACCTTATAATATACGAATAAAATAATAATAAAAGAAGAAACAAAATATATCGATGGTACACTATAAATATTGTCGCCCCGAAGTGTGAAAGTATCGAGAGTATAATATTATATTATTTAGCGAATGTTGATGGAATTTGGCGACACGGTCCAGAGAAGGTTTTCTCGTTCGTTTATTCAATCGAGTATACGATCAATCCCAATCAAAGTCCGACAAAAAAAAAAAAAAAATGAAAATTCGTTTGTCGGTCAGATTTATCGGGTCCGTGGAACGGATTTACTAGAGCCGCCAGACGGAGACGGTGACGGCGTCGGTAACTGATTGTTAGTGACAGAGTTTTTTTTACAGTCAATTTTCGCACTCTCGTTAATCGTTACAAAAAAAATTGTCGGTAAATGGTCGGCTGTGAAACGTTCAGCAGAAAAAAAAAATTGTACGCGCTTAATTTACCGTTTTTATTGTTACTCGGCAACTAATAACAAAATACAAAGTAGCAGACGATTTTTATGTAAAAATTGGTATTTTTCCTTGTGATATATTGTACGCGTGAAAACCCACGTAAAAATGTACTGTATTTGCAGCGTAAACATATGTATTTATCTATAAAAAAAAAAAAGAAAAATGTAAATAAATGTAGTGGATTTGAAACGAGACGTAATTTTATCAATATTGGCGCCAAATGTCGTTACTTCCTTGTACAGTTATACTTACAGATTATTTGTCGAGCAATTTTTCGATAATGTAATGAAATTGATTTCATATATGCATATACGATTGTAAAAATAATTTCTTTATTTTAGTTTAATTTTTTTTTTAGATTTTTTTTAGATTTAGATATTTAGATAAACTTGGCGAAGAATGTAATATGTATTGGTTTTACAACGATGTGTAGTATTTTTTTCCCTGTCCGTGTGCAACTTTTCTATTAGAAATATTGCTCGAATCAAAAAATGACAAGATATTTTTATTTTTATTTTTTTTTTGTTGAATTTTGATTTAGTTGGTGCATGAAGAAGGTAATTTTTTGATTTTTCAAGTGATTTTCATAATAATCGAGAAAAACTGAAAAAAAACTGACAAATATTTATAGCGCGCAGCGGCGTTACAAGCTGTAGATTAATGATTATTTATACTCATTATTTAAAATGTTTATGATTTATGTATTTTATTAGAAATCATGGTCTAAATAAAATTTTGTCTAGTTGATGAATAAGAAAATAGTTGTTTGATAATTTGCGCATAATACAGGACAAAACTGAGAAAATACGTAGGAGAAACGTAAATACAATCTAAAAATATAAGTTCACTGAAGCTCTATTATTTAAGTCTATGCTACTTTTCCAACTTTCTATCTACAACAACAGTGCACCCGTCCCTAGTTTTGGCTATATTTTCCTTTTCCTTTTTTGCTAATGGAATGACTGTTTCTTTAATTTCATCCCAAATATTTAGTGTCAGACCTGCATCCTCGTCCATAATTTTCACTTGACCCGATCTCCCACATTGTTCTCGCATAGATCCGCCGTCCTCATATCATTTTCAACCATATCCAACCATCTTTTTTCAGTCTTCCATTACACCTATATGTTTATTTTCATTACAGTTTTTATTGATTTTGATTCCTTTCTCCTCATGATATGCCCAAAACATCTCCGTCCATTTTTCCTAATTTTGTCTTTTATTGAAGCAATCTCTAATGTACTCATTCATTATTTTATTTTCTCTCTTCAAAAACAATAAGTATGATTTAAGTTAATTTCCCAGAATTAGACATAATTTTAATTATGACATGAATGTTTTAAAAAATATGCGTATAAATAATTCTGTGGCTTGGTGCAAGAAGGACCACTGTTACATTTTGTGATTGTTAGAAAATGAGCTTTTAAATTGTATTTTTTCATAAGGCTCTGTGTATTTTATTAAATGTAAAGGTTTGTGTAACTTTCAATTTTTACAAAAACTTAAACAATTTTTATTTAGAAAATAAATAATTGGACACTTTCTTTATTTATTTCTAAATGATTTTTTTAAAGGACCTTGGCCCTTCTTGTACCACGCCACAGAATTATTTTGTGTAGTTGATTTTTAATTTTACTTTATTAATCGTCTAAAAATCATAACTGCTATCAAATTATGATATTATATAGTAATAATTCCAAATAAACTGTAATATTCGATATGTTATAATAGGAGGTACAATTAAAACTACAATATCATAAAACCTAAATTATATTAGACACACGATAATAAATTATAGACCATTATTGTATGGCCATCACAGAGAATTTATACAGCGATAAACAGAAATATCATTAATTATAGTATAATAATTATTACCTATAATATTACATATGTCAATTTTAATGGGCATAGTGTAAATGTATGTGTGTGTATGTATGTGTGTGAGTGAGTGGTTAATGGATATGATACGAATAGTTTTACGTTATTTTTGTGTTTTCTATTCACAGATTTTTGTATATAAGTTGAAATAGATTCGTTTTTCTATTTCGATCTATCGGCGGGCACGGGCCATTGTCGGTTTTGATTTGAAAAATATTTACATCTGCGATAGGGGGCCTACTGCTAAGAAATGTTAAGAAGGGCTAAGAAACATATCCATTTTGTGGCCGTAAGATGACTTATCATATCACCATTATCATGTCAGTTATTTGTTCAGAAAATACTTTCAATGTATTTTTGTAATTCTCGTTATTACATTGAAAAAGATATGAATATTTTTTTTTTAAGAAATGTACATTTTAATTTAGAATCTAAAGCGTTTCGGATTTGCGATGAGTATATTTATTATATAATAACGCTCGGGTCGAAGAGAAAACTTTTTAAACTTACACGATAAAATATAATCGTACGACGTCATCTCAAACATAAAAGTATACATTTATTTTTATTTTGCTCGACTAAAAATAAATTAATAGTTGTACTGTACCTGTACGTTACCACATTTCGATAAACACATAATATTATGTACGATATATTATAGTATAATGTAATATCATTGTATTAACCTCTCAACCGCAGACTCTTAACCTATATAAATATAATATATGTATGTATATGCATAATAATATCGTATTCGGTTAAAAATTCATTTGTCTATCGTTTGTCTATATCTTTAATATTACAATACTATATACCGCAATACACAATATCGTAAAATATTTTGAAAATTAATCGAACCGTCAAATCATATTCATGCACATTGTGCGGTGTATGTTTTTTTACGAAATCACCAGTTTTGAAACTATATTGTATACCCAGTGATAATATAATAATATTTAACTTATAACGAACATACTATAGGCACAGTACACTTAATCTAATTTTTCAAGGTGAAACTGTTTTATTTTTCAAGGTTATGTCATTATAAGTAAAATAATTAATTATTTATTAAATAAATTAAGCTATTTTACATTATATTCAGCTAATAGATAGAAGATATCAATATACTAGGCAAAATAAAAGCAAATTTTATGCATTTTCGTTTAATGTTTTTTTTCTTCAAATTTTAAATTCCGAGTAGAAGTCAAAAATATATTGGTTATACTATAATATGATGTATGGTTAATTAGTTAGCTTACTATTTTTTTAAAAAAGTGCCCATCAAGCAAAAAAAAATATAATCCGCAACAACGGTTAATTGTGATAGGTACGGAAACCACGTTTTTATATATTTAAATTTCTGGTTAGGTTGGTTGATAAATTTCACACGAAGTATGTGTGATTTTCAAAGGAGAGTAAGATCAATCATTAAAGGTAAAACCTAACCGGTATTACAATCATTGGTTACGTGGTTGGTAACGTGTTTGTTAAAGCATTTACGGACCCCATTAAACTAATAATAGTATTACAATCCTCCGTAAATTGTCTTATACGTAACCAATTGATAACCTACAAATTGCTCTGATAATAGTATAATCCGATAAGTGTTAAGCCAATAAAATTAATAAACAACGGACGCTTTGTGAGATGTGATTTTGTGAATTAATTTTAATTCTTCAGAACTTCAGACTTCTGCAGCCTTCAGAAGAAGAAGAGTTTGTAATCTTGTTTATGGAATATTGGTCCATAATTTAGTAAAATTATAGCTTTAGCTCGTCTAGGAAAAGTTACTAATTTAAAAAGTTTGAATAAACTGTCATCTAAATAATTAATATAATATAATTATAAAACATCCATGACCATGACCAACTAATACAAAATTTATAATTTTGTAAATCGTAAAAACAGTTAACACAAGAGATCAACAACAGTTTATTCAAATTGATGAAGTCAAAAGATAGAAAATAGTAAAAAAATAAAGTTAACACAAATCCAGTCACACTGCCGTCAAATTGCCAATCACAAGCTTTAACGGACTCTAATAATATTTTAATAGCCCGGAATCGGTTGATAAGTTAATTGAAACGTAATTAAAAATGTTTAGCCTTGTAGAAGTTTGTAATACAAGTGGTTATCTTTTACTGAAAAGTCATCTTATGATTCATATGGAGACTTTAATAAGTATAATATTATGTGTAGGATAATTCAGTGATAATCCATCATATAGATGGATTACCGTGTAATGCAACTGCATGCTATGCTCTCGAGGGGGATATTTATAGATAAAAGGTGTATTGGTGTTACAGGGAAGCTAAAAAAATATCTAAAAATCCCCATAGAAAAAGAGTTGCGATCAATACACTAGATATATTCACTGCATGCAGTTGTAAGAGATGGATTTATAGGGTTAGATATAGATAGATAGAGAAACGGAAGGAATACGTTTGTTTTGTTGTAATGAACCTCGATCTAGGCCTTTTAAATTGTTTGGAGGATAATAATAAAAGGCATTATAATACAGAGGTGAGAGGATATTTTAAGTAATATTTACTAGGCAACATTGCAAAATATGAGTCGATTAAGGACTCTTCCACATCACTCGCTCCCTCGGGTTTTAAACAATATAATTAACTACCAAATATTTCACATAGATTCGATTTTATTTTAATTTGTATTAAAATGTATTTTAATTATGGATTTTCGATTAGAGTATGTATATCATTCATAACATTTTTACGACTTATTAAATTTCAATATTATCGTTTTCGAACAAACTCATATTAAAACATATAGAGTAATTTAATTTATATCTGTATTCAACGATAAATCATTTATAATGAAAAATAATTCTGAACAAAATTTGATTAAGCATATCTTGAAATTCTAAATTTCAAATTTAAAAATTTGAACTATAAATGCTATAAAAAAAAATGATTACATTACACTTAACTTTTTTTAACCACTTATGTATTTATGGTAAACTTGGGTCTAATTTTTGAGTATTTTTCCTAGGCTAAAACATTTTTATCTACATATATCGAAAATATTATATAAAATGACATGATTATGAATATTTTCACTAAATTTTAAACTTTAGATGCTTAAAAAATCCGGAATTTTAATATTTTTAAGTCGCCATAGTAACAACTTATGACGAACCTCGTGTAAAATGTTCAAGCATTTTGAGAAACTAAACAAAATAATACCACGTCTAGAAAGAGCTTATACAAGTACTCTGTGAAAATTTAGGTGATTACGATTATGTTTAACCGAATATCAAAAAAAAAAAAATAATAATAATAATAATAGTAATAAAATAAAAACGAAATTGAAAATAACAGAAATCGTAAATTCTCTGACAGTTTTTTCTTCTTATTAAGAAAAGTACAAAGCAATTCAAAACATAACTGTCTACTAACTGGACAAAATGTTCAATAAAGAAGTCTTCTTATCATTTTTTAATTAGAGCATGATTTTTTTATTAAAAAACAGATAAAAAAAAAGAGTTGATACTGCTGTGCGACTGTTGTGTAGGTGGGAAGTTGGGAACGTAGAACACTATAACTATAATTAATAAAAAAAATTATGCATACACGCGCAAGAATGTCTCGTGACGACTGTTCGATGGATACTAATTACGAGAGAACCAAAAATTACACAGTGTTGCCGCGTTTTTCTGGTTTAGATCTGTTTTGATTGGTTTAAGTCACACTAACTGTGTTGTCAAACAACTACGACTAACAAAATATTGAAATAATATTATATTTTAAAAATAACTCTTTATAAACTCTTTTATAGTTATAATAATGAATTCTAAAAAATATCAATCATTTTGTAAAAAATACATAGTTAAAATAATTATATAATACACATAATACAATTGTATACTTTTTCAATAAACGTTTTAAGATGAAATTGGAGTTGAATGAATAAGATTTCTTTTTGTAGGCAAATAATAATATGTGAATATTTCATTAATTAATATTGAGAAACTCTTTTTAAATTACTATTCTTTCTAATATGAAAACCGTTGTCGTCCAGTTAATAAAAATGTTATATACCAGTGGCGTATTTGGAGCTCAATCAAGGGTGGGGGGGCTGTTTAAACATTGTAAAACACCACAGGTATAAATACTATTGTATTTTATGTCCTATAGGCTATAGCCATGATTAAAACATCATCACTAAAAATGCTTAAGGGAGCGCCCCCTTTATCTACCCATCCATTGCTCCCCTCTCCTAAGCAATGCAACCATTTCATACTATAGGTGATAAAAACATTTCAGTGCACGACTAGGTTAAAATATATATACCTTCACTTATGATATTATGTAGAACAACCGATCAAATATGACGTCTGAATATATTATTAATATGGTCACAGCGATTGGTGATGAATACCACAGTATTTTGGAAAGAGGATTTTTTATTTTTTTCTAAATCCAATACTATATTATAACAATATTAGAACAATATTATTTTGTACTATTTTATAATACAATTGAAATAATGAACAATCGTATCGCTTATCTATAATCTATATAATATTACACCGCATTGGTATTGTAATGTTTAACACTGTGATAAAGATATCATTGACATCAACCTAAAAGGACTGTGCACGCGACAATATTTTCATAAAAATTGATTAAAAATATAACATGAGAATTTTTTTTTTCTGTACAATACTCTGCAGTTTGATTACGTCAACGGCGACCTTGTACATCGCCCTTTTGTCATCGGCGGTTATAGTTATCAATACATACTCTCACTGTATAGGACCCGGAAGTTAACGCATATATATTTTACTACAATATTTACACGATTTTACCGAATGGTCCAAAATTGTTATAAATACGTTTACGACTATACAGAGTGAACATTTCTAATGTAATTCTGTGAACCCTGCAGATTAACCCCGACTATACAAATTTGAATCATAATATACAGGTACTCGAAATAATAAACATTGAATATTATTGCAACACGATTTTATCTTTTTATACAGGTACTTGATATGGCATATAAATAAAGAATATTTACATTTGTAGCAGAATTTCGATTTTTTTTTTTAATGGCACTATCATTTACGGTATAGTTTTTATAGTGATAAATTTGATATACCTATGTATATAATATAATGTCTAAATATTACCAAGAATTGCAATTTAGTCAATATATTAGTAACTGTCCAAATATTTATTTAAATAAAACTACTATAATCTTATTATTCATTATGTTTCGGTGTATTTAATGTAATATAGTTGAATTGCATACAAGTTTTTAAAAAAATGATAGAAAACACCGAACGCGTAATTCGGTTATCAGGCGTAATGTGTAAAGCATAATAAAATAATAAGAAATACAAAAATATTAAATTATCATACAATTTTAAAAAACTTCCGAGCTAAATAATAGTGATTATTCGTTTAAACATATTCCGGAAGAAACTTTCATTTAATTTTTCAATAAAATAAAAAAATAAAAATACATCATAGTAACATCAAAATGGATAAGCCAATGTTATATGTAGGAGGTTATGAATAAGGTAGGATAAAATATATAAAAAAATTTAATTCATTTAATGATAAATAATTGGTAAGGAAAAAAAATTCTGATCGAAGTTCAATACATGTGTTTTGAAATATCGCGATTATCACGATTTTCATCAAAATTTGAACTTAAAATGTTTATAAACAAAATAACTACTATATATTAAAATCAATTTTCTTTTTTTTTACTACTAAGAACAATTTATGATGACGATTGTGTTAAATTGCGAATATTTTTGAGGGATCAAAACAATTTTGTCCACATATAATCAAATAAAAATAAGATTTTAAATAGCTCAATAACTTGTCCACCTCTAGAAAGGGCTGATATAAGTATTCTTTGAAAAATGTAGGTCTTTGAAATTGTATTTTTATTAATACCTTTAAATTGAATTACAAAAAAAAAAAAAAATCGAAAATACCGGAAATCATTGACATGTAAAATTGTCTGTTTTCATAAGTTTTTTACTTCATTTTTCTCCAAATTATTAAGAAAACCACAAGGCATAGGTTCTTAACCGGGGGTCCATGGACCACTTAGGGGTCCGTGGATGGTTACTCGGGGGTCCACAGGGGGGCTGTGAGTTTAACTCAAAAATAAATTTGTTTCATTTTTGATTCTATTTGCTACTACCTATGTCTGTGAGTTTGGATTTTCTACAATGGTCACAATTAAAACTAAAACAAGAAATCGATTGGACATTAAGGTCGATAAGCGCGTTGCTCTGTCCAATACGGTCCCAGATTTTAAGTCAATATTGCATTCAAAATAACAGTTTATGTCACATTAAAACTTGTTTTTGACTATAAGAAAAAGTGGTTATTCATAATAATTAAAATAAAAATTATATTTATTTATTTATATTTTTTTTGTTTTTTTTTGTGGGGGTCTGTGATTATATTTTATACTTCAAAGGGGTTTATGGTCCACAAAAGGTTAAGAATCTAGGCCATAAGGGGAATAAAAAATGATCTTCGTAATGCTTCCACTAGACAAAATGTTCTACTAGTTTTTCTTGAAATTGATGATTGGGACAAGATTTCTGATAGAAAAGTTATTTATAGATAATAATAAAAAAAAAAAAAACGTATAATAGTAAAACCTATAACACATTCCTAGCTATTTACAGAATCCAAAAATATCGTTAATATTTATTTAATGTCAAACAAATTATGTTTGTATATGATATGTATCAATAAAGCATAGACAAAATTAAGTTTTGAACTATTTTATCTATTTATTGGCTGACGCAATTTGTTAAAATGCAAACAAGGTATAAATAAATTATAATCAGGGAACAGATTTATTTTTTAAATGCATATCTCTATATTAGAATAAGTTATTTGGAATATGATATGATGTGTCCCCGATTTAGATTATTCTTATTAAAACAATACCAATTTTTTGTATTTTAAATATTTTGACGTTTTTACCTTGTTTTACATATTTATAATTTTATAGTGCATATTTTTTTTTTTTTTTTATCTTACATGTTCACGCTTTGGTTCAATTATTTGTGAAAGTATTCATCTAGATTATAGTGCAATAAGGTGAAATATATGAACGAAAAGTAAATTTTTTTTTCAATGTAGGTTAATATTTTGTAGTTTGGTGAAGATTAAGAATGTTATAGATGAAAACGAGGAAATATCTTTTTTTTTTTACATTTGTATAATTATATTACATACAATCAAATTAAACGGCTTAAATTATATTCAATTTTTAAGTGTATCTTTTATAAGACATTAATATAGTATTTATATAGCATATCTTTAGGGTTTTTGTACATATAAATTCGTTCCTTAATTATAATAATTTAAAAATATGTAAAACTCAATAAATGTATATTATATATATATGTACCGATTGGATGAAATCGTATTCATATCACATTAACGGATTTACGTATATGGTGTACATCAAAATGATTATATAATGCAAAATGAAAATAATAGTTTTATTCCATTGTTACGGGAAATTACGAAGAAAAAGTAATCGTTAAATTATTGAGTAAGAATATGTTTGAAAAATAAGATTTTTTTTTTATCTTCTATGTTACAAGTATAATAATCAATAACGGCAATTACCCAAAATATAATATTGTGGAAAATTACTAAACCTGGTTTTTTTTTTTAATATTATATCTACAACTTGCCTATTAATATTATACCTCCATCTATCAAACATATTTCGTATCTCTATGGTAATTAAGGTTATGTTTATAATAACCCTTAACCTCTAGTACCTCTGACCGTCTATTATTAGGTATATATGAATAATTCATTATTAATTTAGGTGTGTCTAAAAAAAAACTTACCTGTATTTATACTAGGTAAATATAATAACATATAGTACTAAACAAACTCTAAATTAAAAATAAATACAAATGTAACCGAATATACGGACCTAATACCAAATAACTGATAATTTAATAATTTGATATATTTTATGCGACAAAGTATACATTTTTTTTTTCGTATAGAATGTTAATGTTTTGCTAATATCGTCGACAATAATTAAAAATAGTATAAATTATTTTTCACGGTTAAAAATAGCAGTATGTTGAATACATTCAAAAAGTCCAATATTTAAAACGTGATAAATAATTCATATTACGCATTGCACATACAAACTGAAAGTTGGACGGGAGTTTATGTTAGTATCTTACGACAGGGAATCTCAGGGGAGGGGGAGGAGGGCGAATGGGTCAGTGCCTCTCCACATGGCCTTTTTCTCCAATTTTTTATAATTTATGTCATAGTAGGAAAATACCTAAAAGTACACTGTAAAATCATGAGATATCGCATATCAAACGCAAAAAAAAAGAAAAAGAATGTTATCACTCCGAAACAAAACGATTTTGTCATAATATGCCATCGAGATAATGGTGTATACTGTATACATAGTACTATTTTGCACTATGATAAAAATATTCAATTTTTAAAATTATTTTCTTTATATCTACCTACCTATTGCTTTTTAATGCAAATGTATGACTGATTATTACCTAATAAATAATAAAATATATTTCTTTCATTGTTATACAAGTTGTAGTTAAATAAAATAATTTAAAAACGTGTTATTTATTGAACTGAACAGAAGTTTTACTTATTGTTATTATAATAATTGGAAAATGTATAATACCCACTGGGAATTATAAATTATAATAACTAGATTTAATAAACTTAAACACAGAAACATATTCATCATAAACTACACATAGGTACAGTACAGACGGGACTAATTCATTCAACACATAGAATTTATTATTTTGAATATTCACTGTTTTTTGAAATTTTCTTTTGGGAAATTAGTTTAAATATTATAATCTTGAATTTTTTAGTGGCATGATAGTTTTAATTACTGGGTTTACCCTATATAAGAATGAACTTTAGATTTTTAATTATTAATTATTAATACCAGAAATCTATAAGGATATTTTTTTATGAAATCAAATTAATTTATAAGAAAAATATCTTAATACATTTATTTTATATTTAAACTCCTTTCCCAAAAGAAAGTTACAAATAAAGTTAATACTTATACAAATAATGAGTTAAATGAATAATTTAACCCAGTATATTTATATTTTTTAAGCTTTTGTACATAGTTTTGTTTTTACTTATATACTTCCTTGCTTTTCAATGCTTATTAGATTAAAAACTTGGTTGAGAAATCAAATGAGGCAAGTACGTTTGATTGGTTTCACGATTATGAATATTCATAATAATAATCAATTAAATAATAATAATAAAATTAATAGCTTTGCTAAATCAAAATACAAAGTCGATTCCATTCTTTAATTAATTAAATTATATTCATATTCAACTATTTATTTTTTTTTAACTCTAAATAAGATGTAAATACTTGTAAGTACCTTTAATTTGTAAATTATTTTTTCTCGCTTTCATTACCTAATTATTTCTTTATTAATTTCTATTTGAATATATATACAAATATTTTAAATACTGTGACTATGTTAATAAGTAACTCTGTTTTTCCCTAAAAGCCGAAATTTTAAAAATTTGACTAATGATTTAACTGTTTTTTGAATCTATAACCATGCCTATGCCATATATGATATTACATACCCCGAGTGAAACCAGGTAAACTATCTAATTAGTGTTTTATGTTTATATTTAATGTATGAAGTTCGCCTCTCCCCTTATAAAAGGGTCTAGGGACGACATTGTCTTACGAACTTTCAACATGAAAATTAAATTATTTTGTGGTGGGGTTTTGTAATTCAACAATTCGAAAGTGATGTATATTTTAAGATATACTTGATGATCTACTTACAAGTAGCGCTGAGAGCTTATATAGATAAACTGAAGCGATCGTTTCAGATCATATAATAATACAGGTGAATGCGTCAAATCAGTAGACTATAATTAATAAATCATTAAAACCTATATCAAGCGGCTTTTTACAAACGAATCATCTCGTCTGTCTGTATAGGTATATGTAATTCCTGATTAATTTATGGAAAATACTAAATGTACCTATATAAAATATTAGTTTGATATGTGTTGAAGAGGATCAATACGATCTAAATTTCCAGACGAAATATTTTTAAATATGTATGCAGGAAGTATATGTATTGTGAAAAGATCGGTATTTATACGGTGATGACTATAGAAATTAAATTTAGCTTGTCAAAAAACAACGGCAGTTTTATCAATTTATTCATTTGATCATTCCGTTGTTGGAAATTGTTTATTTTATTTTAAGTTTAAGATTTATGGTTGTGTAATAAAGACGTACTTGCACTTTATGTATGATATTATAACTATAAAAGTGAGCTTGACGGGGAAAATTAATATTGAAGACTTCAGGTTTTGAGGGCTCAGGTCGTTCCGTTTCACGCGCATACGACGCCGAGAGCAGACATATCGCAGTGACACCGCAGCCATCTAAAGTTCAAACGTATCGTATTCGTGATATAATTAATTTGATATATTAACTTTGTTGACTTTGTTCACGACCTCATATATAACAGCTGAACCAAATGATATATTATACAGTAATATATTAAGTTCATTGTAAAAAAGTTATTTTATACCTATTATAACACAATACGAAAGATACACAGATTTTACAATATTTCACGGTCCTGTATCTATGCATTTATGAGTTTTTTTCGGAATTTACATTGTAAAATTCGTAACTATATACTGCACGACAGGAAACACGCACGTGCCACATTTCGCTACCATGACATTTTTCAGCTCCTGCCAAACTATAATCCTATAGGCCTAAACTATAAGCTATTATTTGAAAATATTTTACACAAAACTGAAAATATACAGAAGAGGCAGTTTGTGGGATATAATACTATCAACACGAGCAAATTCTGAAGTACGATACGATTTCAACACGGGATCTGTGGTCAAAATCAATTGACGATGATATAATATCGACACGACGTTTCATATCGCTACGAATGTACAAAGGGCTAAAAGGAAAAAAAACCATTTCCTCTTAATTTTAGAACATACTTACCAAAAAAATAAATAAATAAATACGTCATATCGTTTATCGTACAATTAAATCCTATATGGATACCTAAATTGAGTACACCTATAGTTTAAATCGCGAAGGAACTAAAATATATAAAGGTATCTAGTATCTGTGGTTCGATTTTAGATTTCCGAAAGCTCAATTTGTTTAGATTGTACTATAAAAAAATCATTTTTTAAATTTTCGACGCCATTTTTTAAATAAAAGCACTTAAGCGGGAAAAAACGAACAATTTTACGATATCATTATTTTATAAAAACACGGACGACGTTTTCTACCAGAAAAAATGGTTTAATCGAAAAACCACAAGATACTTTTTTGTTGCCTATTTGATTTACTTTCTTACGGTATTAACACCGAAACTTTTGAGCTTTTAAAGAATTAAAATTGTTAGATTTTTTTTGTTGTAATTCGGTTATGAATCCACGTAAAAACTTGAAACTTGGTGATGATACTTATATTGGACTTACCTAGACGTGGTAAAATTTTCAAAAACATCGGACGACTTTTTTTTTTTAAATTTTTTTACCATGATTTTTTTTTATATTATAGGCCACATTTATTCTAGAAATTTGCTCTGATGTATAAATATAGCACTTTTTCAATTAAATTCAAATAAAGTCAATTTTATCAACTTGGTAAATACATAGGTCATTTTTTGATTTTCTGAAATTGTTTGTATTTAAAATAAAAACGATTAACCGGGGAAAAAAATACGATTTTTTCACGATTTCATTATTTTGAATAAGTACCTACCACGTTTTTTTAGCACAAATATGAATCCAATTAAAAATCGAAAAGAGACCTTTTTTGTTAAATTATTATTTTGTTTTTAATGATGCAGTTCGATATTTTGATTTTCGAATTAGTTTTCATAATAATCTGGAAAAAATATAGGAAAACGTACAATTTCATGATATCATTATTTTACATTAATATGAAAAAGATTATTATAAAGAAAAGTGCTTTAATCGAAAAATGACAAGAAACTTTTTTTGTTTCATTGTATAACTTGTTTCTCATGGCGCAAGTCGCTTTTTAATTTCATAATGATTCGGAAAAACCAGAAGAATACGAAGTTGTTGTAATTCAGTTAAAAATATTTGTAGTAAATTGAAAAATGGACAGAATGCTCACATTTCGTTGTTTAAATTGCAAGTACATACTGCATATCAAACATTTAACAAAATGTTGATAATTTCAGGTATAATTGTATTTATTATACAACTATCAGAAGTATAAAAAAGGTAGATACTGTTCAAGGAAAGAAGTTTGAACGGATGATATAACATAGTGTCTTATTCTCGTAAACAACACGAAGTCACTTTTATGTTGATTTTTTTTTTTAATAACCGTTTTGAAATTAAATCGTAAATCGATAATCGTATAAAAATGTACGGCACTTCAAGTTACGTATTACCGAATTGCACTTGGAATAGTCTTTTGTCAGCAATAGTTTATTGTTGCTTACAGATATAAATTAAATAACCTTATGTATCCTACCTTCCTAACTTTACACATACAACAGTGGCCGCTCCCATCCCCAGTATCATTTTTTTTTTTTTTCATGGATTACACGAAAAAAAAAAATAAAGAAAAAAACTTCTACGCGATAACAATTACACCAAACGCAGTGAGGTTTAATCATTTATGTACCTATGCATAATATGTGTATAAAAGATACCTCTTTAATGTCAATATACTTGATGCGACGACGCAACGAAGGCACGAGATATTTTATTTTAATTATTACTCGTCAAAAAAAAAAAATAAATAAAAGAACATTATAATATATATATTAGTCGGGTATAGTCCTGGTGCGTTCACATAATATAATTTTATATAGGAGTGTCGCCTTGCATTGACGTCAGGTGTCTTTTTTTTAATCTCCAATGAAGTATTTTACATGTAAATACACAACAATAATATCATCGATACTATAAAATACATGTATATATATTATAATATCGAGTACAAAGAGGATTAATATCGAACACACTCGTAACATCATAATAATGCATACTATATATATACTATATAACAAACACGATTAGACATAATATGCTATATATGAAACTAGGGTTTTTTTTTTGTCCAGACTTGACAAGTTTACGATTAATTTACATAGGCAATTTCGGATGATTATTTTCCCGGCAAAAACAAAATGTGTTCGTCAAACGAAGTAATTTTGTACTTTTTTTTACTTACATGTACTTTTTTTAAGAACGAGGAAAAACCGAAAAAAAAAAAAAACGTCGAGAAATGAACGCATAACGGATTCTATTATTTTCGATTTTATTGCTTTAGTACAAGCCAATTTAAAGAAATCGAAGAGACTTGACATTTTTATCGAATAATTATATTATTACCATTTTCTAGGCGTGCTTAAATATTCAAAATGTTCTGGATATTTTCGAGTTATTAATAGCCATTTAAAGAAGTTTTTTAAGTATTTATTTGGTTTTATTGGCATAAAATTGTTTTTTCCCAACAAAATCGATCGAAAATTTAACATGAGGTTCACCATACATTTTTTGAAGTGTTTTTTTTCTTCTAAAAAAGGTCTAATGTAGTATTTATTTAAAAGTGTTTAAGTTAATATTTTGACGAAAATCGTAATAATCACAGCACTAATCATAGAATTTCGCCACGGTAAAACACGTTAAAACTGATTTCTGTTCACACTCGTTTTTTGTTAGCAGTCGTACAAATTATCAACATTTTGCATTATATTGATTTTCGATTTATGATGTTAATTAAATTTTTCTGGTCCCCTTTTTAAATTCTTAAACATTTCATATAAGGTTTATTATAATTATTGTACGCGGTCGTCAAAAAAAAAGAAGTTGTTGCCCTAATGCCGTTTATTATTTTTATAATTAATGGCAGTGACTTTTTTTTTTTTTTTTTTTAAATTACTTGGATGAAGCTCCATCACTGGATGGATTCTTCAATCAAGACTGCAATCCAACCTCTACTTATCTCACTTATACTTATTGTAAAAATATATATATTTACAGATTGTATAAATAAATATATGATTCAAAAAAATAAAAAAAAAAAATTTACTTGGACATATGTCTTTGACCTGTCAATCACATTGCAGCAATATAATAAGGTTATACGAGTATATTGTGGTAACGATAGTAAAATTCAATTAGGTAACGGATACTATTTAATGAAGGACGAAGGTCTTTCGACTAGAGAGACCTTACCATTGTTCAACGTGCATTATTGACAAAAGTTCTCAACATTTACGACAGTAATTTATAGACTACACAAATTTCCATCTCAAAGGAGACTCGAGAGGCCAGATATTTATCTATAGTTTGTCTGAACAGAGAAAAAACATGTTACGTATAGCGTTATAGCAGCGGTGCTCAGATGTGGCTCCAGAAACTAATTTGGGAACGAAGAAACTTACAAAAAAAATTTATAACATATTTTTACACTAAAGTTCTGAAAATTGGTAAAAACCAAAAATATAATAATAATAATCGACATTCTAGTAATTTAAACACGTTTGTTGTTTATGTTAATTTTCAAATGTAAATTGTTTGGGCCCACTATATAGTTTATATATATTAAAATACATGTTAATAAATATTGAAGAATACCGTTTGAATTTTAATATTTAAACGTTTCTCGATAAATCGCATAAAAACGGCTGTGCAAGAAATAACGATGACATTTATACGTTATGACATAAAAATTTGACAAATGTTTTGTTTATAATACATACACGGATATATTTTGATAACGTAAACATTTTTCAATTAAAGTCTGAAGTGGTCCGTTGATGTTATTGTTGTTCGGTATTTTACGTCAAGTATTTTTTGGATTTTTCGTTGATGTCATAATTATCTATGATATTATGTTCACTTTAATACACGTACCTATTTGTGATGTATATGTGTTTAGAGAACGAATTTTAACAAAAATACAAAATTTCTTTGAAAATATCGCACAAAACAAATGTTATAGTTTAAACAATGAACTAATATTTAGACCTAAACATGACTATGAAAAAACCACAACTAAAAACAATGAGAGCAGTGTTTAGAAGTTTTTAATAATATAATTTAATTCTATTGACAAATTTAATAATATTATATACCTATAATAGATGTAGAAAAGAAACAAATTGTCAATAATTATAACAATTTGTATACTTTATTTTGACATATTATAATTGTCCGATACAAAAATAAGATTTTTTCGCAATTAATGTTTTTTTTTTTATTTTAACTTATTTTATAAAACAAAAAACGTAAGGTGGATCTTGTCAAATTTTCAAAATTTTATTCTCAGCTAAAATAATAATAAAAAAAAAATTGAAAAAATTTCAAAACAACCATTATTCTCTACAGTTATCAATAATTAAAAAAGATAGTCAAATGATTTAGGAAACTTTATTATACTAACTTGTCAACATATAAGTTCGGTGAAAATTTCTCTACGATAATTTTTCAATAATTTTAGACGATCAAGTTCGTTGGATACGTTTATAAAACTAGCAATTAAAAACGAGCAGTAAATATATATTTATATATATTTTTTTTTCTCAAAGGAAAAAAAGACAGTAATAATAAATTGAATAGTAACGACTAATGATAATTATTTTCTATAATTTTAGAAGTAAAGCAATTACCTAACGTAATTAAGTTGAGTTACTGAAAGTCCGTTAATGTTAATATACAGAGTCATTCAAATTTCATGATACAGTAAAATTTTCCATTGATCACTTGAGTGTTGGTTCTGTACTACTCCCCCCTTTACCCAAACTTAGAAGTGAAATATCTCATTAATGGGTTGACGGAAGTCAACACAAAAATGCATTTAAACTAACATTTTATCCATCAATGGAATTTTTAATACAGGTTGTTATTTGAAAATCAAAAGTAGATAGTTATTTCACCCCTAAAAAAAAGGGTGGAAAAATAAGGACAATGTAACATTTTAAAATGGTACATTCCAAAAAGTTTTACACGTGCCATTTTTTGAAAAAATAAGTAACTTATGACAAATTTAACTGTATCATGGAAATCGAATGATCCTGTACACATATTTGTATAAAAAGATAATAACAGCGATTTCTGTAATTGTATTACTCTTGGCAAGTACAATTGGCCTGATAAACTGATTTTAACGTAGGTATATAGGTACACGGAGTAATGGATAAATAATAATATATTATTATATTATATTGTATTTAAGTAGATTAGATTGATATTGGAGTATACGATATAAGTATGTATTTATGGTGTTCAACTAACGTCTATTATAAGTTCATATTATGAATATTAAAATAATGAATACATGTTTGTACGTACAGTATTATAATTATTACTTATTATAATTTCGCATATATATAGAGGTCAAAATGTTAAATAAATAAATAGATTAAACCGATGACTTTGCAAAAGTCGATTGATCAGCATTATACAATTATATTATAATACGTATAATAAAAGAGTGACATTGTTCATTTATAAGTACCTGCATAATATATTAATGATTCAAAGATACCTATATTTTTATAAAATTAAAAAATATATCGTACAAAGGTCTAAATGGAAGGAGAGGAGGAGGGTTATATCGATATAGCAATACCTACAATAAGGCTATATATAATAATAACTTAATATTATTAGACTTTTCTCCACGAAGAACCACGGCGTCGGCGTCTCAATATTCAAACAATATAATAATTTTTACTAGAGGATTTAATGCGTACCTGTAGGTATAATATATTATCATTTTTATGGCGCGAAAAGAAGACAACGTATTTCGAACAAAACTCATAATGGGAGTTTCGGAAATTTTTGTTTGACTCTAAATGTAACGTAGAAGCTTTTAATTATACAAAGATTTGTGTTTTTTAGTTAATAATAATACTCCGATTTTTTCATATGTCATACCTCAAAATATAAGGACTTTGGTCTGACGATACTCTATATTTCTCAAAATTCCCAACAGTAAGCACCTAAGTCCATTTTTTGGTTTTTGGGTTACCTTGGTAACAAAGAAAATAACAAGACGTTTTTAGTTTGCAATGATTTATCATTGCATATGCAGTTTATAAATTAAATTACCTCATATCTTACTTCTCTAATTACCCACTACAACAGTGAACTACCCATGGTGAGAAGTATATCAAGTTTTATTTTTTAAATAAGCTTTTATATCGAAGTATTAAAGGTAAACAAAGTTGTTTTATTTTTATTTTTCAAACTAACGTTACTTCTTTGGAAGTTAAAATGATAAAAACGCCAACGATTGTTTGTCTCATACATATTGCGGTATCTACACATTTCATTATGAGGATTATATCTCCAAAGATAATCCAAAACGAATTTTCGTATGTTTTCCATCAGCATCGTATTTTCACTAGGTATCGAGATTTTCTTCCTTCTCTGTCTTACGAAAGGTCAATTATATAGCCAAAAACCATGTGCGAAATAAATGGAATGAGTAATAAAAAATGTGGGTTGGGAAATTAAACATAATGACAATATTTTGACGACAACTCTGTAGGTTTTTTTTTTTAAATATTGATAATTATTGATCAAATTAGTTAAAAAAAAAAAAAAAAAATGGAAAATACGATTTTTTTTCTTTACTTTCGTTAATACATATTCAATATTTTGAGAATAATAATATTGTAAAGGCTAAGAAACCAAGACGAAAAACATGGTAAAATGTCTCGACGCCAAGAAGATATCCTAAACATAAACGTTGGCCAGTTTATATTTGAACAAGTAGAAGATGTTATGTTTTAAGGGTAAATAATTTATATATTTACCTATAAATCCTTGATTGAAATTATTTCAGAAACAACATGCATCACAATAAAGTACTGTCGAGAATAAACTCGAACACATATTTCTAAATTTATAAAATGCTTTTCTCCAGCCTGTTATCATAAAAAATTAAAGAAAAACAATATACGTGTTACCTCAGACCACTGATCATGCATGTATGCGATTCATGGACAACCATAAAAAGTGACGAGGAAAAATGATTAATCTTTAAATGGAAAATGTAAGGACACGTACAATTTTGGAAAAAATTTGCTCGGAACCATATTTTTGCAGAAAAATATTTTATTGGAAATGTATTTATCGGATACGTATTTGCTGGGAATCGCATTTTATTGGAAAAGTATTTGTTTGGAACCGTAACAATAATAAAATCTAATAACAAAATAATTTATTTATCATTATCAAAATATTATTTTTTATCAAAAGATGTTTCCAATAAATTATTTTCCAAAATATACTTTCCACAAAAATACGGTTTGGAGCAAATATTTTTCAATAAAATATAGCCCTCTGAAAATGTTAATAAAGATTTATGGACCAATAAGGGACACCAATACGAGTGATTATTTAAGGAGGAAAAATACAAATCTGGAACAGCTGTACAATAAACCAAATATTAAAAATGTATTGTATGGAAATGGTTAGAATGGGCTGAACATATTGTGTGGTGAACTCACAACAAGCTCACTAAAAACGACATAATAAAAAATGTATCCGGCAAACGGCCTCGTGGAAGACCTCGTTAACGATGTCTAGATGTTTAGAGGAAAGCAGGATTCATAAGGAGCAGTTGATGAATCAGTAAAATTGAAGGACTAGAAGACAGGAATTGATGGAGACGTTTATTGGAAGTTGTCAAAAGCCTCGAAAGCTTGTAAAACATAAACAAAAAACAAAATGCAAAACGCCAATGAAGTATTTTTCAAAATGTTAACATCTACAAATTGTTTTTTTATATTTTTCATCTGTACAACCGATCTTATAGGCTTTTTTACTGTTGTATGGGAATACATGTTTGCAGCTTAATATTGCCAGTCAGAAAATTAGAGATACTATAAATGCGAGCGTAGCATCATTAGACGTCATTTAGACATTAAATGTTGATAATGATAAAAGAAAACTAGAAATTTGATCTGTTTAATGTGAATTATTGTTCTTTTTCTTTGCCACGCGTCGTGTCGATTAGTAATACAATTATTATTAGTATAAACTATTAAGAACAAGGCGATCGTTTCGCGGACATTGCATAATATAAATTGCTAATTATTACTATTATTACTATTATTATTGCTGCGCTATTAAAAAAAATAAAAAATGATGAAGACATACGTCACTGCTGCGATATAATTATACTGCATAGGATAAGTCTGCGTGTCGATTTCTAGCAAAATAATATAATAATATGCGATTATTCGAAGAAGGTATAAGAATTAATTTATTCGTAGCTGATAACTAAAATATTAAAATAATAATGAATAGAAAAAAAGATAAAATTACTTCGATTATACATTTTTTTTTTTTTTTTTATAATTAATACAGAACTACCATTAATACTATATTTGAAAATTGGTCATTTAAAAAAAAAAAGATAAGTTCGAGCATAATACCTAGATGATGTATATTCAATATATATATTTGACAATAATTGATATACTTGTCAAATTGATGTATGATTAAATGATAATAAATATTATACAATTCATTAGTCGTATATAATTATTAAGTCCAAAATTAACTTTGTATATTTTTAAATAACCTAATATTAGTCGATATAATTAATACTTTGATCTTTTTCAAATTTTGCTATTGAAATGTTTATTTGTTTTTATACATAAAAACTTTAACGCATGGATATTACATTTTCTATATTACTTGTATTTTGTTTGCACAGTTATTGTTTTGATGTAGAAATATCATAATTAGGGTTCGAGACTTATTTTAGCACTTTAAATCGTCGAAAAAAGTGCCTAAAAAAAAAAAAAAAACAAAGTAAACGACAAAAATCAATACTATTATAACCATTAAATAAAATAATTCCAACCTAAGATCCATTTGTCCACTGTGGAAAAAACTATCAAATAAGGTATATTTCTAAGTAACAATTACCGAAAAAAGCAAAAATTAGCATTTCGAAATTTATTTAAAATCGTAGTGGTCTTAAATTTCCACAGCTATCTGTTATATACCTATCTATCTATATATATGTATATGACAAGCAAAATATTTCAACTAACCGGATGGCTGAATAATTATTAAAACTTGGGTAGGGTTGATACGACATGGAATTTCGACAAGAAAGTCAAGGATAATACATGGCGAGATAAAATATCATGTAATTATTACCGTTGTCACAAATCTTGCATCTCGAACTGCTTGATCTAAGTCCATTGGAAAAAATCCTGACAATTATTATTCACCGTGTTATTTATATTGTTGTGGTGATATTGTCGCATTTCGCGTGTATCATATTGTTGCAATAGGTATTTTACAACACTGTACGACTTATCGGTATTATGCGATAGCTTCTGCGCGGGTACACACGGCAGCATCAAAAACCTCTATACAAACCTACCATTTTTTTTTATCATTATAAATTAATAATGTGTGTCGCAGATGCAGATATAAAAAAATTGACTCCCGTGTTTTTAAACAATTTGAGACAGTGCCGCCGCGATCAAGAGAAGTTAATGGGAGATATTTGAAGCCTTTTAATCAATGCATTTTTATCAGACATAAGCAACCGACATATAATAGATCAGGTTTTGCTCAAGGAAAAATAAGTCTTTCGAGTTGTTAATTGTGATAATTGTAAAAATAAATTACCAAAAGCAAAAATAACCATTCAATAAGTTGTAGACAAAAAATAAAAATATTATTATCATAGAAGAAAAACAGCCTCAAATCTTTGAGCGTCGATAACAACCTAGCTACTACACATAATGACGGACGAATTTTTTTTCATATTCTGTATATTACGTATGTAGTACCGCCGCCCGAGGTTCTAGGTCTATATCAAAGTTAATTGACCTACATTAAAATATACGAGGTGTGGCTATTAAACAACGAGACTGTTCGCCTAGAGGGCGCCCTAGATGGGTAGTGAAAAAAACGAGTAATGCATTGGGTATCTAGATATCTTATCTATGCACGTACCAAAACACGTTTTCGTCACTGTTATAGTATTTGTGCAGTAGTGGTTTGAAACGAACGTGTTTTTTTTTCGTGCCGAAAACCATGTGTGACGAAAAACAGGAGCAACCTCAAATTTCTCGTTAAATTGAAAAAAACTCCGACCGAATGCTATAAACTGTTTCAAAAGGCCTATGGAGGCAATTCTCTATCTCGTGCACGTGTTTTTGAGTGGTATAAGCGCTTCAGTGAGGGCCGAGAGAGCACTGAAGATGACCAGCGCCCAATTCGCCCTGTCACTGTTTTAACTCCGGAAACAGTGACCAAAATCAACTAAATTGTGCGTGCAGATCGTCGAATGAGCATCCGGATGATTGCCGAGGCTGTAAACGCCGATAAAGAAACGGTTAGAAAAATTTTACATGAGGAATTACATATGACAAAAGTCTGTGCGAAGTTGGTGCCAAAAAACCTGACTCCTGACCAAAAGTTCTTGCGTCAACAGGTCTGCTCAGATTTCCTTGAAAAGTTAAAAGAAGATCCCGGACTGATGAAAAACATTATAACTTGCGACGAAACATGGATTTTTCAATACGATGTTGAAACAAAGCGACAATCGATGCATTGGAAGACACCTGAATCGCCCAGAATCAAAAAAGCAAGGATGTCCAAATCAAAATTTAAGGCAATGTTGATCGTTTTTTTTGACATTAACGGTATCGTGATGACTGAATGGGTTCCAGAGGGTCAGACTGTCAACCAGATTTACTATTTATCAGTTTTGGCAACATTGCGAGAAAGAATTCGTAAGAAACGGCCCGAGTTGTGGAAGAACAACTCGTGGTTTTTGCACCAGGACAACGCACCTGCCCATAAATAACGCGTTATCTGTGAAGCAGTATTTGGCTGGTAAGCGCACTCCAGAGCTCGAAAACGCGCAGTACTCGCCAGATTTGACACCGAGCGACTTTTTTTTGTTTCCAAAGATAAAATCTGCTTTGAAAGGGACCCGATTTGAGTCGATGAAAGCGGTAAAGCAAAAAACGGCAGAGCTCCTAAAGGCCCTCACCAAAGAAAACTTCCAGCACTGCTTTGATCAATGGAAAAAACGTATGGAAAAATGTTTGGCGAGGGGAGGGGAGGGGAGTATATTGAAGGGGAGCATTTGAATGTAGAATAATTTTTATAATAAAACACTTTTCCGTAACCTGTCTTGTTATTTAATAGCCACACCTCGTATATACTAGGTATATTGAACAAAAAAAATGTTATCGAATATTTCAAACACGAATCATTTGTATTTACACACTATCAGATAAATTCGTGTGGTTTTTTCCCACTAACTAAACGTCTAATAAAATAAAATCGTAAATATAAACATAAAATAATATTTCGATTTTACAATTGTTAAAAAAAAGTTTACCTATTTTTTTTTTGTTAATCTCGTTTTTGATAACATACCAAAACATCCACAAAAAAAAAAAAAAAGATATTGAATAAAATGCGTTCACGTTTTTCTATAAATTCGAAATTCTCATTTACGTCAATACTCTTATTACGTTCGACACCTATTTGAGCACGTGTAACGCGACCTAAAATATTAGAAAAAGTAAAAAAAAAATCGACAATGTGTTAGTTACCGTCTTTTTTTAATAATGAGAATGCGCCGTTTTGGGAATGTGCGCGAGTACCTACAGGAAAATGTGATACACTTGGGTACAAATGATACATTTTCGTATTTTTTTACATCGATCCGGTGAATATAATTATATTATTTCACGTCAAAAGTAGGTATCTAATATATTATAGTTTTTATTACGACAGCCGAACAAATGTACGCAAATATACCTACGTGCGCGAGTGCGATGTGGTTTTTTTTTGTACACTTTTTTTTATGGAAATCTAAACTAGTAGTCAATAATATGCATGCATTACGACAGTACATTTATGACGACAATGAAAATGCTGTAAATTAATTTTCAATACGCGGACAATCTCGGGAAAATAGGTATGACGACAATGGTGAACGATGATGTTAACAATTATTATTTTACTACTATCGACCTCATTGAAAACATTTTATATTTTAATACTATAAATAGTTATAATAGTACAATTGTGTATAATTATTATATTTTCAGATTTCGTGTCAAAGGCCAAGCGAATTATAAAACTTATAGAAATATTAATAAAATAATAATGGACGAGCATAATAATGTAATAGGTACAGTTGAATAAACAAATGATTGCCGATCTCGTGACTTTTACGTCATGATTTAATCGTAATATTATTATAATATAATATTGTACATGTAATAATTTAATAATACGTTGAGGATGACAAAAAAAAAAAAAAAGATCTGATACTGAGGATTTTACTATACTCTAAGGTACTCTGGGGTACTATAAGGTTACTTCATTTATATCTGTAAACAACGATAAATCATTGCTAACGAAAGACGATTTCGAGCGCAATTCGGTAATACATAATTTTCGTCAAAAATTATTAAAAAAAAAAAATGAGTCGTCCAATAATTTTGAAAATGTTACCACGTCTTGGTGAGTCCAATATAAGTATTATCACCAAGTTTCAAGTCTCTACATGTATTTGTAATCGAATTATAGTAAACAAAATTCCAAAAATTAAAATTCCTTAAAAGCTCAAAAGTGGCTCAAAAGTTTTGGCGATGATACCATAAGAAATTAAATCAAAAAGGCAACAAAAAAGTATCTTGTGGTTTTTCGATTAAATCATTTTTTCTGGTAGATAACGTCGTCCGTGTTTTTATAAAATAATGAAATTGTTAAAAAACGTGAAATTGTTCGTTTTTTCCCACTTAAGTGCTTTTATTAAAAAATGGCGTCGAAAATTAAAAAATGACTTTATTAAAGTACAATCTAAACATCTTCAGCTTTCGGAAAGTTGCTAAAGGTAAAATCGGAGCAAGTTTACCAGGAAAAATCGTGTCTGCAGACTAGAAAAAAGAAAAAGAAGAAATAAACAGCATTGTAAAACCAATAGTTCCCTCGCTACGTTCGGAATCTAAAATGTTATTGGAATTCGTTTTCTGTACTCGCCCCCATATATGCTTATAATACAATGGACACAAACAAAAAGGAGTGCATGACTTCATTGTCAAATGGGGTTAAATGATGTTATATTATATTATAGAAGGTTATATAATGCATCTAAATGCATCGTTCAGTTATTTTCGCGAACAACACACGTTACATTATATAATTCAGTACATTAATACGATCATCAGACCCTAGTTGAACACGAGTGGTTTGGGTTATAAATATATACTTATTAAAATGACGGTCCCAGAGGGCTATTAGAGTCTGGAAAGTCGAAACCGGGAACTGTTTAATTCAAAAACGTTATTTTTCACAGTAATGTAAATAACCTGCGGGGACGATTTTGGTTGGGAGTATACAATTTAGTAGATAATGAATTTTTAAAACGAAAATTACCGGAAGAATTAAAATTAGGAAAACATTTCACAAGGAAAAAAAACACAAGAATTATTATCATTCGTTTTATATTTGATGAAATAATCTAGCGGTTCCCAACATTGTACATAACTGATAGGTTCTCATCAAAGATTTTTGAAGAAAAAATCGGTACCTATAGCTACAACTTTTAATTATATTTAGTACTTAAATCTACTTTGTTTTTAGCGTAATAAAGGACAATATTATTTTCACCTGCGTTTCGAGCGTAACTATATGCAATATTACGAACGGTATATCGACAAACTCGATACGTAAATCTGCATTTTTATAATGATAATTATTATTATGTTAACTTTGTTAACCATACCCCGTATACAGAGATTGAAAATATATATATAAATATATATTATAATAATAGATTATATTATACACAATATATATAAATATATTAAGATATCGATAAATTATCATTGCGTGTATTCTTAATCGTTTTAAAAACAAATTACGATCCGAAAAATCGACGCAATTATCGGATATTGCTTCATACTATGCGTCGATACTACGCGCGTATCGAGTATTATGTAAAACGTTAGGAATCATACGTGATCGATTCAGTAAATATAATAACATTTTAAAATGAATAAAACTTTGTGCAAGGTAATGCACATCGTATTATATATAATTATTATAGTGCATATTATTTGGAAAGTCGAAAATACTTAACTGCAGTTATTAATTTATTATTACACAGTAAATTAATATTAATCGTTTTGTTTTCATAATGAATAATTAATATAAATTAATATAATATTATATGGTTTTATCTGTAATCTTATCAGTGTATTGACATTAATGATCACATTATTATTTACGCGAGAATAATATTATAACGGCTATTTATTTTATTATTTTTTTTACGGAGACTCTTAATCGCTCGCGCCACAAATAATTAACGATGACAAATAGTACTTATAGTCGTTATCGAATTTTTTGTATAGATCAATTTGAGAATTACGTCACGAAGACGTCTTGTAATAATAATAATAATAATAATAACGATAAGTAAATAACATATAATACGAGGGGGGGGGGCAGAGCTGTCGTGTTATCACAACATACGTAAATTGTTTGGTTATTAATTAATAACTTAAATCTATGATTATTAATAATAAATTGCAGACGTCAATTAAATTTGACGAAACTCGTAATGACCGATTTTAACGAGGTCTTTTGAAAAAGAAGCTTTTCACACGTACACCCATCGACTATGATATCTATATTAATATAGAGGTAACAATATGTACATTGTAATAAAATGTATGCATGAAATCCTATGTGCATACAATGATTGTGTGTACATAGGGTTTCAAATTTGATTTTGAAAAAATCTAACTACCATTATTTTCAGGAAAAATCTTTGGATTTTTTTTTTTAATTTTAAAATTGACGACACTTTATATTTGTATAGTTCTAGTTGGACAATCAGACAAACGTGAAAATCCAAAATTATGATATTGATTTGTATAGATAAATCATACCTGCCCATCACAAAAACATAATAATTAATTACCTGTACTGCAAATATCGCATGAAGATTTCGATTTTGAAAATTATTAATTTTATGGATTTTGAAAGTCGATTTATACCTTGCAGTTTTGCAGTACGTGCGTGATTGTTTTCGCGGAAATTTGTTTACAAATCAAATAGGTATCATATAATAGCAATAGTTAGCATTGAAAAACAAATAAATAGGGATTGTATCAATTAAAAACCACATCGTCTAGACATTTTTTTTTTTTTTTACCAAAAACAAAATAATAAATAATATACGGTAAGTATAATATAATGTTATGTCAATTTATACGATAGTAACATTATTTTAACATTATTTTTCTCGTTTGTTATATTTTACGATCAGATATGTCCATGTATTATACTCGAGAAATGTTCGGGTGTACATGCATACCATATACGTATACACTATATACTATACAGGGTGTATATATCTTACCAACGATAGTAATTATTGTATTATTATCATCGTGGTTGCAGGTGTAATATGTAAAAGACCTTGTTTTAAAAACCTAGAGTATAATAAATTATACCCATAAAAGATAAGTGCAGAGCATATTGTCAAGTCTGTATACCCATACTCGAAGAAAATGTGTACTTACCTAAAAGAAATAAGTGTAACGAATCACGATTAGGGTAGGTCACGGATATATATGTATATAAGAGTATAATAAAAGCGCGCTTACTCGTGCGGCATTCTTTATTATATCGTTTTGCTTCGTTCACCTTGGCTATACTTGCTATGTATACGAAAAAAAAATTTTTTTAAATAATTTTCCTAAATTCACGGTGTATTATAATCTGTGTGTGTATATATAATAAGTATATTATTATGTACTGTATGGTAAAGTACATTAGCTTTTTGGGTTACCGAACCCAATAATAATCGATCGGCTGGTTATATATATCTAAAAAAATAAAAAAAATATGAGTTAAAGCGGTTTATATGACGTGTATAAACGACACGATGATGTACAATGAGAAAAATAAAAATACCATAAATGTAAAATTCGAGTTCACTGTACGAAAATAAATTATGTTTGTTTTTATGATCTCACGTCTTCGTTTTTTTTTTAGGGATAGAACGGCATAGAAACGATTTAAGTTTTTCATACAGAAACTGATCACGGATGAAACTTATATGTGATCGCCCTTGAAACTATAATAAATGAGATTTTAAACGGAATCATTCAGGTAATCATAATATTATGTGATGATTAATAAAAAAAAACAATAATTATTATTCTAAACCGTTCTTGTAAATAATCTATAACAATACGTCCAGTGACGTGACCAACAATTTTTAATATAGAAGATACAGAAAATAATAACCTCCATCAAAAACCGCCAGAAAAACGGCCAGGTACAGACGCCCTTTAGTTTCCAAGTCTACTAATTAAAACAAAAATATCTACATTGTGGCAAATCTGCAGCTATTTCTCTAGTCCATTACTCCATTTCACTCCCACTTTTATGAACAACATTGCTCTTTTACTTTTATTGCTCGATTGTCAGTTTCTAATGAGGCAAAAAACAGATTTGAACACAATGTTCATATTACCAATTTGATAGGCTGGATTTTTTAGGAGGGGGAGGGATCTACGGAACTTTTTTCTTTTCCTTCTCATAGCCAACGTAATTCCTATGTGAGTATACACGACTATGATGTTTCATGATTATTTCAAAAACTGCTCAAGTGTTAAACAATACAAATAAAAGAACAGTGTTCGTCGTGAAATTATAGGAGTGACGTAGAGTTATTGAGGTGAGGAGCGTATTTTTAGTAACGAATATTTTGATATAAAAATTTATACTTCACATTTTGTCACTAACTACCTTTTAGTGTTTTGTCTTTTTCGCTTATGTTGCTCGCAATGTTTTGTATTTTTAAGCTGTCAATAACAGAAGGATATAAACCTCCTTGTGCACGCTGCTGCATGTATACAGTATACGCCAATCTATATTATTCTATCGAATTATAAAAAATGTTATTTTAAAAAAATGTGGTTTTTCTCGATAGCTTTACTCGCGATAATAAATAATCGGTAAGAATTATATTTAATATTATCCAATAGATAAAAAAAAAAACATATTAACAACAAATTGTGGCTAATTACGATAAAAATAAACAATGCATAAATAAACACGCCATCCATAGTATATATTTACGTCGACACGCTAGTATGGTATAGTGTTTTTCTGTTTTCGGTACCAATACGCAGACAAACTGAAAAAAAAAACCGTTAAACCAGGTTTTTACGATGCTTAACATGTCTGCACAAAAATGGAATATACGGGGGAATAGCACATCGTCTTAAATTATTCGTGTATTTATATAGAAAAATAATCGTATTTTCATAAAAAATATATTATGTATATACACGAGCATGTGAGATATAATATGCGATTTTTACGAATTTCGTCAAAATTCGAACGTCAGTTTATATAAAGAATAACACTGCGACATAATGTTTAATTCAACTTTTTTTTTTATCAGTATAAGATCAACCATTATACTGTATTAAAATAAACCTCATACCGTATTTTCGAGCATTTATACACGAGACTAAAAAAGTGTTTATTTACACAAAAAAAAAAATACTCACAAATTTCAAATAAGTATACAGCTGAGTTTATAACTCAAAAAGCGCCAAAATAAGTTACATCTTTGTTTTCAGCAGTGGCGGATACATCATAATTGTGAGGGGGTGGGGTGAATTTCAAATGCACGAAGGTAATGGAGTATAATTTTGTAAGTATTAAGTTTTAAGTGAAAATATATTACAGTGGTGATGAAAATCAAAAGGTACGACGATCCACCAGTCGTTCCCCACCCTCGATATCCATTACCTACTGATTTTCAGTCCCACAACAAAAAAAGACTATAACTATAAAAAAATAAGCAGCACTAATTAGATAAAATTCACTAAAAACCATCTCTGCATGTCTAATCCTCGCAGTTTACAATAGATAGAAATACAAAATTTAAATAGATACAAATAGAAAAAAAAAATTATTAAAAAAAAAAACCACCAATACAGACAATGCAGTCTTTTCGCAACGTTCAAATTCTAAAGAACGGTATTGGGATTTTTTGTCCTCTGACTGTTATATTCCCTAGAAATTTTGTATGAAAAAAAAAACACACAAAAAGCGAACGTCAAATAAGTCCACGCATGACGTCTCGAAGTAATCGTTCGTAAACCGTTCTCATATTAACCCAACCTAAATTACACGGCTGTGATGTTATTACGAATCGCCGAACACACCTCTTATATTATTATTACGTAGTTGGTATACTACTATAATAATACATGTTATTGGGTGGACACTGTATGGTAAGGTGCGAATTCTCAGAAAGTACAACACGATGTCGTATTGGAATTTATATTAGTCAATCCGCGATTTTCGAAACAATTTAAGGATGTGTATTGCGTCTCATAGATTGACGTGCGAAAGTAAGTATACAGGGTGTATCTGCAGGATTTGATATTTATACATAGGATATGAATTGTTTAATCCTGAAAAACACCCTGTATAATAGCCGAAATGTGAATCACGTGCGCGTCGGCGTCTATCGGTTTATTACACGCTAAAAACGAATAGTCGTTAAAATCGCCAATCTCAATGACCGTTTCACGCTGCAGCGATTGGTCATTATTGGCTTCTGTATACCTATTTATTGTTATACTTAATTTTCTTTACATTCCCTTGCATAAATTTCTCACGCGATGCTTTTTTTTCTCGAATACGTTTCGAATTCCACGGTACGTCCGAATGGTATGCCATAAAAACAAAAAAAAAATCGAGATGTCCTCATTGTGGAAATATTATGGTTTGTGGCACAGCACAAAAATATAATATAATATGGTAGCTAAATGCGCAAATTCATGATTTTACGAACGCGTTGAACGATTCTCCTAATATCGTCTACGTACAAGTCCGAAAAATAATACTAAAAATTTCTCCTGTCTCAGTTTTATTTTCCATTTAAAAACTGTAATGCACTTGAACCGAAAAAGAAATTATTTCTTGTGGGCTCATCTTTTTGTATTTTATTTTTACAGGTGGAAAAATACCATCAAATCTTATTTCAAGAAACCTTTTTTTTCTTTTTTATATTTAATTTGTTAAACCAAGTGGCACTTCCGTGATTCCGTGAAATTTCGAGTTGCACACAATTTCAGACGATTTATATTTGAATTTTTCGTGAGACAAATAAGAAAGCGATTATTCAAAAATTACGTTTTTGTTCCGTTTTTCCACCATTAACCATTGATGGAATCACATCACAATAGGAATGACGAGTACAGACTGATCAGTTATTGTACCTATACCTATACAATTTTTAGACCGTGTACCTATTGTAAATAATATCACGGGACAACCTATCCGGTTAATATTATAATCTTATCCGTTATTAAGTCAGTGTATACCTTCAAAAGTTATGTAATATTTGTATAGTACCTAATAACTATATATAGATAGTGTTTATAAAACATTTTTTCATTATTTTTTGTTATTATCCACAATAAATTGGGTAATGTTATCATTAACAGAAGAATGTTAGAAAATATAATATGCAATAACAAACGAAAACAGTATCCTAAATGCATGATTATAATGTCAACGCCGTCCTGCAAATAATGTTATTTTGTTTAAACCCGTAACAGTCCATATATACACATACTATGTCCAAGAAGCAAAAACTACAGCCTTTTGGTATAGCGTTAGGTATATCGGGAAAAACACTATACATATGGTATTATGGCAACGAAATGAAACCGGGCGTATACAAACAGTTCTCGATGAGAAATTTAAGTTCACACTGCGGGACGAATTATTATAGTACGGGTATAGGTAAGCGAGTCGCGTACGTTAATACGATTGAAATTATTGGCACTCTATATATACATTGTTTTTAAATATTTCATTATCTTATCATCATCATCATCATCATACGTGTTACAATAATAGGAAATAAAACAATAAATCAAAATGTGGAAGTGATGCGACGGTGACGTGACGGTCGTGTCGAAGCTGAATTATTTATGAACTCATAAATTGTTTACAAAAAATGCACACACGACAATACTAATAAGTGAATTGATTTTTGTTGTTTGCATAATTATTTTGCTCGGAGAAAATATATATACAAAAAAAAAGGTCTGACGTAAACTGACATTTGCGAATCCTTACATAATAATACCGACGGGTCGAATCTTTCCAGTAAATAACGAACACAATAGTAATTGTCAAAGAGAACATTATAGAGGCTACGATGAAATAGTCTAATTGTACAAATTTGGTTTGATTCGTATACAGTCTATAAAGTCGAAAACGATCGTGAACGAAAAAAACTGAAATACATTTAAAACAATTTCTTTGTGTATGAGGGGGGGAGAGGAGTGTGATCCGAGGAGAAATTCTGAACCAATTTCCAATAAAATGTCACGAGTGTGGTCCTTATCTGTTTTCTTATCGGAGGAAGAAAAATGTTTTCATTCATATTTACATCGCGTTGAACGAATTTCTATTTACATAGAAGTTTGAACGTCATAATATACAAAATATTGCATACATTTCGATTCCTATGTGCGTCAAAGAGAACTGAGTTCCGGTAACGTACATTTATACTATGTTTGATTACATTATCTAATATCTAGTAGCTAGTAGACACACATATACCTATATATAGCCATATATATATATATATATTTAATATGCCTACCTATTTTTATGTATGTTTCAAAGTGACAAATATCTATGTATCTACCTACTTACGTAAATGCGGTTAACTTAAATGCGCTTTAAAATTCGTTAAGCGCGTAGATTATACAGATTGATCTCCAGTTAATAGATACATTAACTACGATTTTTTGTTTTTTGACCATTTTAAATTTCCCGTTTAGATTTTGAATGAAGCGAGGAATGTATTGGTTTTGCTACAATGATGTTTATCATTATATTTTATCTGTGAACAACTTGTATACCAATAATTTTGCTCCGTTTTTCAAGTGCAGCACCTTAGGGAGGTCATTTTTTGACTTTCCCAACGGTTTTCAAAATAATTGTGAAAAACCGGGAAAAAACGTAGAAAAGATGGGACAATTTACAAAAATATATACGCCTTTTAATATTTTTAATTTATTTTTTTGTTGTAATTCAGTGAAAGATATTCGTAGAGACTTGACATTTTGACAGAAACTTTATATTTGCCTTTTTTAGACGTGGTAAAATTGAGCCATCTTAAAGCTATTTATAGACATTTTAATTTTACGAGTTTTTTACGTAATATTTATTTCGGTAGGTACCTACTTTGAGGATAAAATTGTTAGATCAAACAGAAATGCTTGACAATTTAACAGGGCGTTTCATTATAGGTTGTACTTAGTGATCAACAAGAAAATGTTGAGTTTAATGAAATATATATTTTTTTTTAAGAATTTTAATAGTCATCAAATTTTGACAAAAATCGTAAATATTACACCCTTTTAAACATATATGATAGTACTCCACTCAGAATCGTTTTACTTTAACAAAGAATAATCGTTACGTACAGATATACATTAAATACCCCTCTATATCTACCTTCCCAAATTCTCACCTACATAGGTATTATACCAAAATTGTTTATGGAATTATAGTTTATTACTTAAATTAGGGACGATTAGAAACTGGGAATTTAGCGAGTGAGTCTACCTAATTTATTTTTATTTTTTGTGAAAATTGTGTTTATGTGTATAAACTCTTAAAAAAATATGTTTTAAAAAAAATCCATTTTAATAGATTTTTAACTTTCTTATTTTTCTAAAAAAAAAATATACATGTAAATTATATAGTAGGTAGGTTATATATTGTGTAAACGCAAGTGAATTCAATTTCACATAAATTGTTTATTTAAAGAAGAGAGAATCTATGCAAACAAAACAAATAATAAGAAATGAATTCCCTAACCGGATTATTTTAGCCGTGTACACTTATATTATATTTTATATTTCCATAAGCTGTAACGCATAGAAATATAAATTATTCGTTAATTATTATTATACATTTAATTTTAAACATTACCGACCGTAATAGTTTAGATAGAATACAAATTAATATTTTAAAATGTTATTCGGAAACTATATAATTAAGTAGGATCTCGTCATAAGTAGAATGAGATTATCATAATTATAAATCGCCCAGTATACGTTATACGCACTTACACTTATATTTTAGAAACGTAATAAAAAATAATAGTATTTATTACTATAATAATATTATTATGGTAACGCCATTAATACAATGTTAATAACGGCTATATTTTTAAGGAACACACTTTGAGGTTCGCGGTGCGTGGAAAGTGTTGTCGGCGACTCTGTTTTTGCGCAAAATATCCTGCAAATGCGAATATCCAAAGATTTTGTACATACTGCGGCGCACGTATTGCATTATACTCGGGCAGTTTTAGAAAAAATTACTTGGAGAATTTTCAAACTGGTTTAACATTATATTTACCAAACGACAGTGTACGCGGCCTGCGCATAACCGTACGATGCAGGACAACATTGACGTCACGGACATAAATTACGATTATTTATTATATTAGGCATATTACACGGTGACTGGGCCGTGGAGGTATACTTAATATTATAAAATAATATTGATTGCGATGATACGCCGGCAACGTTATACTTGAAAATGAATAATATTATTATCTTAACAACTCGCCGGCGGCACCGCAGCACGCCGTTTGAACAATTATTTCTCGCTATTTTATTGCTGCAAAAACATATAATATTCGTAATACGTAGTTGTATGACGTCTTTCGAAAATTCAACGGCGTTTATAACAAACTGACCTGTATATGCATTCGAAAACTCTACAATTTGAAAATATTTTACCGTCGGCTCTTGCGGTTCCGAAATTCAGCGATATCAACGAAATTTCCATCAGATTATTCCAACCGTTTATTCTACCGACTTCTTTGAATGATATTTCTTATTTGATTTTTTTACCGCGATTTAAATTTACACCAGAGATTATGTATACCAACCGTGTGCTTATATAATATTCGACTATATCCAACGTAGTAAAAAGTGTTGGTATCGAACAATCTTCCAACAGATCCGATGCTTTTAATTACATTTTGGGGCGTTGTTTATAATCGTACATTTTCCATAAGTCATTTTCGCACACCTTTTTCGATTGTTTAGTAGGTATTCTTAAAGGATCAGCCGTTCAGAACCGCATACTTTTTATTGACGCTTTAAAATTCGGCGATCGTACGAACAATAACGTATACATTTACCAAAAATCAGATTATCGTTTAGAACCACACTACAGTTAATCCACAAAAATAAAACTTTAGGATTGACCATAGATTGCTATACTATAAGTTTCTTTAGATTTAGAAACGTTATCAAATGTATATGAAATTGAATTTCTACTGTCAACTTTAAATATTCGTAACAGCAACATAATTATTAATGTACCAAAAATATCAATTTCATTTTTTTTCGAAAAAATAAAAATTCTGGAAACTTAGTTTGACGTTGCAATTTTAAATTATGTAGTGTTATGGTGACGGGAAATGCAGATATAAATGTATTCATCCAACAAAATAAAATTGAAAATAATCACCGAGAAATAGAATATTTTAATGAATACACCTACATAATAATAATATCTTAAGTATTTAAAAATTAAGTGAAATTATTTAATAAATAAACAATTAATAACTAACTTTATAATAATATTTTGAATTTTGGAATATAGTTACCCCACTAAGAAAGTAATTTTTGATTTTCTAAGTAGTTTTTATGAAATTTGGGAAAAATTAGAAAAAAATAATAACGTTTAAATTTACGGCGCGTTAATGATATCACTATCATTTTAATTGTTTTCGATTTGGTTTTTCTACCACACTTCTTGCACTGGAATTTTTTTTTTAGGCCATAATTTTTTCCTCCATTAATTCGAAAAAAAATCTAATACGATCGATGTACACTCCAAATACGTATCGTATTCTTTTAATTTTATAATATTGGTGTTTTTTCTCTCTAAATCCAAGATTTCAGAGTTCTAAACTTGATTTTATATTAAACACGTTTTCATCACGAAAAAAATCATCTTTTTCACATTTTATTTTTCGTAGTAGGTGTGCTGCCAATTATATCAAGACCGTCCTGACAAGCACAATCTTATCCACATGTACTCTATGATTTGTAACCATTTTCCATTCAGCTCCAGGTCTTAGTTTTTTATGTAAACTTTAATCGTCACCTTAAAGCAGAACATTTTTCACACTTGATGCAAAACAAAAAAAAAAGACCCACTCAATCAAAACATTTGTGGATGTCCTACAAATAATTACAACGGCAACATTATTGACTACATAATATAGGGTATAATATAAGTAGGTATATTAATAATATAATACATAACACTAAAGGCATTTATGATCTCTGAACTAGCAATCTCAATCAACAATTCAACATATTTGGTTACCCGTCCACACACCCATTTTAGTCATGAGACGATTGCATCGAAAAAAAAAAAAACATACTTCGACACGCCACTGCCCTAAAGGTCTCTTTCCATAATACCTCTTTATACTCATGGTCATGCGCGTCCCGAGTCCGGCATTCAAATATTTTCGTCTTCAAAACGACATTTGGCCGCCCGGTATACTTCGGCAGCCGTTTACAAGTACATGCGTAAAATCCCTCATCGTGTTGCACGTTACGCGCATCTTGTTATACGCGGTTTTTCGCCCGTAACCTAACCTAACCTTTAGATGTTCTCTCCCCACCCCCTCTCTCACGCGTTTTGTCGACGGTGTTGTTACGTTCACGCGGCCGTTCGGCGTCAGGTTACCGCGCGGGGTGACCAGTCCATATTTCGTATTTATAAACACGCGCGTGTTAAATCAATCACCGTGAATCGATTTCGACGGAAGAACCGAACGAAAATGCAACGGCGCAATAGTTCCCATTCGATATGTCAGAACGCGCGGGACGGCACCGCAGTGTAAAAATAAGGTTACAAACAAAGTGTCAATGTAAATTTGTTCGCGTTTACCACTGTGCGACAATATCGCGAGCGGACCGCGTCTAATGGCATTGTTTACGAATATTGTAAATCCGCGGACGACTTCCGGGTCACCGCCGCCGCGTCCACGCACACACACGCACGCACACGGTAGGCGTTACAACGTAATTATACATTTTTTATAATATATTTTAATCAACGAGACCGAGACCGAGTGTGCAATACGAACCGGATGCAATAGGTATAATAATAATACAAATAAAACATAATGCCAGGTACGTCCGATATGATTTTCTGCGCTCCCGCATTATTATACGGACATACTATATCTAAATATATATACATATAATACACACACACACACACACACACTGTACGCACAGCCGATAATATAATATAACACGGACGTCATTGCGCACAGGAAATACTGACGTATATAATACACGTATACATTTTTTTTTTTTTTTTTTTTAATATCACACGACAATTACGGTGATTCTTTTTTTTTTTTTATAATAGCCACGCACATCCCATAAGATAAATCAAAATGTCGTTAGTATCATCATAATCGTTATTGCTTTTTTTTCTCAAATATTGACGTCACTGCAGGAGGGACACGACACAGCGGCGGCCGCGCGACCCTCGAAAGCCGCAACACAACGGACCTACATATTACTGTTATTATTATTATTATTATTATTATTATTATTATTATTATAATATTAATAACATGTAATAGAGAAAATAACGCGTGCGAAACGAGCCTGAGAAAACAGGTATATAATAATATCACATACGTACTACACGTTATGACGTAAACGTCTAAAAAAATAATGTAATATATTACTATGCACACGTATGAGATAGATAGTAGTATTACGATATTATTTTCAAACAAACGGTAAAAAAACGTCCAAAAGGAAATACGTACAATGTTGGAAACGTATCGTATAGGAAAAAATATCCGAGGACAGAGCAGTATCCGAACAGGAAAAATATTCGAAACGCATACACGATTATATAATTTAGTAGTCATATTTTAAATAATCGCCTAGTATGTTATTATATTAAAAAAAAATCTAGTACCTATTACAATAAATAACAAAATTGAAAAATAATAAATAAAATCATTATTTTCGGACATTTCCCGTATTCCTTACGATTTATCCTGGTTTTTGTCAGATTTATGAAAACCGCTTGACAAATCAAAAAAATAACCTCCCAAAATTACCATTTGGACATTTCCTATCAGAAATGGTGCTGCGCGTATATACCTGAGCAAGATTTCTAATCGAATTTTTGTACACAGTAAAAAAAGAAAAATAAACATCTTAGTAAAACTAATACATTCTTCGCTACACTCAAAATTTAAAACTATTAAAATCCAATTAGACTATAATACATATTATATATTTATGCTAAATAAGTAATAACTATAACGGAAAATGCAAAGCCCACAATCGTGCGATAATATTATACACTAGTTACATAATAGGAGGACTTGTTTCGGTATGACGTATGCGATGCAATAAAATGCATGTGTCTATTCTTCTCGTTGCATCGCATTGTATAAAATCGTAAACGAACAAGTTTTTATTTTATATTAATGTTTTTAATATATAAATAGTTACTTGCGGATATTTCGGATCCGGATGATATTTCACTTAGATATTATTAACAACTTTGTTTTTTACACTGGCGAGCAAACCGTCACACAAACAAGTATACTGTTGAAAAACGAATCTTCTTTCCAATCAATTGGTTACTTTTATTATTGAAAATCTATCTAACTCAAAGAACAAAATCAACAAGGGAACATATTTTTGTTTCGTACTTTACAAAACGACTTATATCTTGTTTAGTTTCACCGTCGTTTCCGGTCCCCTGCCGGTGGTATCAGCATAATATTATTATTTTGGTCAACGTTATTATTTTATCATCGGTCACTCCACACGTCCTCAAATAATACAAGGTGTGACTACGTACAATAATCTCGCTGTATAGGAAATCAATTATCTTTTATAGTATATAAAGACCGTTTATCAATGCTGTTTCGAAGCAGTTTTTACAGAAAGTCTTGACAATATTTCCGAACGGTTATTAGTGCACGCATATGGTGTATCCACAGGATCTGACGATTTTTAATGTAATAGCATAGGATAGTGGTTTTTAAACTGGGTGTCGAACATTAATGTGTAGCGATCTTTTGAAAATATATTAGTTATTTTTTTCAGATCTATAATGAGTTATACAATTTTCTAAAGTTCTTCGTGATGGTCGAGACGTGATTATTGAACATGTTGCGAAGAGCACAGTGTCTACCGTGTATAAAAAATGTTTGAAAACCACTGGTATAGGAGGACGTTGTCAAATCCTGTACATGCAAACTGTATATATATATATATGAGTGGAACTATCCCTCTGCGGGTATACAATAAATCTATGACGTGGCCTGAGAACGCACAAAGACGTTTACCGAGTATTTATCACGTCCCGGTCGTCGACAATCGTTCGGTATCCGGTTCGAAGTGCTAATATCATTACGACCGACGACGCCCATATATTTTATACGCTGGTGGTTAACGACCGGAAACTGCGCGGGTCGATTCGCGGTGGGCAGTATATTCGAAACACAATTCCCTGGGTGGGCGCACGGTCTTATATCGGATACATTAAAAAAATATGATTGGAATGTGAAAAAAAAATGGAATTTTAAAAAATCTGTAATTTTGGAGAGGAAAATTTCTGTTAATTTTTAATTTTATTTTGGAAAATCTTATTAACCGGTAGGTATAGTATATACCTATCTATAATAATATAGTCTAAACAATATTCATAGTCGGCGGAAAATGTTAAGGATAATATCGATACCTATAATATAGTATTATTTCGGTTAACAAAACGGGCGTGTTCTAAAAATATTTTAGTTTTTGCAGTCCATTAGTTTATAGTTTCACAATTCGTTTGGATAGATAGCAATATTATTGTACTCGATGCACATATTAAAATATATGCAGACTTCGGTCAGACTACATTTCCAGGGTGTGACGAACAAATACAATATTATTTTCGCCGGGTAATTATTACACTGCGCTGATTTTTTAAACACTATTTTTTGCGATACAATTTTAAAACGCTCCTCTATGTACTTTCTAAAAATAATTAACCTTAAAAACTGTATATAATACTATTAATAATCTGTGTGTAAGTATAGACTCAGTGGCGCAACCAGGATTTATCAAAGGAGGGAGGGAAGTTCAAATATAATAAATTATTTTATTGCACAATAAAATAATCATTTTTAAGTTATATACACCCAATGATAAATACGATTTTCACAAAGCTATATCAAAACACCATAAATATCGCGAGCATAAAAAAAAAAGTGGATTATATTATAAAATATATAATATATTAATAAATAATACAGCATTTTATAATACCGAATGAAAAAAATTTGCTTTAAGTATTTAAAAAAGATGGACATACTTCACATGTGGGTGTACCATTGGTGTATGTGAGAACTTAGGAAGAAAGTAGAGGGAAAATTGAATGTATATCTGAACGTAACGGTTAACCATTGTTAATGAAAAGCGATTCTCAGCGGAATTCGGTTGATTGTGCTGCTTTATCAACAATACATTATACGTCATATTATGGTAAAATAATTACATATGCATTCTATATTTTCTTTAATAGTATTTGATTAATATTGTACCTATTTTCCTGTTTTTCCTAAGTTTTTTCCCGGTTTTTTTTCAATTATTGGGAAAATCAAAAAATGAGCTCCCTAAAATATCACCTCAGTCAGATTTCCTTTTAGAAAAATTGCTATCATTATAAATCGAAGCAAAATTACTTGTAGAAATGTTGTCCACAGAAAAAATAAAATAAAAAATTAAACATTATTGTAAAATCAATACATTCCTCGTTCCACTCGGAATCTAAAATTAAACAATAAAAATAATTTAAATTTAAATAAAACAACATTCAATATCCGCTGCAGTGAAAAATCTAACTACCATTTTTCCAATGCCCAATACATCTACAACTTCATTATTGTAACCGACTTATCTTTTTGTATCTTGTGGAGAGCTAATCCATGTAATTTGTTTTCCGAGTTTTTATTTTTAAGATATATTTCAAAAATTTGGCATTCTAATTTATAGATAAATTAAATTTTGTATTATTATTTTTGTTTATATTTATACGGTTCAAGAGAGTGAAGGGGAGAGTCTGAACCCGGAGTTCATAACCTTGGTTGAGCCACTGAGTATAGTATCCTACAACGAGTAGGGAAGGGTAGCAAACTTAATATCCATTTTTAAATGACGAATTAGTAACTCTTCCCTATACTCCTCTGATATAAAATTTAAACGGTTAAACTAATAAAACGATAAATCCGATATTTTCTATTCGAATATGTGTTGAACACTATAGGCATTCCTATTTAAAAGTCAAAAGTGTTAATTTATTTAAGGTACAAAAGAATTAGGGGTGAAAAATTGAAAATAAAAAATACACTATTCCATAATGACTAGAAAAACATAAATCATATTGGCGCATAAAATCCTTAAAGGTAATCGCGGGTTTGTGATAAATGAGTCACTCTGTACAATATACGTATACGATTTTTCATCCGGATACAACTGATAAGTAAAAATATGAAAAGTACACCAACAATTTAGTGCACACCTATGTCATTATAACTTACTGTCACTCGGACGGCGATTATATTTTGGTTGTTACAATTATACTTATTACGCGTTGGAAAAATGTGGCGAAACATTTACGTATTTTAAGCGAAAGATGGCCGGGCAACATTATAATACCTATATAATGTGTTATAACATAATGTTTTCGACATTTCAAAATAATTTAATAATCGACACGATTCTCTAAAAACGCAAAAGACTTTCATACTTCGGATGAGTAAATTCGTTAGTGTTTTTAGAAAAAAAATTTCTTTTTTCATTATACACCTATAGATTTCGCAAAGTTTCAATATTTTTTTTTAAGTGCGAACATACATAATGCTATATAATAATGACGGTTTTAATTATGATTTTTTTTCTTTTCCTGAATAGCTAGAAAGTCACATTATGTACAGTGTGGAGCTGCTGATGATGCGTTTTGATATTTTACAAAACAATAAGTGTAACTCGATATTATACAATATATATATATATATATATTTTCGCAACTCAACCGTCCAGTGTCGTATATTAAATAAAGAAGCAGGAAAAATGAAAAAAAATATTTATTTTATTTCAACTCATACGTAAAAGAATCAAAAAAAGAACATAACATAAATAACATTCGTACAGTATGCATGATATATCATTTTGTGTGTAGTTATTTATTTATTTAATTCACGAATAAGTTTCCCTTGAAGCAATAGCTTATATATGGTTATAAAAAATAAAAATAAGTAAAACAAAACAATGACGGAGAAAAAAAATAGTATATTGATTACACGATGAAAAATGTAAGCATTAAAGAACTGCATAATATTAATAACTCGAATATTGAACAATCTCAGTGTCCAAATTTTTAAAGTGATGTGAAAAATATTTTAAACATTTATTTTATTTTAAATAACGATATAATAATTTGCTATACTTTTTACTAAAGCAGAGCATTATAAATAACTTAGTATAACAACAAGTATATGGCTTTAGGGTATATATAAATAAATCCTAAGGATGAGTACGAGTGGGAATGATGTGGAGTTATGATAGGGCACGTGAAAAACAAAATATATATATTCTGAAACAATTGCCAGTTATAATATATCAATACTGTAGGTCTTAACGAATATCATTTAACCTAATCAAACATATTACTCATTAGCGCTCTGTTAAAACATGTTTTTTTCTTCACCGGTGTCGGTTGTAGATAGATAGAAGATAGATACGGTGCAACTTTCCTAACGATTTATATGCACCGTATGTTTTAATCATCTTAATTTGTTCTACAAATTTACGAATTGAAAATTATAGCTTACAACTCGAATATATAAATATTTTCGTATTGCCTCTAATTTTAAGCGCAATATTCGTTTGCATTTAACAGCAGGTACATCGCTATTACGTGAGGGGGTAACTACTAACTCGTGTGCACCGGCGTGCAGAATTCTCTACACTATTATTATTATTGTCTGGTAAACAGGATGATTATTAGTTTTTTTTTTTTTTTTTTATCTACGAAGATTTCGGGTAAATTTGATTTTTATAATTTTCAATCGAAAGACCTCTTCTCGTCGCTCATTTATCGTAATTTACAATTTGAATGTTGTAAATATAACTATTAAACGATTCTAGATAGTTTATCTATGCATAATTTACTCTTAAAAATCTCCGCAGTACATAAATGTTGATTCGTGAAAAAATTATCACCGTGTATAAACGGAATTGGGATTACCTTCGGGATAAGAACGCCCATCCACGAAATCAAATCAATGCAAATCATATTACGTAGATTCACGCGTCCGAAAATAGTTTACCGTAATTATAATCGCGAAAACGCATATAAAGGACAATTATTATTCGTATTTTCACAGCTAATGTCCGTCAGTTGTGTATTTATATATGGAACTACTATCTGATCATAAACCGTATGTACGACGATTTTGAGTAAGTAAATTAGATATTGGTTGTTTTTTTTTCAGTCATTATAGAGAATAATCGTGTTTTAACGATCATATAATTTGCAATATTTTCACAATTATTGAATACCGGCTATAGTTGAATTTTTTTTTAACGATTTGAAAAAAAAGAATTTTTAGGGCGGGAGGGAATTTCGGAAATGATTCCAGTCTAGTGTCCTGGTTGTATAATAACAATGATATTAGCATGCGCAAAAATGTAAATTTGTCAATTCTAAACATTATGCTATTATAATTATTCTAATCAATTATTGGAACTATTTGTCTAACCTTCCAGAACGCCCTTCCACATCTCTAATATATTGACGTCTACGAGAGTCACGTGCCCGATTATAATTGTTGCAAATACCATTATTGTCCATTACCAAATTAGTCACGGTAAATAGGTAATTAAAAACACGGCCAACGACGAATTAATTACAAACCAATATACGAGACGGTCTGCACGATTTCGAATTAAACAGTAGCTCGGCGTACACCACTTGCGAAAACTATTGCCACGCCTACGAAAATACAATCGCATAAAAAAATCTATCGTTGCAATATTCATCAAAACACTGCAAAAACATACGCATTTGTAGATTTAAATGAAAACAAAAAATAATAAAAAATACTTGTGCGTGTATTATACCGTTCGTATATTTATGTCTACGATTCAAGTACAATTCTTTTACAAAATGCTATAATGTTTTTATTTCTGTATAGTTAATATACGTTATCTATCGGTATATCACCATGTATAGAGTGTGCCAAAATATAAAGATGAGACATTTATAGAGATCACCAGATTGGATAAGATAAAACAAAAAATCAAGATATTTCTATCGAAAATAATTAATAACGAATATAACCGTCGAATGAGTAATTGTCGAAAATATTATTATCTCTATACGTACGTCATTGCTCTAATACGGTAATCTTACGTATAAGGCCAGTTAAGGATTTATGCAGTGTGGACGTACACACAGTATTTACCAGAAGGACAAAACATATTACGACGATAAGCCATGAAACTAAACAATATTTAAGTGTCTAAAAACATACACAGGTTAATGCATATATTATCATAACATCGCATTTTTACATAGAGTCAACAAAATACCTATCATAATACAATATTAATTGGTACCAACATTAAATTTTTTTTTTTTTTGTTGATAACATGTATGTGTGATTTTAGAGTTGGGAAACGAAATAGGAATATTTCTGTTGACATTTTATTGTTTTTACGATTATATCCATAAGGAATCACCGAAAATAATCTAATGTGATTAGGATTTTTCAAGAAAAATTTTTCCTTTACCAATCAGAATCTAAAAATATTATTCATTTTCAACGATGCGATTTAAATATAATATTTGTTTAACACCCATAAAACGTTTTCTTGCATTGTTCTCCAATTTTTTATATAAATATTGCCTGCCGTAATGAAAGAGGTCGTGTAAATTTAAGGTCGGATCTTTTCGTAGCATCGCCCACGTAAAAAGACGTATATCGAATTGCCCAAAGAGGAAAAAGTTGGAAAAATAGTGAGATATGACCTTTTTCGTTGTGGCAGGCGATACAATATATAATATTTTTTATACATATACGTAATAATTTAACGGGAAGTTTACGCGTCCTTCTTACATAAAATATACAGGCGACGCCATAAAATATATACCAGTAGCCATATATATTATTATACGCAGGTAACCGTTTCTATGGTCGTACTGTGCAATTTTCGATCGTTTCTGCGACGTAATAATAAATATTATTATTACGTGTTTAATGCACACGTGCGTAATACGAGCGGAGACTGCAAGTGTACATAATGAATAAAAAAAATGTTTTATGTACTCAATATAGGTATTATTATATAGGCGAAATCTCCATCGATGGTATTCTAATTGCAGTTTAATTTGGGGCGTTTTGAGGAACAAATTTATTTATTTATTGGGTAAACGCCCAAGTGGACTCAATTACAGTGATATAAATTAATACATTTAATAAAAACATTATAAGAATAAAGATATAAAAAGTACATTAGTAGCATAGATTAAATAATATAATAATAGAATTAAATTTACAAAATAATATTTAAGAGATAAATTGAGTAATGTACATCAAGCGGATGAAAAACAAGGATTAAAATTATATAACTCACATATAGTAAATACATCAAAAATTTTCAAATTATTGCATTCTCTGGCTATTTGACCAATTGGATTGTTAATGCCATATGATATGCGATGAAAAGGAATTTCAAACGTAGGACAAAAAGGCGAATGAAATTGAGGTACATGAATGTTTATAAGATGTAATAATTCTGGACAAGATATAACACCATTTACCAATTTAGATAAAAAGCAAATGTCTGTATATCTTCGTCTATTAACAAGGGAATCTAAATTAAGGGAACCCTGAAAGAATAAAGAGATATTGAACCGGGTGAGTAAATATTGGAATGCATACGTATCTTATATGCGATGAAACGTAGAAATCTTCTTTGGACTTGCTCAAGTCATTCCACCAACCCTATGTGTAAGGGGTTCCAAATAACTGAACAGTATTCCAATATAGGTCTAAATAATGAAGTATATAATGTTCTAAGACACAGTTTATTCCTAAATTCTTTAGTATTCATAGTTAAAACACCAAGAATTCTTAGGGCTTTCGCGTAGATATAATCAACATGAGACTGGAAAGATAAATTGGTTTTAAATAATACCACAAGATCTCTAATAGTACTAATTTCCTCAATGTAATCATCAAAGAGATGATAGTCATTAATTAATTAAATTTTTGACCGAGAAAAGAACATTTTGAAACACTTAGAATAAATATATATATATGTATGCATATATTGTATTTACATATTTTATACAAAATATATTATACATTTTTAATCGTATCTCGATTCTAGGTGCACCTACTAATTACAATGTCGTATAATAACCGTAATATCGTTACCTATATATTAAAAAACAGTGTTACGACCGCGTTACGTATTATACCAATAATATGTATATGATGTAAGGGCGAACGTACAATAAAAATATGTAACCTCGCGGGAAATTTTAACGCACCGAGTGCGTCAAACACTATTTATGAATTTGAGTAAACTTTAAAATCGTTTCTCTTCCGACTGGACGAACACGCGCGTTGCAAACGATATTTTATTATTCGACTGTCTGTCGATTTGCAAACCACATATAGACTGTCTGTGTTTACAAATTATTGTTACGTACACTAGCTATGACCATAAATATCTAAATGCACACACAGAAGCTAACGAACAGGTCCGTGCGCTCCCCAAAGCTGGATATCCGAAATTCACCCCTAAAAAGGATTGGAATGCAGGACTCACGCGGGGCTTTTGATATTTGCGGTATAAAAATTGAATTTTGTTTGTTGTTGTTGATTATCCCTTATCGGCGAGGCAGATGAAACAAAACAAAACGTCAAACGGTTATTATTGGTTAACTATAGTTAACATATACGCCTGGGTTATAGAGAATTTTATATTTGGTTGCCGCGGCAAATCAACAAAGCGTTACAGACGGACGGATCGCGGTTTTTACAATATTATAAGTAGGGCTCGGATTTCAAGGCAAAATACATCTTTTTTTTAATGATATTAGATAATACTTTCTAAGTATATAATTTGATTCATGTAACAGACATTTCAAAGGTGAAACTTTTATTTTGCATCTTTTAATGTTTTTTTTTTTATTTTTTGGTTATTTTTTTTGTTTTATTGCATATTTGTACATAATACAACCATCGATTAAATATACCAAATATATTTAATCTACAATAGGTACGACTTAATAATTTAATCTTAGCTAATTCAAAGTTTTACCCATGTTTTTGAGGTTTTTCAGTCAATCATTCAAATACAACTCCTCAGTCAATATTACTGTCGCTAGTCACAAGTCAAATTTTTCGATTTTCTAATAAAAATATTATAAATTATAAAATAAAACGATAAATTTAAAAAATGTATGCCATTTTTCGATGAATTTAGTGTATTTAAATTTGAGCTTTAATTGTAAGGTAACGTTTTCTCGGGAAATGGAATACACAACAACGGTTAATTGCAATTAGGCGCGGGGGTGAAAACGGGGACGCACGCTAAATTAAATTTTTTTTTTTATTGATTTCTGTTTTTGAACGGGAGGTTTTTTTTTTAAATTTGCATTTATATGTCGAAAAAAAATTGAAGAATTTTATTGACACGGACAATCTCGAACAGGACAGCGCTATACAGTGTTACATAAAAAAAACATAATATATTATGTAAATGACACTATATTATGACGAATAGTTTTTGTGATTTTCGGTTTATCGGAGAGAGTCGAGCAATCGAAAATGATATATACCTACTATATAATTTCGCACGATACATAATATATTATTATTATTATCATCTATATAGACATTTTCATATAAGACGTCGGGTTATTGATCTTACGATCGGTATTTTTGACAAAGTGAAATTAAATTTGAACAGCTTATTTTTGACGTCATGATTTTTACGCAATCAATATACCTATATATATATATGATATAAAATGATGCAATTCTCAAATAAATAAATATATTTAGGTCAATAATTTCAACGGGATATATATTATAATTAGGATTAAAAAAAAAAAACAACCATTAATTAAGAATATATCTACTCTAAATAGAAACAAACGGCATAATCATTATTATCGTATTAATTTGGCAAGCGAGTTATGATATAGATTCCTAATAAAATATTTAAATATACAGAATGTAACTCGAAGATCTGATACCTGAAATAACTTTTGTTCTGTTCAACATTTTAAAGTTTTCCCTCCATTTTATGTGTATATGTATTATTTTTTTAAACTAAAAATGAAAAATTATTTTAACAAAATATGGGACATTTTATAAATGACAAATTGTTAAGTTTTTTGTACGTTTACAAAAATCATTGACAAAAATTATTTTGTACGGAAAAATGTATGAATCCATTGGTACTATTATTATTTAATAACGGCAACGAAACCAATCTAAATCATCGTAACCCACAAATTGTAAACAATTAGAGGTTCATCATCAGTATAATTATTTGTGACACCAACATTTCGTTGCAAAATATAATTATAAAATGGCTACCTCAAATTTTTTTAAAAACGACGTTTTTTAAAGTTTAAATTGTTTATTTTCAGTTTTATTAAAAATATGAACTAAAAGAATCAAAGCGCAAGTCGACGGCAATTGTTTATAACAATTCTTATAGAAAAAAAAAAACCTTATAATATTCAAGAGAAAAAGTTATTTCAGGTGTCAGACGTCGTGTTACAGTCTGTATAAATAGGTAGATAAGAAATGTGAATTTTTGATGTCTGGCGTACTTGAGAATGTTGTTTATAAATCGATAAATAAAAAAACAATCTACTAATACAATATATTGTGTTGCATATATCATAAAATAATATACTTGTATAGTAGCTACGAATAACAAAATATTTGTTCAAAAAAATTATAATTACAAAAACACGATTATAATAATTAGTTTATGCATTATAATTGTACCTAAGATACCGAACATTGACACATTTTATTAGTTTTTTACTGACTTGAAACGTGTTTATGATATAATAATATTTTTTATTGCAAGTTTTATACTCGTATAAATCTTGAATATAAGGATCATACAATTGAGACCGAACCATTTATTTATGATTTTGTTCGAGAAACCGAAAATATCTTTATTCAAAAAAAAAAAATACTGAGATCACTATTCTATTCGAGTCAATTCGTTGGGTTGATTCGAAATCAATTATTTAATTTCATAAACGCATATTACCAGGACTCATAACTTAAAGCAATCGCATATTTTTCTTTGTGATCTTATAGAGATACCCGTGTGAGCTATACATTTGTTTCTGTAAACCATAAAGTCACGAAAGTTTATGTAGCATATTTTCAAAAAACATCTTAAAGTTTCGGTGCTATTTTTTTCCCTTTTTTTATGCATTTAGCGCTGTTTTAATACTGTAGCCTTCAAAACATATTACCTAAATTAATAATAAGAACATTAAGTATAAAAAATAATAATAAGAACAATTTAAATAGTCTTGAATATCTTCATTTTTGTTTTTTTCAATTAGCGTCCAATGCAACTCGGTAAGATAGTAATCCTATCGATAAGGAAATATCTCTATAATATTGTATCACGTACATATTATACACATATTATTTTTAGATCGTTGTTTATTTATTCTCGTTTGCATATTACATCATTTTTAGTGCATATTTAAGAGGTTATATGAATGTTTTTCAAAGCATATTATTGGGCGTATAACAACCCGTTTAAGGGCTGCAAGTTATGATCACTGCGTATCACGCTTTATCACTACCTAAAGCTATCACGTTTGTTAGTCACGCGTAAACGGAAAAGAGGAACGACAAAATGATATTTCGGGTACGACAATAATTATAATGAGAGATTTTTATTGTATACGAATATCGAAGTAAAAAAAAAAAACTTTACGAGCTGGGTATGCTTAAAAAATATACTCGTACAAAATAATACACATCTGCACATACATATAATATACCTTTACGACGTATTAATTTCAAGGATATTTAATTGTCAAGTTAAATTTAAGTGCTGCACGGTGTTCAGCCTAAAAGCCACCGTCGGGGAAAGTAGGGGTGTAGGGGAATGCATTATTCGAGTACCTACTTATAAATATATATAGTAAATTTTTAAATATAATTAACAAGAAAATTACCATACTTAATGAAGCCACGCAAGTTAAAATATAATAAATCGAACTTTGTATAATATTATATACCTATAAGAAATCTGATTCCCGTAGCTAATTGCGGAGCATTTTACATATTTCAATTTTTTTTTTTTCATTATCAACCATGTAAGACAGATGGAACAATTTCGAAAATCCATCATAACGAGAAGAATAAAAGAGAGAGAGAAAGAGCAAGGTAAACTGTGTATAGAAATAAAATGAACCCGAGTTAGTTTTTAAAATAATAACGATTATACTTAAACAATATTATATTCTTCGGACTTCGGTTGTAAATTTGTAATTTATTTTGAAAAGTTATGTTTTATGTGAGCAAATATATATTATAGCCGTACTGAAAAATAAATTATGTCGCCACCGTGAAATTTATGTTAATTTCATTGGTTTTTTTTTCTTTTTAAGTTTTGCTGATTATATTAATTTATAACTTCAAAAGTTTACCTACCTAATATTATAATACCTAAAGATCTTAATGTTCAACGATATAGGGAAAAACCAAGGGTCATTATTACTACTGATGTAGTAGAACGCAAAAGTCGAAAACAATAAATCGGATCAAAATAATAATAACACCCCTCTCCCATAATTATATCATAGATAATATCATAATTCTATATTTATACGAACCGATAATCGATAGTGCGCTTTGAAAAAATTCGTATTATAATATTTCGGCCGTGAACAAAATATTATGCTTTTTAAATATTTCAAAACGGACTTTTTGATACAGAAATCTGCTATATAATAAAAACGATATACAATTCCAAATATATTAATTATACGAAATATGCGGAATATTTAACTGTGGCGGGCAACATGGTTACGAAAACATATTTTATAATTTATCAGTACCTATGTCCTATATTATATTATATACCTACGTACACTGCAGAATGCCAAGCGCGTTTTACCTATACATTCGTGCAGTCTTGCAGTTTAATTTTAAACGATACAAACTATTATTATACTTATTATAACGAACAATAACGCGATAATATTAAAGTAAAAAATCGAAACGTGATCTAAAAATTGTACGGGTAACTATAGTCGAATATTACGGTTTTCTCGGTAAAACTTATCAGGTGTTGTTTATTACTGTATAAATATACAGATATCAATAAATTTAAACAGGTACTGCCAAATGATGGCGCTAAACACATTAGTTTTTTTTTTTTATTTTAATCCGAAAAAAAAAGCAATATAAAATTATAAACCTAGGTAACCTAGGTATACCTCAGTTATAGTCATCTGTCATTTGTCAACCTTCTTAGGGTACGCGAAAGAAGCAAGTTATCGTGATAAAATCGAGTGGCATTGTTTTCTAACTACGGCGATAAACAAACTGGCAGGTGTCCGGTTCGAAATTTTGAAAGGATCTCGACAAATCGTATATCTCTGTATAATAATACGAAATATTAAAAATATTAATTCGCGGTTGCCATCACACGATTATGCCATTATGAACTTCATTCGATTTTTTTCCGAAATACCTGTATTGTGAAATAAACAGAACGAATAAATAACATGTTCATATTTAAACGTGTCCGTCAAGCCAATATGAACAATTAACAATACCTATATTTGTATAGTTATTTATCAAAATGAATATTACGCATGCGTAACATAAAATCAAAAAACAAACGATACCAACGTATAGAAATCTGTAGTAAAGATGGTAAACGCACGGTAGTAGATGCATTTTTTTTTTTATATTTTCATTTATTTTCGCCAAAGACCTGCAACAAACAATGCCGATTGTCGTGGTTTTCGATACCCGGAACAAATCCGGCTATTCGCAATATTGTTTCCACAACAGCCGTATCAAACGCACCATTGTCGTTGACACCGATTTTCGAATTTAACACGTGTGATAACGTCGCGTATTACGTGGTAAAAAAACAAAAAACAAACAAAACAATATTATTGTTATTATCTCGTGTACCGGTCGCGGCCGTTTATTCGGTTTTTTTTTTATAATGATAACTATTTTGTTTTTATTTTTTTCATTTCCGTTAACGCATCTCGTTCACTGGCCGCACATTTATAACCCGGTACGTAAACTATCATATTTTTTAATCCGTGCCGTGTGTTGCCATCGGTATAGAGGGTACCCACCCACTCGGCAGTTTCCGCGTTTAGCGCACGTCATTTTTCCGTTCGGCCAATGGCGTCGTCGTTTTAATACGATTTTTTTTTTTATTATTATTCTTATTTTATTGAGATGTTTTGTAGTCCCATAATAATAATAGAACAACACAAACGTCATAATTATTATAGGTACTATTATTACCGGCACAGTAATATTATTATAACGTTTTAACGTGGGCCGACAACAAAACGAGATCTATGATGAGACTTTGATAATAGAACGACCCGCAGGAAATCGTAATAGGTAATGAATATTATTACAGCGACAAATTATGTTTGGATTTTATATACATACAAGGTGATTATTTAACTAGCGCGCGCAGTTATCTATATAATATATACGAATGTTTTGCGTAAATTTATTTTTTTTTTTTGTTTTTTCGCCCAGTCATCTTATATATGCATATTTATTTATTATTTATAGAAATCGTTAATAGAAATATAGTTTTATTCCGATCTTGATGTACTTGACCTTCGAAATGAAAGAAAATTATACTTTTTATCCCCAAATTTAACCTCTAAAGCGTCGTTCACACACATTTTGTAGTTTTTAAATAATAATCGAAAAATTTTTTGTTTATGTCTGGCTGAGTTATTTTTTAGTTACACGATTAATCAAATTAGGCGGGAAACCTAATCTAACCTAACCGAACCTACTCACTTTAATATAGGCTTAGACTATGTGTTTTCCACAGGTGTGATTGAAAATGTGTGTGTGTGTGTGTGTTCAAGTGTGATTATTTTTCAAACTCTTCAATAACATTGTAATAATTATAACTTTAACTATGGATCTTCGAAATAATTTCATATTGTTATAATGCAAATTTTCATTGTTTTCGGTATTCTATAGTTCTCGTTGTATTAGTTTATTTGGTTTTATGTGTGAATCGTTTTCGGCACTTCGTTTTAAATTGCTTCTTACTACTTCTCTAATCATTATTTGGTGGTCATACTCACAGTGATTATGTGTGTTTGTCATTTTTAAAATTGCATTTCAATTATTGATTAAAACACTAGCGGAACCTTTTTCATTTGTAATAAAATTCGTATCACCAGATTTTAAAGTTCTATATTCAATAAATTTAAAATTATCTACATTTATACTTTCGAACTTGAATATCCGTATTGATATTTTTATAGTATAGTTTACGGGCGATCAATTATTTAAACATTTAAAACTTTCAACCTAACTACAATATCTATAATATTATGATTAATACACGACGATTTTTTTTTCGATATATCGATTTTTGTATTATCGACTTACCTTCTCAATAATATTTAATATTAATATTATATTACTTTGTGTACTGTATTTATTTTGTGTGGAATTTTCCTAAAACGTTTTAAAATTAAATTAAAATAATGTAAAATAAATGATATTTAAAATTGTTGATTTAATGGGAGTAAACGAGTCGTCGAATTTCAGGTAAAACATAATATTTTAAATGAGCGTAAACGAGTTGTTGGTAAAAAATTGAATGTGTGCGCAAATGAATTGCACCGAGGAAGACGTACTAAAAAAGGAAATTTAAGTTTACGAGGTGTACCTGAAAATATGTTTTAATATAGTACACGGGATTTCAGGTAACATTATAAATAGGCATATGAGATCACTTAGAAATTCTATTACGTATATATATATATATATATATATATGATCCATTGGGGATACTCAACCAAATTTTAGCGATCAATTATACATGTATGCAAATTCTGAGTTTAGGAATTGTTAAGTGTTGTTTAAGACGATATTTTCATATACTTAGATATTTGACAATGTTTAAAGAGTATCCTGTGGCGATACCAATTTTGGTTTTTCAAATAAAAACCTATATTAAAAATAACATAAACAGACTGAGTAATAGTTACAATAAATGTTGGTGTTGGAATTTTTGATTTCTGTCAACTAGTTCACAAGATATTCTACTTTTAAGTTTAGCCAGAGAGAGAGTAGTGGAGCACTATATTCAAAGACAAGGCACTATACCGCTACACACACTTATGCATCAGAAAACAAAAACTAAAATTAAATTTAATGTCAAAATCACCGTAGATGATCAATAGACATGAAATGCCGCAATAATTAACTCCCTCTTTTTCTTATTAAATTAAAAATCTATTCGAACTGTATAATACGATGTTTTTATAACATTTTTTTTCTTTATTCATATTCAATTATGTATAATCACCTTGAATAAATAAAAGGCCAAATCATACATTTTTTATTACGTTTAATATTGTATTATTTTTTTGATATTATTTCAAAGTACGCCAGCGAGTTGTATACTCGAAAAGAATATTGTAATCGAGTCGATTTTTAGAAGGCTATAATAATTAATAACAAATAAACGAGCTGCTGCAGTATAAAAACAAAACGAAACCTGGGCACGATCCTTACGAGGCAGTTACGGCGACATTTGTCGTTTCTGTTTCTGTTTTTTTAATAGACAATGTAGGAAATATCTGTTTATGTAAAACAAACGGAAAGGCTTTTAAAGCCGAGTTTAAAGATAAAACGCCTATTTTAAACAGTGTAAACGGGACTATTTTGAAGACAACCACATCTTGGCGTTTTTAAAAATATTAATTATTGAATAAGTTAAGGATTTAAAAAAATTAAAAAAAAAATATAAATGCAATTTTTTGTACCTTCGATAGCGAGTTAAATAATTAGAGAATTGTAAATCGCCGTCGAGGTTATCTTTAAAATTTCGTCTTCATCAAACTTAATTATAAAGGCATTTTATCTTTAAAATCAATTTTAAAGGCCTTTGCGTTTTGTTTTGCGTAATCACATTTTTGATGTATTGCTTGTGTAAATGACAAAAATGGCAAGTGCCACTGCGACGGTGGCCTCTTAATAGCAAATTAATTAATAATATCAACCGTTAAAATGTATTTAAAATGTTATTATTCTGATCCTTAATATTATAGGTACTTTTAATATCAATTCTAGTATAATAGGTATATACCATAGACGTAGTGCAGTGTAATATAGCTGATAATGGAGTAGAAAAATATTATGACGAAAGGGAGTAGCAGCTATTATTATTGTTGTTCAAAAACGAAATGTCTGTTATTGTTCTAGACTCTGTTTTTCTGTCCGGCTAAGATAAAAAAACCATGGGACTCATCGTTATATATAATAATCGTTTCGCGGTTATTCATTTAGGTAGGTAATACCATTGTGACGTACGAAAACCGCGCCGGTCGTCAAAATTCTTATCGGTAAAATTTTATATTTGAAATCTCATCTCTATCGCGGATTAAAAATATTTCAGCGTTAACATTATAATATATTATAATAACGTCTGCAAACGATATACGCAGCGACGTTAATTTTCCAAGGTAATGTTAAAAAAAATAAACGGGTTTTTTTTTTAAATGTTTTATATCATGTACGTAGGTAATAAGTACACAAGAATGCAAAATGTAACAAAAATAAAAACAAAAAAAATACCTATTGGTCACGAGGAGCGAACTAAAATATAGGTACATTTTTAAAACGACGTCTATAACGAGCCTATAACTCGTTACTTGTAGCTTTAAAACAGGCCTTTATAGGCACAATGATAAACACAGTTGAAAACATTCATACCAGCACTCAAATATACAACAAAAAATGTCTTATTTGATTTCTTGCGAGCTATCTGAAACAAATATTTAGCTTACTTATGTGTCTCTAGGACCGATCAAAGCAAACATGCACATGCTATGAGTTACGCACCCTGTGCGACTTTAAGTCTGTAACTTTATAAGCGAGCGAAAATTAAATTATCACCTAGGAAAATAATGGGAGAAAAACGACCAAAAAATATGTGCCCAAAACCGTAGATTCCGGTATTGTCCACAAAAATGTTTCATACTTGAACACGTTCGATGACGACAGTTTTGCACATACCCGTAGTTAAAAAGAAAACGACAAACATTGTTATAATAGGTATACTATACAGGGTGTCGTATATAGTGTTATTTGAATGATAAAAATTCTGTTAATATTAATTTTTTTTGCCATCGGGTTTTATACCAAGGGAACACAAATGTTGATAGAGAAAAATTTAATTTTTATTTTCATTCCTTAATCACTTAAAAAGAAGAATAACTTTATTTTTTCACTTTTCAACATTTTGAAAAATATATTATTTTTAAAATTGAATGTATCATACATTCATAACCGATCAATAGTTTCTTAGTAGGTTATATCCGTTTTAATTTCTAACGTAACCTTGTATTAGGTACGACTATGACTCGCTATCGAATTTAGTCTCGTTTTTCACACATTTCTCTAGATATTAAAACGGCGATTACTAAAAATTATTAGAATAATATATTTTATAAATTGACTATTTTGAAAATTTTAAAAAGTTATTTTTATCAGTGATTAAGGAATAAAAAAAAAAATTAAATTTTTATCTACATTTATATGTTTCCTTGACACAAAACCCGATTGAAAAAAAAAAATGAATACTGACAGTCATATGTATTCGGATAATACTGTAGGACACCCTGTATAAATTAAACCTACTTATATTTAAATGTGTTATTTTTCGGTATACGAGATATGTAACTGATGTAAGCGCAGAATCGTTTAAATAATATTTCAGTACGTCATAAATGTATAAGTCATCGAAATGATTGCGCAGAATAATAATATTATGCATTGTTTAGCGTTTGAAGAAATAAAAAAAGGCCTAGTCGTCACGATGTGTACTTCAACGGGGAGAAAAACTGGGTCCTCGAATCACGTGTTATGTTTTGGCCGAGAGAACGGAGTTTTGGGAATAATCGGGCAAAACAAAAAAACAAAATTAAGTGAAAGAGAAATGTCTTATAGTGATAAATTAAGGCAGTAGGGACTTAATGTCTTAAAGACAATTGAAATGTGTACATATTTTATGCCTTAAAATAGGCAAAATATGTATATAAAAAGGACCATAGAAATCATGTTTTAGTATAATATAATACTTGTAGTTTAATCATTCGTTTACAAGTTATAGGTAATTTCTTCCCTTGAACTGTCAGCCATTCCTTCTAAAATATTAACACATTTTTCCTATAATTTTAAATCTTTAATATTTGCTTAGAAGTTTTCAAACTTTTCTTTAAATTTCAAATTTCTTCTTGTGGATTATAAAATATGTACGAACTATAAAATAATAAGTGATAAATATAGATATTATAATATGTGTCGAATGGAAATGGCAGAGTCACCAGTATAGAATCGCCCTGTTTTCGTGTGCCTATAATTTATATTTACTTAAGTACTGCAGGATTATTCGGGACTTATAATATAGCACTTAAAGTCTTATTCATATCATAAGCAGTGAGTACGTTAAAAATGTTAAAATAAGCAAAAATCTTAGATTAAATAATTTAAAAACAAAACAAAAAAAAAACAGCAAAAGCGAAATAATTTTTTTAATTTTAGTTTTTAAACCGTTCTTATCGCGTATTTATACAAGTCAAATGACGTACGTACGCTTTCATTATTAACAAAAATAATTTTACTAGATTGTTTCGTCTAAAATCGATTGTACAGAGAAATCTAAATAACCGTTGTCCGCAACAGTACGTATATATGCGGGAATACTATTATATTGTTTAACTGGGAAATAGTATGACGTAAATGTAAAAAAAAAAAGTTAAATAAAATAATTGTTTATAAGATTGTATATTACGAAATATATATAGAAAATGTAAATTTAGTAACTACATTAAGGTGATAGGTTAGGTAAGTTAAAAAAATGTTTTATTTTACAACTGCATTTTTGTCGTACGAACAAACTATATAATGTACAGAACATTTGTGTACAGCAAAACAAAAAATAATCTAATAGGTCTGTATACTAAGGATATGTACACAGGGATATATTGAAGGCTGAACCTCCATTGTCTTATTATTCTAGATTCTGAGCAGAGCGAGGAATGTATTGGTTTTATAATGATGTTTATTTTTTATTTTTTTCAACTTTTTTACCAGAAAATTTTCTCCGTTCAAGTATAGCACTTTTTCTGAAAGGAAATTTAACTGAGCTGGTGTTTTAGGGAGGTTAATAATATGGCATACATATTATTGACAAAGCAACACTATTAACCGAACTCCGCTTAGAATTGTTTTTCGTTAGCAATGGTTAATCGTTGCGTATATACATATATACATTCAATTTCCCCTCTACCTTCCCAATTTTTGATCTACGACTGGGGCCTACCCATCGTGCTAAGTATATCCATCTTTTTACATATAATATGCATAATTTTACATGAAGGTTTAAAAAATTTCCTCGCAAGAAAATGTGTTGCCTCCTGCACAATATAAAAGTTATGTGTACGCGCCACTGCTGTACATCTATAACATATATATATATATATATATATACATATATACATACATATATGCTACTAATAATGAGCCACTTTTTGAAATTTAAAATGCATTTTTTATAGCTTTTAGTGCGTTGAACGCACAGTCATATAGCTTTAAAAACAAACGATAGTCGAGAAGGCGCGAAACTTGGGAGGTGAAGAAAATGTAAGCTAGAAAGTAAGAATGCCTCCTATACTTACCCCCAAATCAACTAAACGGAATTTACTTAATATCACAATTAACCAAATTATCGACATAGAAATGAAATCGATCGATAAACAGTTTTATTACCAAAATAAATAAATACTGGTTAATGAGAACCTCAATCAGCCTCAATGACTTCTTTACATCCCTGCAGTGGATAGTAAATTTGTATTATGAGTGATTGTCTTTATAGAAGGGAGCCCGTCACGTGCGCCAGACAACAAGAAGTACAGCACAATAATATTATCGTTGCAGTTAAGCTCGAATACGTATAATATACAGGGCGATCCATTTTTCACAGATTTTTGTGGAGGATTTTAAATGAAGTCGATTACTGTTTTTTTTTTATCGTTACAGAATAATTAAAGCTTTATTTTAACACTATTTTCAAAAAAATGTTCTGCAAAGGATTCCGTAACGACTGAAAAATAAAAAAAACAACACAAAACTCAAATCAAAATAACTATATGAATTCCTACGAGAAAATCGCTGGACCACTCTGTATAAAAATAATAGTAATAAATAAGTAAATTATACGTAATGCGCGTACGATATTTTACACTCGAGCACATAATTTTATTATTATAAAATAATCCTAATGTTGGTATATTGCGTATATTACAACTATGAGTGTACATAAACGATATATAATATTCAAGTACCTATTACACGCGCATTCGGCACACGTTCCGGTAAAATAAAAATAAATTAATAATAATACGAATATTTGAAAAAAAAAATGACAAAAATTTGCCGTGAAATTATCGTAATCGACGGATTACAAAAAAAAAACTGATCTGCGGGGGGGTATCGTCCGAGATATTCGGACGTGTGTTATTTTATCGCGTCACGTCTGATCGCCATCTGCCAGTATTAAATATTTAAGTATTATTATGCAATATCTATATCGAGTCGATATTAATAATTGTATTTTTTAACAGTTCGGTATTATAATATATACATAGTTGAGATTGTTTTTTTCGTCATAATATCGTGTTCTACAAAAATAATTTCCTACGTCGTTATTTCGAGGGTAACGGGCTCACGTGATTGTTTATTCACTGGCTATATACAAGTATACTGTATACATGCGCATTTAAAACCCTACAGGCGTTCGTTTTCTATAACGAAAATTCGACCCAGTAGTATCGTGTATTGCTGAGAAAGGGGAGGACATAGAGGCCAAGGAAACCTATCCATACCCTAGTATTATTAAGTTAAGATTTTTACGAAAATTGAAAAAAATAATAACATTTTAAAACAAATTTAACCGAACTTTACTCAGAATCGTACTTAATCAACAATGATTTATTGGTACAGGCAGATATAAATTAAATAACTTTACGTATCCTACCTTCTCACCTACAACAGTGACACCTTCATCAGCAGTATCAGCTGTTTTTAATTTATATTCAATACATAATAAATACTCAGGTATTATTATATGCTTAATTTACTTTTGTTCAATGTGATAAATTATATTGCATAAGTAATACAACCAAAATCTGAACATTAGATATTTTACTACAATTGCATGAAACAATTTTATAAAATATCAAAATCAATGTGTAAACATAACTTAGCCAGAAGTATTATTGGTTGTTGGTTATATTTTGTAAAATGTTAATTATTATATTGAATGATGTTTGGAATGTGGTATAAGAGGGATGGGTTGGAGTCGAGTCCAATCATTGTAAAGAACGCTAATTGTTTTTTTCAATACCTAAAGTTCATCTTATTTTATTTTTCTAATTCGAACATCATTGGTCTTGACAGACTTCAACCCGCGGGGATTGGTATTTGTACTTATTTTAATGGTTTTTTTTTTTACTGAACAAAAGTGGGTTACCATTTTAGATTCTGAGTGGAGCAGAGAATGATTTTATAATGATGTTTATTTTTTTTTTGTATGTAAACACCTTTTCTACCAGAAAGTATACTCTGATTATCAAATATGGCACCTTTTCTAAAAGGAAATGTTCTTTGGATGGTACTTTAAAGAGATCATTTTATGAAATTCTCATTAGTATTCGAAATAATGAGGAAACCTGGTTCTTTAGATTAAAAGATTAAAAATAAGGTTTTTATTGGCAACCCCTTTTATTTATTTTTTGTTACTATTAAGTTTTTATTATTTTAAATCTTTTTTAAACAATCATTGTTATCATGGAAACGCACATTGTTGTAACCATTTGACCATAATATGACATAAAACTATTTTTGACAAAGTAATACTATCAACTGAACTCCGCTCAGAATCGATTTTTCGTTAGTAATGGTTTATCATTGCTTACATTAAATTTTCATCTGTGCCATATCTTTCCAACTTCCTATCTACAAAAGTGGCTGCACCCACGTATGTCCATCCTTTTTTGTTTTTATTTTTACATTTTTAAAGTTTTTTTATTCGAGTGAGGTGATATCGTGTGGTTTTCAAGCGGTTTACTTTGATGAGTTTTATTGAGTGCCCCTACAACTGCAGCGATAATAACAATCATTGCGATATATTTTCGCAGCACGGTGCGATTATAATATAATAAAAAAATAATGACAATAATAATATTTATTGGCCGAACCGAAACGACTAAGTACACGGCACGAATAGCGCGGGTTACGGCGTGGCAAATGCATATAATATAATATACGCACGTCACAATATTACTTATATTCACGCTGTACCAATAATCATTTTTTTAATAATTTTAAAATGCGCGAATTGATTTTAATCGGAGAGTCGAATTTCGTGTACGGTCGCGAATTTCGCGGGTCTTAACTCTAAAGCCCGGCGACAGCGGCCCGAGATTTTCGGTCGGCCGTGGCAGTGTCGAATCGAAACAATTTTCCGAGCGCGGCGATTAAAAATCTGACGCCGTGATCAGCGAGCGTAGAGAAATTTTTAATTTTTTTTTCCCAGGGCGACCGCCCATGTATATTCGGCGGACTAACTACTGTATACACATAGAAATAAAACAAAACAAAAATACGATTATTTCTTACAATACAATATAAAACAAAGCGATTTTTCGGGTTTTCGTCCGTTATTTTATTATTAGGAAAAATGCTAGGAATTTCCAAAATTAAACTCTCCGATGCTTCGATGAAATATTCTACCGGGTGTTTCAGTCGTAAACTCGTTATCAAAACAAGTTTGCATCATGTTAATATACATAAGTGTGAACGCTCAGACAGTGTGGCGTCATTTAAATGTTTGAAACAAACTGACCAAATGTATAAAAAAAGTAATTATTTGTAAAAACAAAGAACTATACAATAAATTGTTAGTTTTTTCCTATTTAATATGAAAACTACCAGGATAATCACTAAAATAACTTCCTCAATGTATCAATTATGATCAAACATTCTACAAGACAATTTTTATAAAGTTTTTGATTGGAGCAAGATGTCTGGCAGAATACAATAGTAGTAGTTTATAGAAATAAAAAAAACACCATAAAAAAAACCATTACATTCCTTACTCAGAATTTAATAATCGGGATTCATGAATGAATCGTATGATTTTCTTCTGTTCATACCTAACTCGATATAGATAATTCAAAACCCAGGTTTACAAAAACCAATTTTTATTCAATAAGCAAAGCTTTTTCTATGTTAATTTGGCTAAAATATATAATTTCAAAATAACATTATTAAAAAAACACTCATATAGTCGTTGTATTTTTAAGCCATTTAAGAGTGAGGGGGGTTATATCACCAAAACTTCTCCCTCCGCGCACGCCACTGACTGACGGCAGAGGTTCATAACACAGTTATAAAAAATGGCTAACAATTATAGTTTTCAATGACATCGAATTTATCAAATAATAATATTTACAAAATTCTAATTATTCCAAATAAACAAATGTTGTCGAAAATGAAAACAAAACTGTAACCCTTTGATGTTTTACCGCTTTAGCCAGAAACACGAATATTGTTTCGCAAGTTTGTACAATATCGCGGAATTGTTTTTTTTCTAAGTTTGACACCAGTTTGTCGGAAAACGTTATATGGTTGTATCGGATAACGGGGAGGGGGGGGGAGTAATAATAAAAAAATTGAGTGTAACAAACGCGTGAGCGGCGAAACGTTGTGTACTCATATATTATAATATAATAATAATATTATTATTATTATTATATGTACGGAGAAGGAGATTATGGAGCTGTGTGCGTTATGTCGGCCGCATCTGTCATTAAGGTCACCATTGACGTCATTGGTGCGAGTGTCTTTATACTTATTGAATGTGTAGACGGCCGCGTGTGCGTAACCGGCTACCGCGCGTATATAGGTAGGTATATAACGTAGAAAAACAATAAAAATAAAAAAAAATAATAATAATTCCCGCGGCACGGAATACCATCGACGCTCGCACGTTCGTTACGAATATAGGTAAATAAAACAAAATAAGAAAATAATATACGAGAATCATCCTGTATATATATATATATATATGATACGGACAATGCGGAATCACGGGAAATTTGATCCTGCACGTGGGCAATTCAAAACACGAATAAAAACAAATTAATTAAGCAATTTTTAACTATTACCTATGTCTCACCTGATAAATATTTTAAAACAATAAATTATACACCAAATTATATAATTACAAAGTCAGTCTGTTTTGAAACACTTCGTATAAACGTGGCATTATCTTCGTATTATTAAAACCGGATTTTTATATCCGACATAGGCATTTATAAATCCGTTAGCTAGCCATATTGGATGTTAAAAGCATAATGGCGATGTTAATAAATACCATATAAACCATGTATATAAATAGATATTTAATAATATAATTTTAAACAATAATATACAATTCATTTTTCCACGATATTATATTATAATTATTAGTAATAATAAATTAAAAACTGAAAAAGAGGTGGTTGGATGTGATCGAGAATGATATGAGGACAGTTGGTGTATGTGAGGCGGGAGATCGGATCAAGAGGAAATTAACAACCGAATACTTTAACAATAGCTATATATTATGCTACAACTATATAATACGTTATTTAAAAACAAATCGCGCAATTTTAGCATAAAAATGATGGGGGCAGGGTTTGAAAGTTAAAATCTTCAAAAAGCACATCAATGATACTAACGCCATGCATGTATTAAATTGCATCCCTCTAGTTTTATTTGAGAGTCTGTAGGGGTGCCCAAAGCTTAAAACAACCTACTTACTGCAACATGTTGACATTTGCATTATATTTAACTCAAATGTTATCACTTAAATACACCTATAAAACCACTCTAAATCTCCAGTTTGAGCTAATTTGGGTCCAGAAGGAGCCACTACACAAATTTACTTACGTAGCGGGAATAAGGTAAAAATCGCAATAGCAATTAGACTATATATTTTAACACCTGCATAATATTTAAGTATTGTTATGAAAATTAAACGCATCATACGAAAAAAGCTCCCACGGATACAGAGCTGAATCTGGAGAATTAGACTGCTCGAGATTATACATTTTTCTAGAGTAAATACTCTGATCGAACATAGAAAATAACCCACCATTCACTATGCATCTACCGCACTAATATTAACGCAATAGTGTAGGTAGGTGAAACCACGAAAAGAAAGTTTACAATATTTTTTAATTTATATTCCGTTTTTCAAACAATTTTACAGTGTTTTGAAATAATAAACAGTAGATTTACCATTGGTGTTTTTTTTTAATAATATTATTAATCCTTTTGTTTGTATATTTAAGACTGTGGTAATCGAATGATACGGGTGATTTGCAAAAAAAATATTACATAATTTTTTACATTAACACGCGTGCTGGGTAGCTACGGCGCGGCGACAAGATAAAATAATAAAAGGAATATTGAGACAAAGCGTCTTAAACTGATATTTTAAAACAAATTTTTTTTTCAATTTATGGAAAATCGGTCCTTTATACGACTGCCTTAAAGGTTATGTCCCATATTTTATACGAATTACAAACGTTATAAAATTGGGAGGAATACATAATATATTGTCAGGTGCCCAAGGCCAACTACTAACACAAACAATTTACACAAATTAATAATAATAATAATTATTATTATACTGTATAAAGTATTACTTTAATAATATTTATACAGGATAGTGCTCGAGTTGGAAAAAGAAAAAAAAAAGGATAATAACAGACTAATATAAATATATAGCGTCCCTTGTGATTGAAACTAAACTCACCTTACTCGTGAGGATTCCATTCTCAACACCCTACTTTAGCTATTTTTTTAAACCTAATTAAATAGCCGATAATTTCCAAAATTAAAATTTTAGTGTTTTTTCATATCATACATTTATGACGCGGATTTTTCATTCAATGGTATGTTATTTGAAACATTCTTCGAAGAATCAATCTATTTATGGTTACATTTTTAGTTTATGGACATTTCTAACATGGCCATTATTACCCAGACTCCTAAGGAACGGATAATATTCACCTACAAGACTGTATAGAATGTTAGTTTCTTGTAAAATTATAATATTTACACGACTTAAATTAAAACAAATTGCATAAGAGTTTCTGTTGCGATCCGTCTGCAAGATCAAAAAACGTGTTTAGGATAGACTACATTGTAATATAAACATCTGCTCTATTCATAACAATAAACCTAACTGAGTATGTATTTTTAGACAACATTATATTAACAAGACAAATCGTAAGGTAAAATTGAATTACTCACAGAAATATACACGAACAAATAAAACTATAGCGAACGAAATGATTCGAACGGTGGTCGTTTTATAAAAATATAGAAATACAAGAATTTGTTTGTTTAATTTGATTATAACAGTGACAGTCTCCACAAAATTAGTCCATTATTCGTTTCTTTCTTCTAAATGTTGGGCACCATACAAATAAAAAATAAATGTAAAGATTTAGTAATTACTAAAATCGTAAACTATACCTATTCATAATATACACGAGATGAACTAAGTAGGTATACCTATTTCATGTCAAACTACTATGCTGCCTACCAACAAACAGACCAAAGAAATATGTAGACTTGACGGATGTGCTTTTGAATTTTAAACGAGGAAAAAATGAGCAACTTAATACAATGGAATAGTTAATTTCTAAAAGCGTAGGCATACTTAAAATTATTAATTATTATCCTACTTATTTTTAAAAAAATATACCGATACCTAAAAATCTATACATTTGCTGAAACCAGTGATGACGCCAAGAGTAGACTAGCGTTGGCCTGGGACCAAAGTCCCAAAATGTCTTGGCTTCATTTTACGTTTAAAATTAATTTTTTTGAAAGAATGCCCCTTTACTCAGGTAAAATGATAATTCTACACTTCTTAAAAATAATCGGCCTCGATCTCACCAGGATAAAAAGTTCTGGAACCGCCACTAGCTAAAGCAAATGATAATTTAAAAGTTATTTATCGTTATTATATAAACAAGAATTTATAAAACTATACTTCCAATTTGTTATGCAAATTTTGGTGAAGTCTCCGAAATAATTTAAATAACTATTTGAATATCAAACCACGTTTGTGAATCTGTATATAGATATGGGATTTTTTAATTCGACATTTTGTATATTTGTTTTAATAATTTGTACTTGAACTTTGTTTCTGAATTGTTTGTACAAACAAAAAAACATGTATCCAAATAACGATTTTTCATTTTATGATAGAAGTCACTGATAAAATTAGAATAAATTCCTAAAAATAACCAGTTTAATATACATTGTACGTGTGTTTGTAAGTACGAATAAATGTATAACATCTTTTTAAACAGAGAATACTAATAAATTATAATATTGTAATTTAAATGAAATTATTCACTTTTTTGCGGAGTAAAATGGAATTCCAATGTTTTTACTATTTGAAGGAAAACAACTGCGTACGGCCCAATATGACGTTATATTATTCTTCCCCCACACACCTGCACTCGTGAATTCTCTATACATTACAAATTTAAATTGTTGGACAGGTAAAATGTTGTTTAATATTATTTTATATTTAGTATACCTACGTATCAACCTAAGTCCTTTATATATAGTAGCGAAAAGTGATCAAGATAAAAAAAAACATGTTTAAATGCCTTATTTCATCCTTATATATGTACGAAAAAGTATCCAAATGACATCATGCCTAGTTTAGAAACCATTCAGTGGTAAAATAAATTATAAATCTAAATTTTAAATTAATAATAAATACATGTTTTAAATTTTTGAATCATTTAGTCACTTTTTGCATGGCAGCAATGATATTATCTACAAAGAAAATATTTTTTATTTTTTACATAATTATAGGTTATATCTTTTTGATTAAGACTTCTGATTCATACATTATACAATTTGCATGCACACAAATTCAACGTGGATAAATTAGTAATAATTAATGTAAACAATAAATTCGCGTGTGTGCACCCTGTAAAATAAATAATTTATAATAAGCATACGATATATTATTATATGATGATTCGCAAAGCACATCCGCTCACAAACGCGTTTTATATTTACGAATTGCAATAGGTACCTATATACTGTATACTTTGTTATGTAAACACGATTTCGACACAACGAAAGCTTAATTATCCATTAAATGATAAAATACGCGTATTTATATGGATACAAATAAAAAGACAATATTTGTCCGTATAATCGCACGTATAAATAATGATTGGTAGCTTTACTATTTATAACAAATTTTTAAAACATTTTTTATCATCCTTATGTTATAATTGGCAGTAAATATCACCGAAGAACTGCATGATATCCTAACGGGAAAGATGTTTGTAAAATCATTGTACGGTTCCTATGATAGTGAGGGTTTTATGACAATTTCGGTCATCATTTTCGATTAAAGCCAGATTCACACTCGTACGGCACGGCACAACCGATAAAAATGTCGTCCAGTTCACATAATATGACCGACTGGCAACGATAAACAGGAACTTAGTTACATACTATTTTAAACCGATATTAGGTTGATTACAATTTTTATTTCGATCAATCGGATTTTTGTATTTTGACTCATTTTCAGTATGGGAAGGGGTGAGCATACGGTTTTTTTTTTTTTTTTGAACTATGTAATTAAGGTTTTTGGACCAACCTAATATATTATATACATTAGTTTATTAATTAATTTTATTATATAGATCATAAATACAAATGAAAATAATATCTATACTTGAATTGAATTTATTGATGTTATAGCAGGATTTTTATCAAAATATTCATTAAATGAGTTTACTGAAATGGAGGATTTAGGAGAAGAAAGGGAGAGTGAAGCGATCACCCCTTCCCCGTATATAAAAACCTGACAAGTTTATATGAAATCCGTTGAAATCATTAATTCGCGTGAGTAAAGACAGATTCGTAATACTATGGTACCTGCATTTTTATTTTTACCTCAATTTCTATTATGAATTTAAAATATTGATAACGGGCGACAATGACATTTCTTCTTCTTCTAAATTTAGGTTAGTGTGACAAAAACATAACAGAACGGTGAGTTTACGAGGTTTCCGAATAACGAGACACGATAGATACGTGTAACACACACTCGCGTGTCTCTTTCATAATATTCTCAACGAATCAAATAGCTATCATTATTATTAATAACTAAAATAACACGTAATATAATACCAAAAAACAAATTGTGTTTTATTTATTCTAATTGTGTTATACATTTTTAAACGGCAGTAAAACAAAACTATAATATAATAGTAGCTACGTATTGTTTTCCTACTCACGAGTATCGAGTGTCGAGTGTTAATAAGTATTCTTGCACCGATAGATGTAATTCGATAAAAATGGGGATAAAATATTATTTTAAAAAAATATTATATTTCTCGTAATGTTCGCGAAAGAAATAATACATGTAAAAAAAAAAAAAAAAATGATTACATGCGATATAACAATATAAAATACTATTATATATGGGAATAATTTTATTTATTTTTTTTAATATAAGTACGTATAGGTCGTTATACTAAATATATATATAAAAAACTAGGTATTAAATTTTTTTACCCCATGCGACTATCAATCAAACAGGTAGTTTCTGATGATAATTGATTTTTTTTTATACAATACATAACCAATGATCGAGCGGAATATATATTACATATATAAGATTATATGAATACATTCTGCTTGTACATCCAATTAAGGCCAAAAGTAATAGTCTTAAAGAAATAAAAATGATATTATCTGACGTAACACCGCATATATATATTTATAATAAAATATGTAGACGTAAAGTGACAGAAAAAGAATCAGAAAAAAAAATTTTTGTCTATAACAGACAGATTAAAATAATAATAATTATTATTATTGTTTATGTTACCACATAATCGTTATGTAATTCATATAATGAACAAATGAACAGAAAAAAATTATAACGTAGACGGTGTCCATGGATATTAATAAAAATGTAAAAACGTGTTCTTGGCGCGAGGAGATTCTGTATAATATAAGTGCAAACTCATGCGGTTAATAATCATAATCGTAAATCTGGTCAAGGAAATAGGAGACGTGTACAAAACTGGCGTAGGTATATAATATAATGGATATTAACCTAAATATTCAAAATAATAATGGATCTGGCGTATAATATGCCGGTCAACGGTCATGGAGAAAAAAAAAGAAAATTATAAATGACGTATTATAATATTATGGTGGCAGCCACTAAATTATATTTTTTCGTTTCTAGTCTGACACAAAATGTGCAATCCGAAATTTCAAGTGTATACCGTACGAATTTAAGCGAAGAGTGCGTGTTTAGTATAACATATATATAGTTAATAAATGTAAGTATACGCAAATTAAAATTATAGTTATTATAACGAAACAGAGGTTGAAGATTGACGGCGTTAAACGACCGCAATATGAGTACAGAGTGGGTAACGGGGATAGGGCTAAAAACAGACGGAATTTGTTTGCACTCAGGGTATGGCAGCGGGGAGTTCTGAAAGAACTCGTTTGGTTTGTCAGACAATCCTGTTTAGTTACCACCATATCACGACATATTTATGAGAAAACTATAAATCTAAAACTAATGAATTAGCCGTAGAGGACGTTCTCTTTATTCGAGATAAATGATGATACTCTAATGATAATGATTGATGAAAGGCATTTTAAATTTTAATGGTTTTGCGAACGAGCAAATTCTGCTTCTATATTATATACTCTGAAAAGTCTCCACGAAGGACGCGCTGCATAGCGCTAAAATGACTGATTTGTAGTTACAAAGAAATCCACGACAAATTCGACTTGCTTTGTTCTAGGAACAAGGTGGTCGTCATACGCTCGATTATGTTGTTTTTAAAACTTAAAATGGCACTTTTCCTACCAAAAAATAAAAACAAAATAGTTGTGCGTCTAAAATGTCCTAAATTATATTCATCTGTTTTCACCACTATAATATATTCCCGTGATCCACTCTGTATACGGAAATGGCCGGTATAAGAAAGTATTTAAAAAAAATAAAATATTCTGTCACTTGTATTAAAAATTCAACAACAATAAGCCACTGGAACTATACATTTTTTTTTTATGTTTTTTGAGATATCACGAATTCTTTATTGTGTAGCTAATATAGATTCGACAATAATATAATAATTATTATGGACGATTGATAACGGTTATAATTTTAATGGCGTGTCATAAAAATAGAAAATCCATATAATCCGGGATAATTCTGAAAACGTCATAACGAGGCTTATAACATGCGCGGTAGTCGCAAAAAAAAAAAATAATAATAACAACGAAATAAAAGAAGTGAACGCGTAGACTATACCGTATACATATTATATTGCAGTTAGCTCTGAGCGGAGTAAGGTATTGATTTAACAATGATATTTATTTTTTTTTCTGTGGGAAACTTTTCTACTAGCAATTTTGCCCGTTAGCAATGGTTAATCGTTGCGTACAGATATACATTAAATTCTCAAATTCTCACCTACAACAGTGGCACACTCACGTGCGAAGTACGTGTATCTTTTTATCATGATTATCTACGAAAATTTTCGAAATTTCACTCTTTATTTCGTGCACTATAAAATATCAACTTTTTAAAACTTTCGACCGAAAGAGAAAGGAAGCGTTATGATATGTGTATATTGTTTTTTTTTAAAAAAAAAAAAAAAACAAAAATCAATTCTATTATATTTTAAGGTATAAAGGATAGAGTACAAGAGTAATTTAAGAAACAGTTTAAGCGATTCCATAATATAATACAATGACTGAAAAAACAAAATGAAATTAAATTTATACTTATAATTCTCCGATTATATGGTCGCTGGTTCGTGATTATAAAAATTACACTGTATTATCTAACCGATAACAGTATAATTATATTATTCAATGTCATGCCGTTTGAAAAAAAAAAAATTGTAATTGGTTTGCTTTTTTTACCTGCTGTAGGTGAAGAGCGAGCTCGTCGCTGCCGCTGCCCGCACAACCGCGTCGTCGACGTTTTGTTTCACAAAACCGCTGCCATTGCCGTCGGGGCCCCATGGTCACCAGGTTCCAAAAGCACATGATAGTACCATCTTTCTGCAGCGTGTGTCTATCATATAAGGTTTTTACGTGTATAAGACAATGTTTCATTAAACCGACTTGTTAAGGCACTACCGCGACTTATCTGTCGTATGAAAATAAAAATATACGCGACGATAAAATAATATTAATACTTCGAATTATGATGGATCAGATCACCGTCATTTTGTGTTTCCAATGTCAATAACCGTTTAATATATCGTATATTTTGCGGCGTGGGCCAATTTACATTTTATTCACAACAGAATACAATGTCGGGCCTACACAAGGCAAGTTTTGCCGCACGGCACGAGTCCTATGTAACATCACAAAATTCGTTTCACGCGGTCTTTTTCGATGCGGAAAAAAAATAAGATAATTTCGGATAGGTCTGTATCAATGAAAGGCTGGGTGGATTGTGCCGTCGTAGTGTGGATATTTTTTCAACAATGCCATCCTTCTTTGAATCTCCGCAGTAACACCACTCATAAACAATGAACAGGGAACTAAAAGAAAGTCTACGCAAATAGACAAAATCCGTAGAACGGGATTATGGATGGGTATGGTACAATACGTACAATAAACAAATTCCACTAGACGAGAATACGTTGTATTCGGTGAAAAAGTCGCAGTCGGTATTAAGAACTTAAAAAAACTATGAATACTGTGAAAATCAAAATCTATTATTTGTTATATGAATAAGCATTAAAGGACAGTGGTCTTCGACGGTTTTGACTCACGACCCACTTTTTCTACCATACATTTTTTTTTATGTTAATTTTGTTAGCCATAAAAAAAAAAAAGGTTTAAATTGCTAATATCTTAGTATGTCATTTTAGAAGTGCTTTATTTACTGAATTGATAAAATTTAACATTTTTCTAAATAATATATTTAATTTTTATTGTATATAATGATACAAAACAAAAAAAAAAAAAATACATATAATGATACGAAAAAAGATAAACACAATATTTTACCCTGAATGTTTTCATATAACATACTCCATCTTGGTTTAATTTCGTACAATGCAGTCCCCAAATTATGTTCTGTTTGAAGTTTATTTCTTTTTGACGTTTTCAAATTCGACATAATAGAAGATCCCTTTCACATAGATATGCGTTGGAAATATTAATAGAATTTGTTTATTCTTATCTTTTATTAAATGGTACGGTTTACTCTTAAATTATTTTATACGATGATATACCACGTACAATAATGCAGTAGCATAATACTATACAGTGTACAATGCGTAAAATGTTTTTTCTTAGAAGTAATATGTTATATACTAGATAAATTTTTTTATAATTTTAATATTTTAACAGACGATTTATCGCGACTCACGGGTTGAAGACCAATGCTACAGGGTTCCATGACCATCCTCCAACAAGGTACATATATTATAATATGTATATTTACTCATTACCTATAGCCGTACAATTTTTAATGTACAAAATCCTCCTTGGTATAGACATTATGTCCGACACAGACTGCCATATTTCATTATCGAATGAAATATGGTTATTGTCGCAAAAAATCCGTGCTATGCGGTATGAAGTTATACCAAGCTACATGTGTGGACCCGCCTTGAAACGGCCGTAAAATCGGTAATACCATTTTCCAAAAGTTCTGAACATCACGGCGGCAGCGACGAATAAACAAAACAGCTGGTACCCATACGTATTTCTAGTGCATTCGGGTAAACGAAGATACAAAATTGGTGCGATGTTCTTGAGAAAAGCGCGATTGCATATACGAATCGGTTAGAAATTCAAAACGAACGTGACAAATCATATATAATAGGTTATCCGGATTGTATATTATATTGTGGGCTTGGGCTGAGAGAAATGCGTGGTAAGCGGTATACGAGAAGAATTTATTAATGAGTGTAACGACTAACGAGTAAGTACCTATTGATTTTATATAATCTATAGAGATAAATAATAAAATATAAAAACACACAGGGTCGGATAGGTTAGGTTCAACAGATCCATGGGACCAAATGGAAATCATTTATAAAATAATCAAGTTTTAAATTGCCGCGTTATGTTTTAAAAGTTTATTTGACATGTTGCCTCGAAAAATATTTCTTGTTGCACCGCCGCGAATAATAAAGTGTGAAAATGCACATTTGAAAGAATCTGTTCACGGTTACGTAAAATTAATAGATCATCTTTGTGCTTTATTAGTAGAAACGCCGAACAGAGAGTACCGGACGGAGGAATCGGATACAACTATCTATTAAAGGAAATCGTTTTTTTTTTTTTTTTTTTTACATATAAATTTCTAGGTACATTTGATTTTATAATTCTATCCATAAACGTTAACGGACGAACTTGGACAATAATGTATAAGAGATAAAACTGATAAACAAAGTATCCGACATCGTATAATTCCTCCGGATCACGCGTTAATATATTATAATACAATTATTATTAAAACCTATAAGCTATAATTTTTAATTTAATCACGTATTTATGATATAACATGATATGTTTCAATAAAATCGACCAAATATCGTGAAATAAAATGAATATACTAAATAATATTTACAATACAATATGCGTCATCTGTTCGATAATAATATAATTTCACATACTCCGATGTTATCAACAAGAATGATCCTATAGCCGAAAGTGTAGACTCTTTTTGCATGTATATAATTAAAAATGTTTATCGTGTTTGACGTCATATCGTCCGATTTTACCGGTTGCGGTTATTTATATTTATATGTTGACAATTATTTTACAACCTAATAAATATTAGGTGTTAAATTTTAATATATACAAGTATTAATAGAAATAGTAATCGATTCGTATTCGAACACTTCGGCACTTTGCCCCAGTACGTGTATTCAATTCCTTATATTATTATTAATCACGACCTTGTTGTTTTAAACGTTCAAGATTTAAATTATTGTTCTAAACGTTATAAAATTACTGCAATTTTCTAAAACGTGTTCTAGGGAGTGGTAAAAGAAAAAGTACACAAGTATAAATTGAGTATATTAAATATACAGAAAAAAAAATATCGGACGTATTTTTCACAACTACAGTATATAATATATATATAAAAAGAGCTGTTGTTCATAAATACCTAACAATAATTATGTATTTCGTTTTCGAAATATTTTTTTATATTTTTTTTTAAACGTTTAAATCATTTTACAGAAAGTTTCTATTAGGTATACCCAGAAGTACAGAAAATTGCCGACCGGCAGTCTTGTAAAGAATATCTTTTATTTTGTGTTCAGAATAATTATTTGAATAAATTAATAAAAAAGAATCCAGAATACATATTCGAATAAGTTATAAACAATTTATTTAGAATATTAAATTTGAATATTTCTAAACGTATTCGAATACTTTTTCCCTTTCTGTTAATTTATATCAGTCGGAGAACAACAGTTTGGTCATTTTTTAAATTATGGCACAATATTTTACTACATTATAATACATAGTGATGGGTTAGACCGCGTGGATACAATATACATTTTGGTAAATTAGTTTATTTTTAAATACATTTTGCTAAAGGAATTTAACTGATAATACCTACTAAGATTTAAGATTATAAATTTCTTTTGTCATAAATTTAAAAATATTATTAGTTCTAGAAAAAAAAGAATATTTTTAGTGTGTAAAAATACAAAAAAAGTATTAAAATACTTTTATTTTAATAAATTTATTCGAATATTTCACAATACTGCAGACCGGTGTCTGGCCGTCGGTAATTCAACAGTTTAAACGGTACTACTACTAGGGAGAACGAAAAAACTTTCTTTTTTCTTCTTCACAGGCGTATATTTTATTTGTACAAGTATAACAATACCATCGAATCTTAATTCATAAAAAAAAAAAAAAAAAAAAAAAAAAAATGTTTAGTTTACGAGCAGCATTATTCAGATGAATACCAATTTGTATTTTGTTTTTTATTTTACTGGTTAAATTATCTCTGAGCAAAAATGCTAGGAAGGTAGTAATAAGAACGTAATAAGGAATAAAATATAAGGTCCTATAGTTGTTTGGAATGTTGACCAAGTTATTAAGCCGCAAAGCACAAAAGATTGAATAAAATAAAACTTTTTCAAGGGTAAGTAGTATTTTCAGGTTAATGATTTATTATTTTGTGAATTTACGTTTCACGGCTAATAACTTTGTCAATATTGATATTTTTTTATAAACAATAGAATCATATTTGTTTCTTATTACATTCTGATGATTTGCCTTTTTGCCATAGCAAAATTATTCTAGCGGTAGTTCAATCCGTAAAATATATACGAATTGCATTATTCATCTAAAATCGCTCTCTGGAAATTTGAATTAGAATTTTTTTCGTGAAATGAGATGCGATGGTATTATTACACCTGAACAAATAAAATATAGACATATGCCCGCGAATAAGCCCTATAACCCACATAATATAAAATCGGTTATAACGTATGGTGAGTCCGGTTTCCCCGCTAAATATTTTCGTTGTAGAAGATAAAATTAAAATGGCCGTCTTTAAGTTTTCCAGTGTGACCAAAATCCGTCATTTCATTTTTGTGGGAGCGGCGTTTTGATAAGTATCTATTTTTTTTTTACCCGAAATAGTTTATTTAAATGTACGATAAAAGTTAAAACAATTCTTGTGGCCATATTGGGCAACTTTAGGAGACGTTCAATTGAATTTTGTCTCAAAAAAAAAAAAAAGTAAAATACGTGCGATAACAGTCGAACTGTGCTCGACATATTGTATTAATGCAGGTATAATTAACCGCTTTGCATAATATAATATAATGTTATGATGTTTATGGTCTTATATAACTTATAATATTTTACTGGGTTTTTTTTTTCAATCGTAGAAATAATTGATATCGACGAGAATAAACTCAAGTTAACCCAACACAGCGCTGGCGTCTACCACGGGTGTGAGAATCGAGTTGAGTCCTGCGACAAACAATTATTTCCGAAGGCGGACGAAATGTCCAGAAGTAGTGGGCACGTCGTCCCCGTGTGGCAGCACCGAATACTTTGGCCGGGAGGTTTATGGCGGTCACATGCGAGGCCGAGGATGGCAACGAAGCCATCGTATACGGATAGCGCAGACAATATGGCACCGAAGCTGGCCCTGCATCTGCCCAGAATTATCGACAACCAGAGATCAGTATATACCAGTGCTGAACAACAAAACCGGATTGAAATAAACATTACAATCCGTTTAATCCGGATTATGAAAATCTAAACTAGGAGGTTTATTTTTGAAAAGCTGCTCGCATTGTTATTTATTATATTTTAACTATCTTACGTATGCAATAATATAAATATATACATTAAAACAAATTTTAATTGTCTTTTTTAGATCGTTTATAAACGTATTTTTTTTTTTTTTTTAATTTACCAATCGTTATTTAATATGTATAATATTGTTAAACGATTTGTACTGTGTACCCACTTCTAAAACATATTGAATTATCTTTTAAAATCAATTTGGAATATTTTCAAAACGTATTTTTACTAAAATGTATACATATATATATATATATACATAATTTTTTTTTTTAAAGTATATATTATTATGTTTTTCCAATCTGTATACCTACATATCGGTGTTTCTTTTCGATAGTTAAAATTGCAACTGCGCGTTTCATAAACCATCACATTCGCGCATTTTTAATTTAGAGCTACGTATACAACACACATTCCAATAAGACGAAAATTAGTTTAAAAACAAACATTCTAGGCACTAAAGATCGGTAAATGTAAATATATTATAATTAATAAACGTGTTCGCGATGACGACGACGAGTCGGTGTCTTGTTTGGTGCATTCATCGTGTGGCAACAGGTCTATCTGTCATTATATCACTTTTTAGTTTTGTATATACAATATGCATAGCATTATGCGTTCCTGGTCGCGTTTTATAATTAGCGACAGGACCGACATTACAATTTTTTTTTTCTTTTATATTGACTCGGGCTAAATGTTTCAGCGTTATACTACCCGCTAACATCTGTGGAAAACATTGATAATGCTGGTAAGTTTATATACAATAACTTATAACATTCTAAACGTCTATGTCCTCCACGGATTAGAAAAAAAAATGTAAAAGCATATAGACACGTTTAAAAAGCCCTCATTAGTCATTTCATATAACGGTTTTTACTTAAACCTTCTCCCGGTTTTCCTACGTTTTTTGCCAGTTATTAAGAAAACGACAAGGAAAATGAAAAAACGACCTTAAAGTAACAATTGTTACGTGCCAACAAGAAAAATTTTCTTTGAAAAAAGATACTATTTTTGAAATTCGAAACAAAATTTCTGGTATAAAAAAAAATCAAAAATAGTGACACTTTTACTGCTGAAAATTTGTCCGTATTTTCTATACATGGTTTTTTCCGGTTTTTGTCGATTATAATTAAAACTGTTTGAAAAAATCAAAAAATTACCATTCTAATACACCAACTAAATCCAAAATGTATGTTACAAAAAAGCCATCTTGTCATTTTTCGATCAGAGCAAATTTTTAGTAGACAAATTGTACACAGACCAAAAAAAATAAAAATAAGTACACATCATACTAGAACTAATATACGTTCTTCACTGCGCTCAGAATCTAAAAAAAAAGTAATGTCATTGAAATGTATTCATTATTAAAATTTCGATAAACGTAACTATTACTATACTATAAAATATCAGTTAGATGAATGTCATAAATGTAAACACTGTTCAGACATGTGGATACATACATTGATATTGTTAAACGATATTATTCGTTTTCGACGTTATTGAAAAATATTTGCTTGTAACCGAGCGCATAGGATCATTTTAGTTTTTATTAATTGCAGTGTGTTATGAGCATTCGTAGATGTTTTATACGCATATTATGAAAAGGTTTAGGGGCCATACGATTTTGGCACCATAATGGTATTGGATTCGGACCTGTGACTGAACGCGAGCAAATTTAGTACAATACGAATTTCACGAATACCATTTGCGTTTTACATACAACGAAAATAATATACATGATTAAAAGCAAATATAAGTGTTACTAAATCAAATGCAGCGGGTGAATCCGTTAAATACTTGGTTAAATAGTTAGGTAAGTAGTGATTACCTGCGGCTGCGAATGATATAATAATTTAATCAACAACGCACTTAAAATCGAACTAGGTAAAAAACTGTTTAAATAGGTGTTATCGTCTTATAATAATTTTTTTTTTATTATGTATTATTATTATGCGACGTAAACTACCTTATGTATCTAGTTTTATTTTAGGTATGTTTTCCGACACATAAATAGTACTTATGTTATTTTGTCGTTTTAAATCATAAATATCTTTATCAAATATTTGATCTGAGGATCCTTATAGTTATTATTACCGTGTTGTCAATTGCATTAATATAGCATTAAGCACCTATTAGTTGCACCTATAGCACCTATTAAGCACCTATAGTTACTACTTGTTAGGATGTAAGATTGACTTAAGAGGATTCGAAACAGACGTTTCTTTGACAAAAACATACCAATCTTTTGTCCATCAGCCGGTGATAGACCTAGTAATAAGATGAGATTTTTAAAAACTGATTTGAGTTTGGCGCGAAGTGTACACGAGAATGTGTATTAACATATTTTAAAATTCCTCCCCTCCCCCGGGGAAAAATCTAGATACGGCCCTGGGTCCAAAAGAAGATTACATGTTTTGTTCGAAAAAGAGGTCGATTTTACTTTACTCGCGCGCTTGACATCGAACACTATGATGTGTGCATAAGCATGCGGGCAGACGATGTCATGGGAGGCATATAAGCATACCGCACATTGCTAAAGACCCATAGTAAATAGTGAGCCCTTTTAATCTGAAACCGTTCAAAAAGGCAAACATTAATCGAATTATACGAAAATAACACAGATGATAATACATAAAAAAACTATTATATTGATATTATGGGTAAATCTGAAGTATGGTAGCCAAACACATAGTGAGCGAATTATATTCATGAACCCATGAAATATTTGTTTATTTTGTTTATTCTATGAATTCTGTGATAAATATGCGTTATGTATGATAATATACCTAAAACATTTTTAAAAATGAATAGCAAATTGTTTCTATTTCATCGCATATAATAATATATCATGACATAGACATGATATTCCACGAGTTAATCAATATAATTTGTCATCTCAGTATATCAATGCTGACTTTAATACTTATCTTATGAGACTTATATGGGTCTATCATACAGTCAACTGTCTAGTTTTTCTACAATTAGGAATAAAAGCAACAAATTATATATTAAATGATCCAAACTATTTTCGTAATTTGAAGTTTTTAAAATTGAAAGTTCATCGAGAATATTCTCATTTTCATGAGAAGTTCAATAAATATTTAGACAACCAAGATTTAAGTTTAAACAACCGTCAAAATTATGATGACATTGATAGTATTTTCAACTTAAAACTGTAGCTAAAACAAGCATCTACCTGTAGTAGTGATAATTGTGCAATTAAAAATACATTATAATGTGTTTATTATACTATAAACTTGTAAATTTGTTTTCCTAAAGAGCTTATAATTATTATGAAAAATTAAGTTTTAATCTACAATAGGAAATTAATGATAATTCATTACCTATAGTTCAAATATAATAATCATATTAATATAAACTACCTAGGTATCTAATAATAGTTTTTAATGAGTTTGAATTAACTGCAATGGAATAATAGTTGAATAATATAAATAAGTATTATTATAATCAGTTTTATTAAAATTTCAATACTCATATTGTAAATACGTGGGAAATTGGGAAGGTATAGGATATAGCCAACATAGGATCATTTTTAGTTTATTTAATGAAATCATTAAGAAATAATTGTAATCAAAAACGATTCTGAGCGAAATAAGACTGTAATATTAGTTGTGTTTTTCTCATCATAGTCAAAGTAACCAGATTAAAAAAAAACTCATGTATTTTGATGTCAGTTTTTTAGAAAAGCTGTTGAAAATTTTGAAAAATGTTCCAAATAAAGAACCACCGGGTGGATATTCCACATTTTTTAAGGAACGACGTAAAAAACTCAAAACCTTTTTAATAATCGAACAATTATTTCCTGAGATAAAAACCTTTTTTAATAAAACTAATAATAGCTTCTTTGCTAGGTTCAGAATCTAAAACAATTATTCTAAACGAAGTTCTGTTAAACATAAAATGCCTTTTGAAATTCCGTGATTTTTATGATTTTGTGAGAAGTTTGAACTTAAAACGCTTACATTCTCGTTTTTTCTACGTACTAAGGAATTCAAAAAAACGAACTCAAAATTTACTACAAAATATTTTTTTTCAGTAAAGATACTAAACTTAAAAATTGAAATATGATTTCTAGTAGAAAAGTCTAATCTGCAGTCTGTTTACAGACAGACCAAAAACATAAACCAATATATTCCACACTGCACTCAGAATCTAAAACAATAAAATATTATTGTTTACTCGTACTTCGTAAGTAATACTGTTTCAAAAAGTATTAGGTGTAAACGTCAACTTATTACCACAACATTATCACGTGTTTGATCATGATGATGGAATTGTATCGACACTTAACTAAATGATTATTAATTTTACATTAATTGATTAGCATGCCCAGACTTTTATTTCGGTACATAAAATAGTGAAAATATAATAATAATAAGTAAAAAGACGGACATACTTCGTACGTGGGTGGGCCACTGTTGTGTGTGACAAGTTAAAAAGCTAGTAGAGGGGAAATTTAATGTATATTTACATGATTGTCTACAATTAACCATTGCTAATGAAAAAACGATTTTGAACGGAGTTCGGTTGGTAGTGTCGCTGTCATACAAGTTGTGTTCAAAATGTTCCAGGACTGATTGATTGCGCTCCAACAGAGAGTCCAAGAGCAATAAAACTGATATCACTGGATTCTGTGACTTTTATTCGGAGTACTTACTTCTGTATTTTTAGATTCTCTATACATTTTTTTGTTTTGATACGACCAATGTTTTCTTAAAATATTTTTTTCGTATTTGGCGATTTTGTTATCAATTTAAAAGACGAATTTGTTTTTGGGGGGAGGGAGTTGGTTGGAGAAAATTTTTCTTTCATTTTGATGATAACATTATGAAACAGGTAATAATTATTATTTTGATAAATCGTCAAAAAGTTTTTACTGTCATTTAGTCAAAAGTTCCTGATAAATTTAAACTTGGACCTTCCTCTACATTATTGAAAAAAATATTTTACAAAAAAATCGATGACATCAAAATAAAGAAAGGTTATAGACAATCTACAAAAACAGATATACTCAAGAGAAGTCACAGAACCCAATGATATAAATCTTACAGCTCTATGGACGCTCCGTTGGCCCACAACTCAAACAGTCCAAACAGACATTTTTGAACACACCTTGTATTATGGTAAAATAATTATATATTATGAATTATAGTTTGTTTTTTTTTTTTAATAATATTTGTTTACAGAAAATAAAAAATAATAAACATTATTATAAAATCAATACATTCCTCGCCCTATTAAGAATCTAAAATCCGACTGTATAATACACGGATTTTACTGTCATTAAAAAATATCATGTACAATTTAATGCACTTTAATTCAATGAAAAAAATAACTACCGATAATATTCCGTCGAAACACACCGCGGTTAAAACAGAAGACAACAATAATTTAAACTAATTATTCCTATGGCGTAACAAGTGAATCGGCTGAGTTCCGTCAATTAACCGTATGATTTAATTAACAATCAAGCAGGATTGATTATGTTACCACACGCCACTGCATGTGAAAAATATACGTTTGAATTGTGAAATTAAAATTCAGACCGTCTGATTTCGTGTTTTCTATAGCGGCAAAAACAAGATCAGTTACCAATCTCTAAATTAAACGCACTAAACTGCAGTTATACTGATCGCGAACGACGTGTATGGTTCAGACGACATTTTATTTATTTTTAATTTATAAAACAGCAAATGCCAAACATCTGTGTGTGTATATATAATACAGGATGACAGTTTTATTACGAACCAGTAAACATTTTGAGCGAATTTGATTTTGATTCGTGATATAAATAATCACTCTGTATACTTACCTACATAAATTTATACGATCGTATTATTGACTTCTAAATTAATATGGATATGTAACAATACAATATTACTAAACAATAATTATCAATGCTAATATAAATAAAATAATGATTTATTTTCATGTTTGTAACCCATCAAAAAATAGTAGTCCCACACTGCGGCATTACCCGTAACAACCAAATTATAATAAGTAATAATAACAAATGGTGTCTCGGTAATCGTTTTAGTCGATATTATAGAAACGTTTTTAATTAAAAATTAAATTCGATATTTTTTTTCTATATTTTTAATAAGTTTAATACATAGATCTATAATAATATGAACGCTAAATAGCAATCGAAATTTATAAATCCTTCTCCGACACCAAGAAAACAATCATAATAATCTGTCCACCTATGTTAAAAATAATTTCAGATCTCATCGATTTAATCGTACATCACACTCATAACATTTCATTTTATTATATTTATGAACACAATATGTATGTATACATACATTATTGTGCAAATTTTAAAATAAATTAGTAAAAAATAATAAGTTTACAAAATAAGTTTACTACTAATAATAAATTCAAAATAAAACGACATCTTAATAAGCAAAATATCTTTGCCAAATTTGTTTTCTGACAAGTGAGTATAATATTATTTTACTGATAATGTTACCCTATATTATGTGAACAAATAACTGAAACAGAATTGATCAAAAACACAATTACAATAATAATTGAATAAATCAAACATGACCTATTTGGCAATAAAAATAATATTCGCAGCTATTACTCGCGCAAATAAACGCACGTCGGTATAATTACAGTAAAACATTTTTATACGATGACATTTTCACTCAAAAGGTCGTGAATTTTACGAGTTTCGTCAAAATTTGAAATTTAAAAGCTTATAAAAAAAAATCCTGACTATGGCTTTTGGAGTGGCATATTTAAGATTTCATCTCAGGTCAATTCTCCCTCTCAAAAAAAAAAAAAAAAAAAACTGTAAACATTTGATAGAAAAAAGCACATTTTTATTTACAAAACAAGAATTATACTTCTTTTTTTAATATTTGCAAATCTATTAATCATCAAGATGTAATGCAATTGATTTATGAATATTAAGCGATGGCAAACCCGCTGGCAATCCTCGCCCATTTTTGATCTCGGCCAAGTTTTTAACCTATTATTTAACCCATTAACAAAACAATATAAGTAGTGGATATGACTAATAGTATAAGTATATAAATAAAAAAAATTGTCAAGTCAAAAAGTGGTTGTTAGGATAGTAGTATGTAACCAAAAATAAAATGGAAAAAATGTAACAATTATTACTGAAAACTAAATTAAAAGGTAATTAAGTATTTAAAGAATTTACCACATTTCGATTAATATAGATATTTGTTTTAAGGTTATTAGTAAGCCATTATAAATATTTAAATATCTAAATATTATTACTATTTACTCAATACATGCATTCATTTATTCAATATTCAAACCTTCCAAACGTGGAGAAGCTGAAAAATGGAGATGATATTATCGCCCGTAAGCCGAGATTAAATTGATATCTGTTATCAACACGAATATCTTCAAAACAACACTAACGAAAATGTCTTATGAAAAAGTTATTTATTTATTGATTTATTTTAGAAACGCTTATAAGTATAACAAACATATAAAATGATTTACAAATATATCTTGGGGATGTTAAATTGCCTATCTTTAACTACACCTCTGGATTTTTAAATTATTATAAGACATAAACTTATGAGGAACCTCGTGTATAATTTTTGAACTTAATATAAGTAATTATTCAAAACTTGTATCAACAAAAATCCAAAAACAAAACTTGAAAATTTATAATAGCTCTAAATGACTCAAAAATTGCTATAATTATTTTGAAAATCGTACCACGTCTCGAAAGTTAAATGTCTTTTTAGAAAAAGTGTTATCATCGTAAATCGGAGCGAAATTGCTGGTAGAAAACTTGTGCACAGAAAAAAAAGTCGTTATATTTTATTAATATATTTCGTACATTTTCCCGTTTTTTTTTTCAAAGCTTTTCACAATAGATGAGAAAACTTTTGAGAAAATCGAAAAATTACATTCCTAAAGTACCTCCCCAAACCGATTTACTTTTAGAAGAGATGCTAAAATTCTGCAAGATTTCTGATAGAAAAGTTGCGCACAGATAAAAAAAAAATAAACATCTTTGTAAAATATAAGCTTCTTCACTTCAATTAAAATCTAAAAAGAAATTGTATGTATTTTATAAATGGCCCTTTCCCTGTTATCTTTTGTCTTGTTACCACTCTTGCGACTGAATCACTTTTAGACGTTTATTATACAAGAATCATAAAAAATACGCGGTTTTTTTCCGTTTAGATTTCATAAATATTCAAAATGTAACTGACCTTATAATGAAACGGTGCATACTATAATTAATTGGTACATAAAAAATAATTAAATCGATGATTGCAAAAATGACACCAGAGGTTTTTTTTTAACCAGAATGAGATAGATATTCACAGAAATGTAACATATCAAATATTAGCGATTCGGTGTAATGTTAAATCGACTTTTAACAATAAAACTGGTAAGATTACTAGATGTCAATTTTATTTCTCATAAATGAATAAAACATTCGGTCAGTTTTTTTTTCGTATAAATGATAAAACGACCCGGAAAAAATAAAAATAAATTGTTAAAATTTGTGTGCGACTTTCTATTGTAATTGTATCATTGTACACGTTGATACGTTGAATGAACTAGTGATTTTCTCGGAGGATTTTGAACAAATTTAATTTCTGTTTTTTCAATCATTATCAACAATTTTCATATTTGACATAAAATAAAATATATTTTTTAAAAATGTTTATATGCATAATACTAATGTTACATTTACTATTCAAGAGTTATAACATTGTTAGCTAAAGCTTGGAACAATTTAAAATTTAGACCAATATGGAATCGTTAAAATATTGAACAAATAGAAAAAAAATAACGGAAATCTAATTCGCTTAAAATCTTCCGAGAAAATCAATGGTTCTTGATAAATTTCAGATTACCCTCTATTAAAACACGAATATAATACTAAATACTTTAATTTAACGACAAAAATATTCGTAAAAATACGAAAATTCAATTTCTTTTGGATAAGAAGCGTAAAGAGGGATGTAATGGTTTTACTAATATGACCTATTTATTTGTTTTTTTATATATATATATTTTTTTGGCTGTAAACAACTTTTCGAAAAGAAATCTGGCTCCGATGTGTCATGTAGGGTAACAAGTTTTCTGGAGGGAATTTTATCTAGTTGAAGCATAAAATAAGTTATTTTTTATTTTACAAAGGGGTTTTCAAAATAATTGAGAAAACTCGGAAACAAAAGTATAAGTAAAACACCAAATATTTACGGTGCGCCACAGCGTTAACGATTCCATTGTTTTTAATTTGTATACACTTTGTTTTCTACCAGAAATATGACTCTAATAGAAAAATGACAAAAGATCTTTTTTGTTGCAACTTTGATCTAGATATTCACGATGAATGTCGATTTTAGATTTTCAAAGTATTTTTCATAATAATTTAGCAAAGCCGAAAAAACGGAACAAATTATGAAAATAGTCCTTCTATTATTTTCAATTTTGTTTTTTTGTTGTAATTCAGTTAAAAATACTCGTAGAGACTTGACATTTTAACAGTAAACCTAAATTACTTTTTAGACATGGTAACATTTTCAAAACATTCAAACTATTTTTAAACTATTTATAGACGTTTTAATTTTGCGACTTAGTGGATAAAATTGTTAAACTAAAGAGAAATATATGAACATTTAACAGGAGGTTTTTTTATAAGAATTTGAATATCAAAATTTAACCAAAAAAAAATGGGGTGTGCATGCTTAGTGAAACACCCTGTATACTACATTCCCAATTTCCCACCTACAATAGTGGCACACCCGTCCCCAGTATCAATTCTTTTTTTTTTATTGTTTTTGAAAACGTATAAAACACTCTTTCATACGTTGATTTTAAAATAATTCAATTCAATTATTATTTTCACGCAAATTTTACTCATATAGTTACGAATTATTTCCGGAAATGAAGAATTCTTTCGTAAAAATCGCGATAGAATTTCCGCAACGGAGATTCTTCCGCAAGTATGACGTCGGCCCTTAAAATATAATATATACATTTTACAAAATAAACGATGAAAAAATATCATACAGTTTTTATCTATGTGTGCTAGTATGTATGTACATATATTACATTTATCGTAGGTATATATTTGTTCGTTATTAAGATAGTGCTAAATTAGATATACAGCATTCGAATAAACAATGCGATAGGTCAGAAACGGTCGAAGATAAGTCTTTAACTTTTTGTTCGAACAGTTTTATAGTTCGTGTTTTCATTTTGGAACTTTACGAGACGTATAAATCAACAATTTTAGGATGGCAAATAATATTTACTGTAAGGGACATGCGTAATCCACGACACGACTTTAGTAATTATAATCGGCCGTAACCCTCAAATTATTATCACGCCCGCGCGTTACGCCCACGCCTAACCTAACCTAAAAAATCAAACATATTTCGCACCATGAATAGGCCACACATTTAGATAAGGAGGTATAGGATATTTATTTATTTATAGATGTGATTTACTATATTTCAAATTTGTATGTACAAAGAATTCTGAGTAGTGTGTGAGTGTGGTTTTTTTCCAACTATTGAACATCTGGAAAAACGTTTCAAATAGCAGACTACCGGGCGAAGATTAAAATGTGAAAGTTTTGGTATATTTTTAAAAACCGAAAAATTAAAACCATAGATAAATCTATGGATTACTTGAATCACTTGGCGATTTAAAATAAAATAATAATAATAATTCGAATACTCATAAATATTATGATATAATCGTTGTCGTGATGATAAAATCTACAATGTACGTGTGTTACGAAACGTGATCGTAATTCAGTAAATTCTAACCTAGTATTGATCACCGTCGCCAATTCATACGACCGAACATCATATAATACAATATAAGTAATCGTACTTTATAGAAAGAACTGCCACCAAATACCCCGATTGACTGGTTTTGAAAATTCTGCCCCGTCAAGGTCAAGTGCGTGTTTTCACCGCAGATACACTACAAAAATGCAAATATATATATATATAATATATAATTATTCGTAATTTATTACTTGTGGATATTTGTTTTATCAAATATCAAACAAAAACCTGCAATCCTATTGAAATCACATGTTTTTATAATGTGCAACTCATGCATATAAAAAAAAAATTATAGAATACTTAGAGATATTTGTTTTATATATTAACGTAACAACAATTAATTTCTAATGAAATACGATTCTGCACAAAGTTCGGTTTTACGTAGTTTGAAATCCCGTAATTATTATGATTTTCTTAAAAAAAAATTGAACTTAAAACGCTTATTAAAAAAACTACTAGATTACTCTTAACGTTTTTTTTTAAACCACTAAATATAACTTATAATGAATCTCGTATTAAATTTACCAGATTTCTGTTGGGCCAAAATAATTTCATCCCCATAAAATCAATAATAAAAACTAAAAAAAAAAAAAAAATCAAAAATGTCAAATTATCATTAATAGCTGAAAAATCATCGAAATGTTTTTAAATATCCTGTGAACATCTTGGTATAAAAAAATCGAAAATAATGAAACTAACTGTCGTAAATGTGTTCGTTTTTCCCAATTAAAATGAAAATTGCAAGAAAAATTACCTTCCCAATGTGCCAACTAGATCCATAATGCTACAAAAAATACTCTTGTCGAATTTTTATATTATTATCGATTTAGGTAAAGACAAAATATATTTTAAACGGGAATACCTATTATAATATAAAACGAAAGTGTGTATTTCTATATAACATGATCGAAATTAATAGCTATTGAGATAAGTTTCGAATTTAATACAATAGGTACGTTATATATTTTTTTTTGTTTCTGCGTATCTGAAAATGCATACAATTTTCATCCAGATAATATACAAAAGAAAAAAAACGGTACTAATAATCGTATATACACTGGATACACTAAATTTTCAATTTCATAAAATACATAGACATACTATTATATTATATTATATCATACTATTATATTATATTCGTATACAAAAGACGATAAAAACAATAAAATTGATTGTTGTTTGGTATGATATTTAGGTCGACGATTATAATGACTACGCCTGAAAATTATAATTTAGTTAGGCTAATAATAGATAGGTGGTACACATTGTAAAAGAAAATATACAGACATGATAAAGTGATTACTTAGATACTTTATAATATAATAAAGTGAAAGTAAACATTGTTTGCACATTGTAACATTTATAGCATAGTATTTCTAATAATAATAATAGTTATAAAAGTTTTGAAATGCATTTAATATTTTTATTATTTAAGGGGTATAAATGATGTATCATCATCACAATGATGTATACATCATTTACTGAACTTCAATATTATTCATAGTACATATAGTACATATTATTTATCATAGATAGTTTTTATATTTTTTGTTATTTATAATAAAAAGATAAAGATAAAGTGATACGGTTTTTTTTTTTTTAAATTAAATTAATTTCTATATTTAAAACGATCTTTGAAAAAAAATATAAGTATTATACAGAGTGTCTCTCAAAGATAAAACAATTTCAATATCTCCTGAGATAATAAAGATAAACAAATTTTTATTTTATAATACTCGCAGGGATAAGGACTTTAAATATTTATATTTAAATTAAATTTTTATGTTCTGGTAAAAAAAACTAAAAAAGTAATTTATTATTTTCAACAAATCTGAAGATAGTTATTTTATAGAATTTATTCTTTTGAAATGTTGATTAAAAATCACGAATTTAATGAAAATAAAAAGTTGAAACGTCAAAATGTTCAGAAGAATAAACTCTATAAAATGGCTATCTTCAAATTTGTCAAAAAACAATAAAATAAAAAGTTATTTTTTTTTAAGTTTTTTAGCAAAAGATGAAAATTTGATTGTTATAAATATGTATAGTACTTATTCCTGTGGGTAATTTAAAAAAAAAAAAAAACAAAAACAGAATTTGATTATCTTCGTAGGACACCCTTTATAGTTGACAACAATGAATATAATCGTCAAATATTGTTAACTGCGGATCAATAACTTATCCATATTATTATTACTACACAATATAATAAAAGTTAAAGATTAATTTGTTGTGTGTCAATAACTAAAGATACATAATAATAGAATTTAGCGTCAAAATTTGATTGCTTTTTGTAGAGGCCCCCCTGCCGTCTGGTTATTTAATAATAAGAAAGACAAAATTAAAAGATATTTGTAACGGTCTAAAAACCATTCATTAAAATAGTACATTAATAAATTCGGACAATGGTGATCTGATTAGGTGTTTACTAATAATATCCAATTCATAAAAACTACTACAAAAATGTATTATTAGGTCATCGTAATAGAACGTGTAAAAAATGTACGTAATATATATCCCTTTCATCACGTGACAAGAAAAAAAATTTAATCTATTTCATAAAAAATAAAAAAGTATCCTCGACATGACCAGACCTATGAATATTAAGAATATTATTTTGTGCCTCTTTGCAACATTTGGGCAGATGCTATATAGGTATTATGGGTATCTATACATTGTATATAACACAAGATGCACACCCGTATTATAACACACCTTCGTAATAACAAAGTACGAACATGATAAATTTGTTCATATTGAAATATAGATTTATAACAGCACAAAACAATTAAACGATAATAATATCGGACCTATTGAACTTATTGTTTGCAAGTAAACAGACGTAACCAGATTTGATTTGTAGAAGCACACATATTGGATGTTATCATAATATTCGGTGCTAAACAATTATATTTTAGCAACATTTTTGGTGACTTTATTTAAGGTTAGCAGCCATTTATCAGTAATCGATTATAATAAAATATGCCTCTCATCTCAATAGGAATAATATCCGAATTTTCGTAAATATTTCACGTTTAAAATGCAAAATAATTAATTTATACGAAGAAACTTTTTTTCAGTTATACGATTATTACTCATTTCCCGTATCTTCTATATAACTAACTAAACCCACTAAATTTTAAATGCGTACAAATATTATTATTGGTTCAATATTTGATACCGAAATCATTTAAATGCTATTATTATTATGATAACAAATAAAGAATATGATAATTTCTTTGCAATGTAATTTCAAAACAAATATAAGAGGATACTAATTCAAAGACCATTAGAAGACATATACATTGAATATTTTAGACAATATAATGACACGAATGTAATAGCTATTCATTATAATACATTTAAATATTACATATATATATATATTTTTAATATCATTAAAGCGACGAATCGAGGATGTACTTCTAGCATATTCATTACATAGATTGCCAAAACGTTTTCGAATTCAGTGACTTGACCAAATCAAAATTTCTAAGAGCTAAATATTTTGGCAGATTACCTCACTATGCCCACCCCACCTTACTCAACAGCTAAAAATAAATCCCATTCTTGAATTTTTTTAATATCAGATATAAGGTAAAATTAAGATGTACCTATTCCCTTTTCAAATCCATCCACGAATAGTCCCTCAAAAATATGTAAAATGTTCACGTCCCACTGTCCAAAATGGTGTACCATATTCATAAATCGTTTTTGTATTGGCCCCCTCAAACGTTTAACTATATTTAGGCCTATGTTAAATATATATGCAATGTTTTTTTTCAAATAACTTACATAAGAACATTGCAGTAAAATGTTTTTACAATATTATAACTTTTAAATAATATACTTGATGATAAAGACACTCACTAGTCTTCCAAAAATCTAAGAGATCTTCTCAAATAAGTGTTTGTCACTGTTTACAGTGTTTATGTAGGTAAATATTTTTATTTTTTTATTCAAAATAACATAATATCTAACGATAAATTCAATTTGATATAGATCTCCCAAATTAACCCAACCTAACCAAACGTATTATAAAATGTCAAAAATAAAATTGTTTTACTTTAATTTATACTATATTTTGGATTCAAAATATTTGCCTATAATATACAATACTGACGTATCAAAGCATAAAATAAGAAAATACAAAGATTAATATTAATAAGAATATATATTAACAACACAATTAACGATATTATGTGTAAGGACGTTGAAATTTATAAAATATATTTATCCTGAAAACGAAGAATTTTTTTTTCACCAATGAGTATAAAAACATGTAAAATTGTCTACGAAACTGTCGAGTCATTTAATTTGTATACCATGTTTAGCTATACGAGTATACGAACGTATTGTCTCCAGTATTCGTAACTGTGTCAACGGAACAATGAATTCAGGCATGGTCAGACACCTTGGGTAATTATGACAATTTAAGTAAACAGAAAAACAATAAACCAAAAGATAACACAAACTCTATATTATGTTACACACTTTTTATTAGATACTATTTTCAGTTTGTACACGCAACTATTAAACGACTTATAGAGATACTGAATAGATAGAAGAGCTGCAAGCAACACGACAATGTTTTTATTTATGATTATAAAAAGATAAACATATTATTATTTTAGTATGTAAACTGGAATATTCCTATAATAAAAACGGGTTGAAGATCTTTTTTTTTTTATAAAAGTAATAAATATAAGTTTATTATAGTCAAAGTATTAAGTGACTAAATATGATATCGCAGGCAAATGTACTGATATGGTAAATACGGTTGAATTTATAATCGTTTTCGAGTTGCGTTTATAATACGATTTGAAAGTGAAATATTTTAACCACGAAACAAATTGTAAATATGTATTTGAAATTTAGAAGACGTGAGACCCCCATGTGCTGTTTCTGTCTTACAAACGTTACAACTTGGTTCAGGATTTTTATGTTTTTACATACCTATTGTAAATTAGTGAACCCATGGAGTCTTATGAGAATAAAACAAATTTTACGATTCGTTTAACATGGAGTTCAGAGGAACATTTTTTTTTTTTTTTTATATTTGAAAATATTTCAGGGACTAGAGAATATTTAGTATATTTTGTAATATTGTGTAGATTGTTAGAAAAAATATGAATTTATTGTAATTTTAAATTATTATTAATATTAATTTAAATTTCGGTGTACCCGAAAAAACTATTTTTTGAATCATATAACAATCAATATACATATATAAATATATATATTTTTTTTTTATCATTTTAATAAAGTAATAATAAAATAATTTACATACTACAAATATTGTATATTGACGAACGCTTTAATAATAGAGTGAATTGACCTAACACCAAATTTAAAGATTGGCTGTGCAACGTTGCCGCTATTTTTCCAGCGAGAAATAAATAATATTAAACTGTGATATTTCATAACTCATATCTCTCTTAAAAATTTAAAATTCGAAAAAAAGCGCCAATGCTACATATAGATAATATTTTTATCTTTAAGGTTGATAATAGGTCAATTCACTCTAAAATTAAAACTAACAGCACAATGTTGTCAAATTTGCTGTTTCGTACATTTATAAAACAGAGATAACACATGCTGGTATCACGCCATCTTAACTGTTTATAAAGAATTTAGGAATTTATTCCACATCCGTCTCCAAATTATTCAACCAAACAAACAATGGACTATTAGCAAACCTAAATATCGGTACCTATATACGTATACAATTGTAATAATATATTTTAATGGTTTTCGATGATTTTTTTTTAATGATACATACATTTACTATACCTGACCTATGGGTTAGGTATAGTTTCTAATGAATTTTCCGTTCAAGGACGACCGTTTATTATAATAGTTCCACGATACATGAAGATTGAAGATGTGACTAAAATCTTAAAGTCGATAAAATACTCGCATAACAAATAAAATGTAAAATAACTGAATAATTATGATGAGTTCAATTTGAGTTTTACGGTATATTCGATCATACTATACGCAACACATAAAACGTTGGCAATATTAATGAAATTATATTTTGATAAGTTATGCTAATCACGATCATATATTCGTAAAATATTCGTATCGAACTTGTAGCTCAAATATTACGAGAATAAACTGCATTATTTTGTTAATTAAAAAAACAGCTGCACATAAATACAAGCCTTTTTTAAAAAAAAGTTGATACTGCCGATGAAATTGGAAAATGGGAAAATAGGATAAGGTAATTTAATTTATATCAGTACGCATCTATAAATCATGGCAACATAATTTCAAATAACTATAAAAAACAATTTTCAGAATTTTTTGAAAATTGTACTACATCTAGGAAGTGTTAAAACGAGTTTATTTTTTGAATATTTTAGGTCTTTACGATTATTTCTATCCAAATTACAATATAAAAATAAAAATAAAATAGAAACCACTAATGCGTAAATCGTCCAGTTTCTCTCAATATTATTAGCAATACCCTCAATGCATCAACCAGACTACATTTGCTAATAGAAACCACTACTGTAATTGATAATCAGTTTAAGATTTCTGGAATAAAATGTGTTCAAAGATAGAAAGAAAAATAAATGCACAAGTTATAGTGAAATCAATATATTTCTCATTTCGCCCAGAATATAAAATAATAAAAACAACTAGAAATAATTTCAGGACATTCAAATTTAATCATTTCAACCTAAATGTCTTAAAAGGTAAAAATTAAACAGTTATAACTAAAATAATAATTTTAATAGAACCGGGAAAACATTTTATATAGAAGAGACTTTTAAGAAAAAGTGGTTTTTTGAACAAAAAGTTGAATAATAATATATTCCTATCCGCGAGAAACGCAATATTTCAGTTTCAAATGATAAAATATACGAATGATAAAAAAAAACCAATATAAGTGATTAGCCGTTAGGTGTAGGTAATCGAATAAATGTATATAGATGCTTGTATAATAGTATATTATTTAAACTCACTCTGCATTTTTAAAACATAATTATAATCATATAATCAAAAGCTCCGTCGAATATAATAATGTAAGTCCTATGTAGGCGAACGATAACAAAAAATATGTAAGCGAGATTAAAGAAAACGAAAACGTTAAGTTTTATCGAATTTCATTAGACTTACAAAGCGCAAAAAAACAAAAAATGGAAAATCAAACCGAATAACCGATTACTATTTTGCGATCGACACTTTTTTGATAATATAATATTATAATACATAGGTGTAACGAAAAGAAAAAAAAACCAAAAAACAATGTGTGTACGTACGGCGGGTCACGGCTAAACTGCAGAATTACGGCCGAATACTGTTTTAAAAGGTGTGCGCGTGTGTGTGTTCGGTATACCAAATAGAAAAAAAATTTAAAAAATATATTCGCCTGTGTGTGTTATTATAATTGAACATGGCTATGGATACACGCTCGTCTCGTATTTACTACGTATAAATTGATCTTTTTTTTTCAAATTTTTAACCACGCGGTAAAGTTTTTTTATTTGCACAAAGTCGGAAAATTGTCAAAATGTCTCTGCCCATATTATTTTACGGCCGTCGCCCACGTACACACGCGCATTATTATAATACGTAATGTATATTATAGGTATAGGTACTGCACACAATATTGCACACATAGATATTATTGTAGGCGATATTATTACCGTGTGTATACAAGCAATTTGGTTACCCGCAGTCGAAATGTGCAATATCGTTTTTATTATTTAGGTGTAGGCTCCGTTTGTGTATTCAAGTGTTCGATCTTTACCGCCCGGCAAACTGTAAAGTATACCTAGGTATAATAATAACGCGCACGCGTGTGCGTGCGTATATAATTTTATGTTATCGCTCAGTATGTTATAATGATCTATAATATCTATAACAATATGCGTACTAGGTAATAATCAATCAATTCACGCACGATTGTCGAAAAGTAATATTTTAGAAGTTGATATAATGTCTTCTTCTTATCATTCGCTCCTTCATCCTAGCTATTTGGGATAGGCCACCCTTGTTCTAAAATTTAACTTGACCTGATCTCCCACCTCACATAGACCTGGTTGTCTTCGAGTATCCTTATATCATACTCAATCGCATCCAACCCCCTCATATCCACCTACGTTTAATTTCATTACTATATTCTTACTGCTATTAATCCCTCATTAATCTCCTCATGACATGCCAAAACCATCTCAGTCTATTTTCTTTCATTTTTCTACTATCGAAGCCACGTCTATGCTACTTCATATGGTATTCATTCCTTTTCCTATTTTTTCTCATCATTCCACTCATCAACCTAAACATTCACATCTTTACTAGATAAATTCTCGGTTCTATTTTTTTGTGTACAATACAACGTAGATCTCACCACACTCTATTAGAATTTATCTTTAAGTCTCATAAGTCTCATTGGAATTCACTTGTCACGTGAACATCTGACGATTCTCTCCCCTTTATCCAACCAAAATATTTACACAGACTGTTAACCTGTCACAATCTCATTTATAGCTTCTTACAACAGGTGGAAAAAAAATACGGTGGAAAAATTAAATAATTTTACATAATCGTTCAGTATATAATAATGAGTTATGCGTGCTAGGGAATAATCAATAAAACGTATGGTAAAGTTCAGATTGAAATTCAACCAAGATTTCATCACTTCAATCCACTTATAAAATCTCTAATTCCCAAGTTTGATCTTTATTGGTCTAGAGAGAACCGCTAAAAGAGTCTAAATGTATCGCAAAAAATATATAGATATATATAGCAGACACAATATAGTGCAATAGTCTACATTTTAGGGAAAATTCGACAACAAATAATTCTTATTGTCAACGGGGAATTCGGAGGAAATAAACGCACTTACTCTTCCCCCTTCTCCTCTTCCCATAAACTGTCAACCTTTTCTCAAGGTGTATCTGTACATTTTATTTTTAACGTGTATTTAATACATTATTTTATGAATTCGTAGGTATATTATAACATGATAAAATGAAATAAATAAATTCAAGCGGAGGTTTAAGATAAGTACAGCGCACACACAATATTTAAGGGGTTACGGTATAGGCAATTTTAATGTAATTGACGTTGAACAAATTAAAATTTATCAAGACTAACGTATTAGCTATGAAATACGAGTATATTTAATATATATTTTATAGAGACAATATTTTCTTTCAGAAATGGTGCCACACGCACATATTAAAGCAAGATTTCTGGTAGAAATTTTTGTCACAGTGTAAAAAATAGAAAAATAAAATAAATATCATGGTGGAATGCTACACTCAGCATCTAAAAAGACGAGTTAACCTAGGTTTTAGGTGGAAATTTGGAAAGGTTGGATATAGTGAGGAATTAAGTTTATACCTAATCAATACTAATAAAAAATGATTCTGAGCGGAAAACGGTAATAATTTTACTTTTTTAATAATATAGGGATGAGTAATAAGTCACCACTCACAATCTATGGCCACTCATTTGAATTTTATTCGTTAGCAGTACAATTTTTTAATTTGATATTGCATATGATTATTCATCTACATTAATTCATTTACTAGATGGTATCAATCATCACAAACATTTAAATCAGAGAATTTTAAACTGTGGGTTACGACCCACTGCAAGTGAGTCCCGAGTCAATTTTTTGTATGTTGTGAAAATTGTTTTGAACTATATAGATTCCAAGAAATTTATGTTTTTAAATTCTGAGTGGAGCAAGGAATGTATAGGTTTTTGCAATCATGTTTTTTTTTTTTTTTTTTTATTTGTGAATAATTTTTCTACCAGAAATTTTACTCCTATTTTCAATTATAGCACTTTTTTTTGAAGAAAATTTGACTGACGTGGTACTTTAAGTAGGTAATTTTTTTAAACTCTCATTATTATTCGAAATAATTAAAAAAACCTCAATTTTTAGGTTAAAAGATTGAAAAATTAATAATAAGGTTGTCATTGATAACTATTTTTATTTATTTTTTGTTATTATTATTTTAATATTTTTTAAACAATTGTTGTTGTCATGGGAACACACGACGTACATTGTTTTAATAATTTCGGCACATCGTAGTTAGGTCCTGCATTCAAAAATCAACTATGGAATATGGCTCCATCTAATGGAATCCATATCAGCTGTGCTGGAATAATAAAATTGAACGTGTCCGAAATAAATTTCTAAGGTTTGTACTTTAGAACTTTCTAATAGTTATACAATGATTAACCACAACTACGAACCTCTTAGATGTTCGTTAAATATAAACACATTGAGTTCGAGACATACTTAGACGTGATGTTTATTTATAACATACATGGTTCAATCAGTGACAGTTTCCTCCTTGGCTTAATTGATAAATCAGTTCCATCATTCAATTCCAGAACCCGACCAACATTTTTTATATCAAAACACAGGACACTTTACGGCTATTTTTTACCTATCAATAGAGCACGGGTCTCTTGTAATAATCTAAAATATAGCATAAACATTTTCATTCCTCTCAGACGAAATTACGACGGTACTTAAATGTTTTAATAATTTATAATATGTTGTTTTTTATAGTTTATTGTATATTTTGTTTAAAATGTTATATTTATTCTTTTGTTGTTCAATCTCATTCTGTTTACTCATCATTAATGTAATTATCGTACGTTTAAGTATCTAATGTACTAATTTATTAATCATTAATTAACTGTACTTATGCCTTCGGGCACGTATTCAAATAACATAACTGAATTATGAATCCGTTTCAGAACGCTATATCGACTGGGATATCAACAAAAGCCGATGAAAAACTCATTGATTTATTAGAAGATTCATCTTTAAAACTTAAATTTAGCAGCAATTATTTGATTCTGTTTTGGCTGTCATCTAAACAAACATCTCCAATTCTTTCAGCAGAAGCTATAAAAATACTACTTCTATTCTTATTTTAATACGTGTGTGAAATTAGATTTTCGGCCTATCAGGCATCAAAAACAAACATTGACGTCGACGTTTGTGCTATTATCAACCATAGCAGAAAACAAACGCACACTTTGCATACACCTCATTATTAAAAGTACATTTGTAAAATTATATTAATTATAAACCTATAAAGTAATAAACAAATTTTGTTAGGTTAGGATTATGTTGATAGTTTTTGAAGATCGTGATAGATTTTCGGGGGAAATTTGAATTGCGCTTCAAGAAAGATCGAGAATCACTGATATAGATAACATAGAAGGTGAAAATGAAATTTAAAAAAAAAAAAAAATACAAACAATTTTATAAAATTTTAATCAAGTGTTGGGTCAGTTGAAAAGTATACATGGTTAAATTTTCAATCGATTTCGATAACCGTGGACAAAATAACAGAGATAAGTGTGTGAACAAATTCTAAAGATGGTTATTTCACCCTACAAGACCTATTTTTATATTGATATATACATTCATTATGCATTTTGTTGGTTATAAAAAAAATTATGAACATTTAAGGGCGGTAAATCTCCTTCTAATTGTAGGCGGCATATTTCTAAGTCCGACTCCAGTGTCCTATTATCACGAGTACCGGAATACCTACCTATATTTATAATCACCGTGGGATTTATTCGAAATAAACATAAAACCAATCAAATGATTCTAGAGTTCTTATAATATACTCACTGAAAATTAAAGATGACTTCGTCTATAGTGTTAGGCGCGGTATCTTGTCTTTATGTTATAATTGAAAAAAAAAAACCGTAAATGTTTTTCTTATACCAATATTTAATTAAACTGATACCTACGTCAATCGCTAATAAAATTGTGTACTTAAATTTGCATCATATGCTGAAGCATATAAGTAATCATTTCGAGATAAAACGAATGCAAATGTTCAACATAAGAATTTTATGCTACTCTTCATATTAATCTATAATAATGTGTAAAAAAAGAGCGTCGAACGCATAACAACAAAAAATTTTGAATTACAAATTATGTTAAAATAAAAAATTAATTATTATAATGTAGGTGTGGGTTCAAAAAAAAAAAAAAACAACGATTTTTAATTTCCATTTATAATAAAAGATAGATATTGTCACAATGTATTCAAAACACGATATTTTAATTCAGTTTTATCCAGACGGAGTTTATGAATACAAACTACACGAAATTCGAAAAAATTACAAATTAAATAAGTATTAAATAAGTATGCTTATTGAAAATAAAAACATTTTCTTAAAACAATGTTACAAAGACGCAAAACATTATAATATTTTATCGATTCGTTGATTAAGCAAACAGGTCAACAGTTTCAAGGTCGATTGATTTAAAATAGGTGATGATTTTGAAAATGTTTACGGTATAATTGAAAATGAATAATATTTTCGATACGATCATCTATGATTTACCTACATAATCCATTCATATAAATCAGAATATTAATAAAAACGTTTTTAAACAACCGGCCTTAAATACGTACTATTATCAATAATAAAAAATCTATCTGTAATAAGATAGATATGATTATATTATTATGATAGTCAATAGGTTAGGATAGGATATCAAATAATAATTAGGAAAACAACAATATTATGTGTAATATCACATTTTGGTTCTGAGAAATGGCCGTTACCTACTATACTAACTGCGCATACATTTTTTGTATTATTTTAACCTTAATCTAATATTATCAATTATTATAATAGGTAGTTGAATAGGATAGGTAATACAATTATTGTTGAATAAATATGTGAATGTTTGACTTTCGTCATGGTAGTGTATTTTAAAATCTGCAAAATAAAACTACCTAGCATACAAATCATTACTTGTTAAAAACAAATAGCTTAATTATAAACTACCACAAATATGATTATCCCCCCCGCAGCCTAGATTATAGAAAATTGCAATTTGTATTCAACTAGTTAACATAAAAATGTAAAAATGAATGTACAACTATTATTATTAATTAATTATTATCAAATATTTATATATTATAATTATATATCAAATATTATAAATTAACAAAAATGATTTTTTCTACCCACCCTACAAGATAAAATTTTTTTTTAATGATATCGAGATATTTTTGACAATTTGACATAGACTTTGATTTAGCAGGCCAATACTAATACAATTTAAATAGATCACTTACGTGTACTACACAACATGATTAAATATTAATACTAGTTTATTTAACAAAACTTAGGAATACCTATTATATTCATGATCTCTGATGACAAAATTAACATAGATGCTTTTATTAGTCAAATGTCTACTTATAATTTTATTTCATTCTACACATTTATATTTTATGTCAAATATCTGTTACAAATACATATCAAAAGAAATGAGGCTAAAACTCATAAGATGTATTATTTGAGTTTTTGATTAATAACAAGTTTTTTATAAATTATTATTTATAAACAAAAAAGGTATAAATTTAATATACTATGATAAGAGAAAAAAATGAAGTATCTATGTTGCAGAAAATACTTATTAAATTATAATAATAAAATTAACAAGTTGATCTAACTTACTGTTAGTTATGTGCATTACGCAAAATGTAAGGTATTATTATACAGTGCTACTGCTAAATTTTGAACTTGACAGACTTTATGCATACATTTATTATGAACTCAGAAGGTGCAATTTTAGAATCTTGATAAGATTTGTTTTGAAAGTCTAGGCTGGTTTAGGCTAAAATTACTATAAAAGATCATTTTTCATGAAATTAACAATAAATAGAGAGAACTGATCTCTAAATATAGTACAGAACTCAGTTAATACATATTTTTATCAATATATCATATTAATAAATCTATTATATAATACTGAGTATCTGTATTATTATAATAAAGTGTATTGTCTAATAGTCACAAAAATGTATTTAAGTGATTTAAAACAATACTTTTGATTACCTAAGAATTATAAAACTGGATATAATCAAAAAATAAAGTTATTATTTTTATTTCTTAATTTATTTCAAATTATTACTAAAATTGTAAAGTTATAATTTAAATTATATAAGTAACCATTAACTTTAATATACTTGATGTAATTTAAAAATTGAGAATAATATTTAACCTCAATAATATAGTTTATCAAAAAAAGCTCAAAATACATTGTGTAATTATTTTTATAATCATAACATTATTTGAATACGCGATTATCTATAAATCATATACAATTTGTTTTTATTTCTTCTAATAAGTAAAATGCATTATCTTTACTATAAATTTAATCTGCAAGTAACCATTTACTGAAAGAGTGAACTAGAAAAAAGTAAACCTAGAAATAAAGAACAAGCAAGATAAATTCTTATCTAACTTGAAAATGGACGATAAGTTCATATTTAATAACTTTGATAGAAATTTAAAAATGTAAACGTCCTAAAGTTATAATAGTGTTTTCTTTTAAAATTAAAACTATTTGTCTAAAAATAATAATACATTTCAAATATCTACTAAATTAAATATTTTCATATATTTAATAATACATATATAATATTAAATTATAGTTATTTGGTATTTCATAATAAAACTACTTCGGTACTTACTTAATAAAATGTGTATTTCTTTGGTAAATGTTATTATCATTTAAGTTTACTAAAATATGGGTGTTAAGTAGATATTTGTTTTTATAAATCATAAATCATAATATTTTGTGATTCAACGTTTTACATTTGTATATATAAACATTAGCATAAACTATCAGGGTAAAAACACTTAATACCTATTCAACAGTTCATATTTAAATTAAAATTGATTTTATAAATATGCATCTATATAATACTTTAGTAATAGATACCTCATAGGTGTATACAAATATATTAATGTGAGTAGATAATCAAACTATAATTATTCATAATATGAACCGATAAGTATTAAATTAGCTTAAGCGTATAATTTGATCAGTTAATTATTTATGTATTTTTAAATAGAGAACTCGATAAATTTGAAACATTCCTGGAACTTCCACAGTTTAATATATTTTTCTCAATTAAAATATATGAATGATGTACTAATTCGAACGACATAATTAATCAAAAACATACCTTGTTTGTAATGGATTCCGAACAATAATTTGGTGGAGGAAATTGGCTAGTCGAGTGCATCATGGTTACTAGGCTTCGGCACAATAGAATCACAAAAATACAACCGTCGTAACCTCAATAAATTGTTTTTCACGATCTAGCATCCAACAGAAGAAAATATAAATAATAAAAGAAAAAATAACACAAGGAACTGGCATTGCTTCAAACCAGATTAAAACAAACGGTTGTTATCACTATTTCACTGTTCTTATCCTACCTGATAATGTTATCGTATAAACAAAAATATAAACAATAATACTGTATTTACATTTATTTAGACTCTAAATAAATGTAAATATTATATTATCCTCTAAATTTTAGAGGATACGATAGCCGGCACCCGCATTTACTCAATTTACTGAATAGCTAACTAAATAATAAGAACGATATAGTAAATTACGTTACCTGCAATTTAAATTGTGGCTTTTAAATTTGAATTAGTTAAAACCGGGGCTTATTTTAAAGCGCATTTAGGCTCTTTTTGCGTATTTGGAAAAGGTATTTGCGCATTTGATAATCAATTTTTGTGTATTTGACTTTTCATAATTTATTGTTATGTTAATGATATTATACAACAAATAATAGTTCCTACAGGGTATTAAATGTGTTACGTATATTCGCAATAAGAAAATCATTTTGTATACCTACTTATGATTAATAATTATGATTTAAAAACTAAAAATACGTCCTAGGATGATGGTCGGGTGCAACCACTGTTATAAATAATTGTATGTATATTTGTAAACAATGATAAGCCATTGCTTACGAAAAAACGATGTTGAGTGGAGTTCAGTTGATAGTGATACTTTGTCAATAATATATATGTCATTTTATAGTAAAATAATTAAATAAGCCTTATAAGCTTTTTTTTAATAATATTTGTTTGATGTTGTACCGATTTTCCCAATTTTCCTACGTTTTCCCTTATTATATCCAGGTTTTTCACATTTGCTGGGAAAACTCATTCTGGGAAAAATCGAAAAATGACCTCTCTAAAATACCTCCTCAGTGAAATTTCTTTTTAGAAAAATTATTATCATTAAAAATTAGAGCAAAATTGATATTAGAACAGTTTTTTACAAAAAAAAGAAGGCCGTAATATGTTTTAACTAATACCTATATTTCTTATATTTTCCCGTTTTTTTTTTCGATTTTTCAAATTTGATGAGAAAACTTGAGAAGATCGAAAAATGATCTCCCTAAAGTACTTTCCTGCACCGATTTCCTTTTAGAAAAGGTGCTACACGCAGAAATCCGAGCAAGCCTTTCTGGTAGAAAAGTTAACAGATAAAAAAAAATAAACATCTTTGTAAAACCATAAGCTTCTTCGCACCACTCACAATCTAGAATATAAACTATTAAACTATATTAACTATATTAGGTTAAAAAAAAATATTTTCGGAAATAATATCTATGTCCATATCATTGCAATGGATCAGTGGATCGTTCACAGATAGATAAAACGTATATAATCCATCAAACAGTGTCATTAAAAGCAGTCGAAGAGCAGTATTTTTTGGACGCAGGACAAGTTCAACAAAGGTAATGAGGGAAATTTGGATGCTATTGAAACAGCTTGTATAAATACCATAGGTTATCGTGTTACTAAATATATTTTTAAAAATAGAACTTCGAACTAGAGAACTACAATTACTGTCTAAGGAAAATAATTAGGAAACTAACAAGGATACCAATTTTTTTCAAACCTAATGTAACCTAACCTTTCTTTTAGTCTAGTTGATGCTACATTAATTTCATGGAAAGTTCTAATTATATATATGCAAAGTTCTGAAGAGAAAGAATCTAACAGTTTTTTATTATTATTAATTAATAAGGACACTATTTATTAGCATTTTTGACAGATGTGTTAGCCATTCTTAGTGGTTATCAACTATTCAAAGTGATAAAATAATGGTTTTGTTAAACATACTGAGTCAATTATCAACAAAATTAAATTAAAGTTCAATTAATTTAGTTAGTGGTTGGGTAGATGTAATTGAAGATGAACTGTTGAAACTGATGAAGATACTGATGGAAAAGCCCTAAAAGATATAAAATTAATCGATTTTCAAGAAAAATGAAAACAGGCATATTTTGTATGTTACTGAAAATAGATCTGTAAATACCATATACCATGAAATAGACATTTCGTCAACATTTTTTCAAGACTGCATAGATATTGATGAATATTTTGTTAGTACTATTAAACCTTGATTGCTAACATTAAAAATGCAATTGATGTTTTGGTTAATCATTTAGATTTAGTTGATCTTAAATATGAAGTATACAGATACAATTTAACATAATAGATTAGAAGAGATACAACAAATGACATTATCTAAATTAGTGCAATTTTTATCTAGTCCAACAAATTTAAAAATATTACTATTTCAGTTATTTGTATTATAGCTGCAAAGCCTCACAGTGCTGACATTGAATGATTTATAAGTAAAACCAATATTCTTAAATCAATAGAGAAAATAAATTTATTTTTATTAATATTAACATGTCTGCTCTTTGAAATTGGGACAAAAGACTAGCAATATAGATATAGTTAAACCAAAATGAGAGCTGCATTAGAGACACACCTAAAGCTAATGGTATATTTATAGGGGCAACAAAAAAAATTAGAAGAGCGAAACTAAATAAATTTTTTTAAAAAAGAACGTTCTTACATTGTGCTATGTATTATGTATATAAATATTATGAAAAAATTAAAAATGACATTAATTAAAATAAAATATTTTAAACACAAATGTTTACTATTTTAGTTATTAAATTTTAAATTGTTCTACCTTAAAGCTAAACATTTTTTAAATTTTTAACTAAAATTTGAAATCATATTTCGAGATTATAGTTCTATTCTGACAAGCTTATTTAAACAAAATGCGTATTTGATAAAAATCCTTAAAATAAGCCCTGGTTAAAACATAGATATCGAAGTCTGGTTAGAATTAAATTTTCTTTTACTTCTTAAACAATAAAAAGTCACAGCCATGATGAATACAGAATAATATTTGGATCAAAACAAGTAAAAATATATTTATAGGCATTGATATTACGTAGATAGGTTGGTAAACCTATAATATGTAGGTATTTTATGACTGTGACTCTTATTTAGGTACCAAAGTGCTACCTTGATAATTTAATATTTGTTTATGAATAATTTTGGTTGGACAGTTTTAAAATATAATATTACCTATTGAAAGGATTATTTAATAAATAAGTAGGTAGAGTTTATTTAAATAAAATGTATTTAATTTATTGTTAATAATACATGTTTAGGTGCATATCTATGAGTGACACCTACATTAGAAATCTAAAATGCACTAAAAATACAAATATTTCCAGGACTAGTGATCTCATTTTCAAATTGTATTTTATAAGTTAAATATATCTATGAAATATGAAAATAGGTATTGGAATAAATTATGAACACTATTGTAAGTATTCTGACTTTGGAACATTAAGTAACAGAATAAATGTTATTATTTTATAAATACGGTTTTTAATACCTTTGAATCATTAATTATAATATACTTACATGATGTATATTCATACTATTTTCTTGTTAAGTTAAAAAATAGGATGACTATTAATGTATATTAATTATACATATGAAGAACTTGCACTATGCAACATTAGTTCAGTGTTTTTGATATCACAAATTTGAAAAAAAGTTATAATTATTTTAAAATATAATCATTTTAAATTTTACAAACTCAAACTAAATTTTTGTAATAATGATATCGAACAATTCAAAATTTAAAACCATGATTCTCACTAAAAGATCTAGTTCCTAATTAAAATTTTGATCTGAGCGAATAAGTTTTTAAAATTGAATTATGGTACTGCACCCTTGCTATTCTAATTTTTAATTTCTAATAGATAGGACATATTCCTAAATTTAATTAAATTACTCAGACATTCTCTTACAAGCACCAGTAAATTGTTAAATATAAAAAAATATATTTTTTTGCAGAGTGAGTGGAAAATATGACAATTTGTTTTTTGGTTCACACTATGTAATGCTAATAATTACTTAATTTATATGTTTACTAATAAAAACATGAATAACTTTAATGTACAAATAAAATAATTTTGAAGCAAAAAATATATAGTAGTTTGTATGTATTAAAAATAAAAAAGTAGATATATAATATTAATTAAATAGTATAAATTGTAAAAAAAATGTCAGCGGTGCATTTATATTTAACTGTAGACCTAGACGGTATAGTATTTACAATATGATATATAATGTAGTGTGAACCATTGAAAATTAAAGAACAATAATTGATGTTAAGAAAGTGGATGGAAATGTTTTATGACCATCGTTTTTGGTTCATCTTTTGATACGACAACATCATCCAAAAAAAACCATAACTCGTTTCTTTCGTCTTGTAATTCTTTAAATAATATTGGTTTACGAGCCATATCGTGTATATTTTCAAGATGCTGAGTGAAATGAATTTTACTTTCCAATATTTTGTCGCAAAAGCGACAAGCAAAACAAGAGATTATACTAGAAAAACATTGAATTAAATACAAAATTATAGGTAATCAATCAATAAAAAAAAAAAAATGACGACTTACTGATCATTTGGTTGGTTATTTTTATGAAAGAGCGGTCTGCAAAATGAGCAAACATACTCTGCATTTGTCAGCATTTTACTATACAATCTACGCAGAAAAAACAAAAAGTTATTTGCACTTTAAAAATAGTATGAATATTATATTATAATAATTTTTATAGGGATAGCTATAATGTTAATAGTTAACACTATAATATTATTATAGTTAAGTTATTTTAGCACTTATAACTATAGAATAGTGTAATTACAGTGGAGGGATTCGGGTGTCGTATTCCCCCTAAGACTTTTTTTTTAAAAATATTGGAGAACTACATTTATGTACTTATTTAACTATAAATATTATTATATTAAATAGTCTATTTTATAGAAATAATACAAAAAACCCCGAATCCTCTATGCTAGTTGTACATAAATACTTCGTAATAAACGCAGGTGCATACTGTTCTGCCAAGGTAAAAGGCAATAACATATTTATAACAATTTTGTATAAATGAGATTATTGTAGAATAGAAACTTATTGTTTATTAGGCCATTTTACATAGATTTTACTAGGTTAAAATGCAGTAAACATCATTTAAACTCTCTAAATAAGCTTTACATATGACGTATCTACCAAAATATCGAATACTAGACAAATTAGCAGTAAATGATATTCTAGAGAAAAACCCAGTATATGTTGTGTAGTTATTGCTTATAGGTACGTTTAGTAAATTTATTTAGCGGAATACATACCTACTGCATATATATCTAGTAACTTTAGATTATCTGATCAACACAATATGATTAGATTATCACATACGTATAGATAGGTACATACATTTATTACACTAAAAGGTGTTTATAATAAATACAATTTTTTTTTCTGATGAGGGAGGAGTAATAGGTAAAATATAAAAATATTTCAGCAACCCCCCCCCACAAAATTATCAAATGACACTACTGTAACTATAATATATTACATTTATTAGAGAAATAAAAATGCAAAAAACACAAATGTGTGACAGATTTTCCGTCGCGTATCGAACGTAGGACTCTAACAACATAACTACTTGAATATCTAAGTTTTTACTTCTAAGATAATAATTATAACACATAGTAAATAATATAATTTATCATATTTTATTTTATTAGTATAAATGTTAGTCCGGATACTTTAACAGTGTACGTTACCTAATAATATATTATTTTATTTTAACAAAATATATTCTATTTTATGAGTTTGTGACCATCACAGAAAACATATTATACCAACCTAATATTATCATGATTTATGATAGATTTGTAGTAATAGAAAAAGTAAAAGAAAATAAATCCACTTATTCTAATACAAAACAAAAAATAAGATAGAAGAGTGGATACTAAAACATACCTTTATAACATAATTTATTTAGTTTTTGGTGATACGTATCTCGAAGTGAATTTTTATCCCCCTTCAACTTCGAGTTATCGCGACTCGACTGTACAAAGAATTATTTTTTAAGTACGAGAAAGTCTATAGTTCAGCTTACTAATTATATTACTATACCTTCCTCCAGATGTTTTAAGGGATTCGGAATCGTGAAACCGAAAATAATGACGATACCAATAAATTAAAACTATAATATTGTTTTATCGGCCCATGATGTTGGAACGTTGGAACAGGGTATACACCTGTAGATATTCTTGCGTAATCCTGGATTCGTTGAACGGCAGTCACAACTCAATTTAAATATCCCTAGTTAAGTATTTAACACTTCAAAACATTGTGCACTAAATAACGAGTAAAATTAAGATTTAAGTAAGGAAAACAAAAGGTTGAATTATAAAAATAAATTAATAAAGAAATCAAACATGAGGGATTAGCTGCTAAAAGTTTGAGCTAGCTATTTGAGAGAGATTTTTGAAAGAAGTTAGTGGAGCGTATAGGTGTTGTGTGCAGGGTTCTCGACAGTGTTTGTCTTCGGATTTCTTGAGAGGTCAAGACGCTCGATTTTCAATTAAAAAAACCATTACCTTTTTTTCGTTTAAATAAGCAAAAAAAAGGTCATTCATAAAAAAATAGTGTCATGTTGATTTGAATTTTGTATAGAAATAATTATAAGGGTATCTAGTGCAGTAGTGCGCCGGTGTCATCGAAGGGTCGATTGATGTTGTGTACCTATTTTTTATTTTTATTTAACTCATATTGAAATGTTTCTATTGAACTAATAAATTGGATATGTATCCTTCCCGAACAACGAAAAACCGTTAGAATTTGTAGACTTAAAAAGACGGACCAGTTGGCATTCGTGTCGGTGTCGATATACGATTACTAATAATCAAATTATATTTTCTGGGGTGTTGTTTGGAAATTGAAAGAATACCCAGATTATAACTGGCGACAGTGTTCTCAAAGGGCCGCAGCAGATGGCGTGGATTTCTATACTATATATTCGACACATTTTAAATTACTTTCTTTGTAAAGAATATAAATATATATCCGTCTCGAGTTTCGCTAATGTTCCGTTATATTTATTAAATTATTTACATTTTTTTAGGTAGTAAATACCAAATACTTGGTCATATTTGAATCTTTTAGTTATACTGTTATAATAATATACCTAGGTAATAAAATTGTACATAGATAATATTATGTTGTATGAGTATAACATTAAAGGTTAGAGAAGGGTATCTACATCATATATTCACGACCAACAATACCTATACAAATAATTTAACTATATTTATAAGGCAATTAAAACATTTAAATATATAGTAACTATAAAATATAGTAAACATTACCACAACAAACCACTATAATTATAAAATTTTAATTATTTTACCTATTAAATAGTTATATTTAATTGTTTTTTCAACTATAATTTTTTGTGGAATTTTTTTCCCCGTGTACTTATATGAAAATTAAGTTTAAAAAGAAAAGCAACTTCGCACGTGGGTACAGCCACTGTTGTAAGTGAAAAGTTACGAAGGTAATAGAGGATAAATTTAATGTATATCTATAAGCAATGATAAAACCATTACTAACAAAAAAATGATTCTGAGCGCAGTTGAGTAGCAGATAAAACACTATCTGCTCATGTACTATATTGTTGCTTTGTCAATAATATAATGTAAAACAATAACATTAGCATTATATATTTTTTTTAATGATGTACTTATTTTGCCTGTGTTCCTATGTTTTTTTTCTGATTTTTCTAATTTGTTAGGAAAACTCCTTGGAAAATCGAAAAATAACCTGTCTAAAGTACCTTCCCAGTTAGATATCCTTTTAGAAAAAGTGTTATTATTGTAAATCGCAGCAAAATTTATGGTAAAAATATTGCTCACAGAAAAAAAAAAAAAATAAACATATTTTTAAAACCATAAGCTTCTTCGCTCCACTTAAATAGGTTAAATAACTATAAACAGTCATTTTTGAAAATACCATCATAATTAAAAAATATAATTTTTCAAAAATAAAAAAAAATAGTTTGAATCGTAAACTAAACTTTTCCAAAAGTCTTAGGCAGACTTCCCGTTTGAAGTGATTTCATAGATGCAATTTTATTTTTTAGAAAAATGAAATTTTATCAACAGAATTATTCAAATTCTCTTTTAAATACATATAATATGTGTACGCTTTTCCATATCATTATTACATGTATTTATTGTGTAGTTGAAAATTAACAATTTAGATTTTTTAAGCAGGAAGTTATTTGTCGAAAAATTCTTGAAAATTAAAGTGTGATTCATTACAAAATCTACTGAGCGGTTAAACAAAAAATGTGAGTGTAATGTATGAGTTTTTTTTTATACGAGTTTTAAGATTAAATTTAAACGAAAATCGTAAAACTATCGGTATTTCAAAACTCGTATAACTGAACTTCACTGAACCCAACCTCTCACTTACCTAAGTAAGTAGGACAACCAGAATTTATTCTCAAGTTAGATAGAGGGGGGTGTATTGAACAGTAGCGTTACGTGGAATTTAATAGTCTTAGGGTCTATAGGAGGTGGAGGTTCTCTCGAACTCAGAAATTAAATCATATAACACATAATTAGTAAATAATTATATATTATTCTAATGATATCTGATGATAGAAGCAAATGAAAAACCCATAATGTTAATAAATTACAAATGTAAATAATTTTGTATTATTTTAAGTTTTGAGAATGATCGCTATTTAACTGTAACTATGTAATCTATTATAATTTCTTAACGTTTATTTTTAGTTTCATGATAAAATTCCTGCAACTCACAACCTATTTAGTTATTCATTCTTTGGCGGCCCTTGTCTAAATACGCCACTGGTTATGAAGTTCAAAAAGTTATTACTGTTTACACGGGTAAACTTTAAGGCCACTTTTATAGGTAGATAGTTGAAATGGTATAACATATACAGTTTTAACTTAGTTTATAATATACTGTATGGTCTACGATAAATCATTATAAACGAAAAAACGATTCTCAGCATTGAGCATAGTAGTAATGTAGAATATTAATTGTGTTTTTCCCTTGTTATAAAATAACCCAGAAATTCACGAAAAACAATAGACGAATAAACAAAATGTGTTATAACAAATAATTCTTTGTATTTAATTGAAATTTATAAAATAAATATTTTATATTTTAATTGTTTAGATTAAATAAGATTGGCGCAATTTGAGTATACATTTTTGGCTGACAGGAGGCTAATATATTTACTCGTATTTGTTTAATTTAGTACTCCTAAGAGCTTAAACCTTATGTATTTTTTGTAGCCAGGCTGAAGCCTAAAAGTTATGATTAGGGCAGGTCATATAGCTTTAGTGAATTTGTGCAATCAGTGTTTAATTGCAAGTACCTACATATTTTATCAAAATTAGTCTATTACTGAACTAACGTGCTGTATTGCCTGTATACAGACAGACAACACTGTAAATACATATAGTGCTTTTATATAGGTATAATGGATGAATTCACAGAAAATATTATGAAAGCATGGGGATTTGAAGACATGGTTTTTATTTTTAAAGGTAATCAGTGCTGCAGTCGTACAAATATCAGGGGGTATACTATAAGTTATATCCATACCATTATCAGGTATAAGTGTAATGTCCTCAAGTACATTGTCTAATCTAATATTTTAGCAGAAGGCATAAATAGTAAATAACTTATGTTTTCGTAATTAACAATAAATTTAAATAATAATTATAATAATAATAATAATACAATTTGTATAATATATTTTGTGATTTTACCATGACAGAGAGTATATGACCATAACCAGAAGGTATAGTGTTTATTCGTAAAGATCAGAAATTATACAGAGTCTACATCCATATACCCGCCACTATAGCCCTGAAGGTAATGTAGGTATATTAAATTAATATTATTGTTATTAATATTCTTTACAAGAAATGTATAACTCGTAGTGGGTAAAAACTAAAATGTGGGCAAAATTACATTTTTAATTGTTGACTGTTGAGTAGGCACCTACATTATGTATTATATTATACAACTGCACCTATTACTAAAGTATCTAATAAACCATATAATATTATTAAAATATTATAGTTATACCAACCTCAATAATTTAACATTGCTACTTGATTACATTATAATAATAATAGTATTTATCTGTACAATTAGCTTAAAATTCCATCACAATATATAAAATATTATGTAATAAAATTAATATGATATAAATATAATGTAATAAATCTTTAGAATATACAATAATATTGTAATGGATGGATTGCAATGAATAATGTATGTATATTGTATAGTAATAATACAAATGTAAAAAAAGACACAATAGGTACATACTTATATAAAATTAAATTTGATGAGGGAATAATCTGTCAGTTTGGTTTGTTTATAATTATGCTGTCTTTGTATAATTTCGTTAGTAAGTTCATTTGCCAAAGTTATACTAGTAGAGAAAATATTACCTATTAATTTCTACCTTTATTGAAGATATGAAACGACCGATGTCCTTAACAGCAGCCAATGTGTCCCGTAAACTCATAATGTGAAATTTTGAAGAGTAGATAAAGTAGTAAATTTTGTATTGAGAGTGTGTTTTTGTTATCGTTTTGTCAATGTTTTAAAACTAAGATTAAAATAGGTGTCCGTTATTTGGAGAGTTTCCCATTGAAAAGTAATAAAAATATCCCTGTTCCCAAAAAATTTTCCTCTATTATTGAGGTGGCCATTACGGGAGGTTTCACTGTATGTATATAAACCTACTGGAAAATATAACAATTATTTAGATGTCTTCATAATTAGAAAATCTATTATCTATCTAGTGAGTAAAATTAAACCATTGATTTAATTCATAAATCATAATTAAATTTAACCGAATAAATGATCAAATAGCTTATTTCTATAATTGGAAAAAGATCTAAAAGATATAAAAAAAGATGTAAAAGGACAAGTGGGTTGAATATAGCGATAAGAGCCTAGATTAACAAATGATACAATTCTTACAACATTTACATAATTTGTTTTATTTTAATTATAATTCTATGTTATGCTTAATCATTGTATTCAACATTAGGGAGTTTCTAAAGTATTAACATATAACATTTCTACATTACACCCACAGAAAGATGGTACAATTTTAAATTTTCTGTTATTAAAATAATATTAATATTAGAATTTTATTTTTCAAATTAAATATGTACCAAACATTTAGTAACTTACAATGGAGACATTACTCAGATGTTAATTGAAATTTAAGAACCTACCAAAAGTGCAGTTTTCTGATGAAATTTTGTTTCCTCAATGAACATCAAGTCTAAATTTAATTAGTATTATAACCGATTCACAGGTTTAAGTTAACACTAAATTCTTTCAATTTCTTATGTTTTATTAATTTACAAATATTTATTACCTAATTTTATAATTTGTTGAATATTTAGAAAGGGGCATAATAGCAAAGAAAAAAGCCAGTTATATATTTACAGTTCCGTCTGAAAAGCTAGAAATTTGTTATAGCCAGTGCGTGACTTAGAAGTAGTACATAGAGAAATTGAATATTACATATTAGATACAATAAAATGGTTTAATTTGGATTAAAGTTATAGCTGTATGTTATTGTTATTAGTTAAACTGAATTGTTTGAAAATATATTACTTATATAATTAAAAAGATTTATTTTTATCTTTCTTAATTTAACTTCAATCTTGTTTTAACTACTTAACCCTGCAATGTAAGAAAACTTAAAATATTACTTTTTTTTTATTATTCTTATTAACATATTATCTATTTTTATAATATATTTACATAAAAAACACATATCAAATACTCAATTATGCCTTTGTGTTTTATGTGTAAAAATACATTCAATTTAAATTTTCATTTAATCATTAATTTAAAAAATTTTCATGATCAAAAATCTTTGACAAGTTTAAATGTTTGGAGCCTAATTGTTGTAGAGTTTGATGATATTCAACGATTTTATCATTAATTTTTATCACTATTAAAAAAAAAACTTCTGGAGATTATAAGTCTAAATAATATTGATATTCCTTTATTTGAAGATATATTACTTATGTTTGATACCCTTGAAAATCCCTTTTCTAACATAAATTCTGAACATTTGAGCTTTAAAGCTTTAGATTAAATGGGTGTTTTTGTTAGACCTGATAGATATTGAGTGTGAATAAAATATTAGAATGATGAAAGGTCATATTTTATTTGAGCCAAAAATGGTTCAAATGTCTTTCATTTCTTTGAGGTCGGTGCTAAAAATAATTTAACAAGATTGTAATTTTTTTGAAATAGTAATTAAATATATGAAACAATTGGAATGTAGTTCAAAAAGTTAACTATTCTGATGATGTTCCAATTAATGACCTAACCCTCACTGAAATAAAACAGCTTTGCATTTTTAACAAAAAAACTCATTTCATGTAAAATAAATGTTGCTGTTGATATAATATATGATATCCTAGAAAATGTTTGCAAGAACAATATTGGCTTAAACGATGATATATAATTTAAATTATTTAACTATTGATATTCTTAATGATAGAATCGAATCGTTTAACTATAGACCTACTGACATTCGTAACAAACCTCCACTTTTATAAAACGAATCATTAAAACGCAGTATAATAAAGATTTCTACTTCTAAAATGTCATGTTTTACAAGGTATTTAGCATTGATTATTGGTGAATTAGTTCCTTTACATTCAGAATATTAGTGTTTATATATTACTTTAAAAAAATTGTAGATATTCTCTAAGGAAAATGTCTCAAAGTAGAAGATATATAACTTTGTAAGGTTTTAATAAAATAGCACTATGAGTTATATATTAAATTATTTAACACCAACCTCAAACCCAAATTTCATCATATGCTACACTATCCTTTTATTATGGAATAGCGTGGATCATTATCATCACTTTGATTTGTAAGATTTGAATTAAAACATAAACAGCTAATTCAATTACATCTAATAAAAACTCTCCTTATACTTTAGCATTGAAACACCAATTTAGTTTAGTATATAGAGTTTTGTCATCAAATAACAATATTAATGATATAAAGTTTGGTCATTAAATAATTCTTTCGGAAACAACGCGGCTCGAGTATAGTAAAGTTGAATTTTTAAAAGATGCAATATTTATTTCATGAGTTAATTTTAAAGGAACCACTTACAATTGCAATAACATGTCTGTTCTAATTAGTTACAATAATAATCCAAATATATTACCAATATTTGGACTAATAATATCTATATTTATTCAAACTGATGGTATACTATTTTTTATTTGTACAGTTTATGAAAATAAATATTTTGATGAACATTTTCAAGCATATAATGTACATTAACTGATAAATTATTATGTTGTTCAGTTGAAAATTTAGACTGTGCACAACCCACTGTTCATTATGTTCTATCAAACAGTTTATCTTATATACTTATACAAACACATGTAATAAAAAAATGTTATGTAAATATTTATATGTAACAAAAAAAGAAACATGTATTTATCAATAAATATTTTATTATGCTTTATGAATCTGATTTTTTTTTTAAATTTATATTACCTATATTTACAGGTCCTTATTACTTCCTTATTGCTACTTGGTCACCCATAAAATGATGTACCTAAAAGTGGTAAGTTAATAATATATTATTATAGTTACAGTTATAATTCCAATAAAAATTAAGTTGTTATAGATTAAATATATAGTAATTGTAATAGTATTTATTAAAATTAATGGTAAGTACTCTTATACATTAGGAATATATAGGGAGTCTAAATTAAACTAAATAATAGAGTTAGAAAATCTACTATATTTTTTTTTTAGCTTTTTAAAAACAAATGCTTCATAAATTTGATTGAAAATATAGTATAATAATATTATATAATATAATATGATAATATAAATTTACTATACAATAATAGTTAGTTTAATTAAATAATATTATTTAAAAAATTAATAACTACATATTTTAGTGAAATAAACTATTAATCTTACAACTAGAACCGTAGGGTACTTGCAACTAAATATATGGCTATACCATATGAAACTACATTTTACAGTTAGTACACATATAATTTCGGTTAAGTCAACAAACATTTTTTTCTGTATGATTGATTAATGAATTTGATTGATTTTTTCAGTGGTATACTAGTTCGACATATTTTATTTGTTTGACACTAAAAAATAACATTTTTAATAAGTTAATTTACGATTTTTAGTAATTTTTGTAAAATGTTATTTTTAAAACTTCGCGAAATAAATAAGAAAATGCTTTAGGTCTTCTGTCCAAGTTATGATAACTTAGTATAGCCAAAAATTATTTTGAGTAGGGTTCGGTTATTTGATACGGTTTTGGTCGAGTTTTATTTCCGTATAGTATAACCTAAAATCCAACAAAATGAAACTGAAGTATATCGTTATTTGTTTTTAAATATTTTAAATACCTAATCTGTTGAGAACATAGTCACCGACTATCAAAGTGTCGCAGTACAACTCCAAAAAAAAAATATACTAAAATATACTAATGGTTTGGAATCTTAACAAATTGATGGCTTGATTTATTTGAACGGTATAAATTATTACGTAGGATTCGTGAAAAAAATCCCCAAATTTCAAAGGTCATAAATCCCATTCCTTCTCTATAGTATCTACCTACATACAATAGCAAACAAGACAGTAAGGGGAAGAAATCCAAATACGCGTAAACTCGGTTTCCAAAACTAAACAATCTTTTAACAAGCAAAAAAATATCGTATACAATTGATTAGAAAAAAAATAAAAATACCTACTTCCGTCCAACACCTGATTTATGGTATTTACTGCAATATTTTGGATAGATTTTACATTTGCAATAAATATATTTAACTAAATACACGCGCAATCGTTTAAAATCGTTTAAAATAACGAATAGGGTTTTTGAACACCCGCAACATCTATAAAACAGTATAATATATAAGTATATATAATGCTTACTTCATACAACAGTACGTCGGAAAACGATGTACTGACCTATAAAGTAACGGCAGTCTTCTTTTTTTGACAGTAATAGTGGCAGAGTAAAACGTTTTACCTGCGCCGAGTAGAACACGTGTTGAATTGAACGGTAAAAAATCCAAAAACGTAAAGTAACAATAACATTTTATTTTAATATTCTGTTGATAATATTACAGATTTTCGAGAGTAACGCTTACAATGGCGCTGGCATCTATCAAATACAGTGTAGGTTAAAATGGAATTATGCATATCAACAATTACCGTTATAGTATTACATCTACAGAGTCACTTAAACAGGTTCCTAATCTGTGATACGCGGTAAGCTCGCAAGTATAATCTTCTCTATCTGATATTGTTATTGTGTAAATATATATATAATTATACATACTATAATGCTTTATCTACATTTTTCAGAGAATGGCGATACCCAACACCCGCATTTACATTTTATTGTCTAGTTAACCAAACAATACTGGTAATATAGTAAATTACATCAGCTGAAATTTAAATTGTAACGTTTAGATTGGAATTAGAGTTAAAAAACAGATATCGAAGTGCGATTAAAATTATATTTTTTTCTATCTTAGTGATAAATAAAAAGTTGCAGAATACATAATAATATTTGGATCAAAACAAGTAAAAATATATTTATAGGCATTGATATTAGGTAGATACGTTAGGTAAATCTAACCTATGTAGGTATTATATGACTGTGACTCTCCTTTAGGTACCAAGGGACTATCTTGATAATTTAATAATTTTTTATGAGTAATGTTGGTTTAACGGTTAATAATGGTTAGAAATATATTTTTGCCCTTTTGGCTTGCAATAAATTGTTAAGGTATCCGTTTAAACTAAATATGAAACTAAAACTAACGACCTGAAGTCGATATGGTTGTATCTATACAACTGGTACCTATGTTGATCAAATCGTTTGTCATAATTAATCATAATATTATTGCCTGCAAGAAAATTTATTTATATTTTCGTTGTAGATTCGTAGCGTATAACCCCAGCGCGGAACTCGTAATCGTGAAAAATATTTCAGATAATACTATACAATACTAACATTGTGATTAGTTATAATTTTATGTAGAATATTTCCATTAAATATATTTTTACTGGAGACATTTCTTATTGGAGATATTTTGTCACCTCAAAAATTGATGATTAAAAAATCTATTATATGTGTATACATAATATCAATGGCGGCTAATGAGTAAAATAATTGGTGGCGCATATTTAAAAAATTGTATACAATAAGTACAGTCGATTTAGAAAACGAACTAAAACAAATATTTTATTGAAATATGAATATAGTTAAATTATTTTTTGTATAGGAGGTTCTTAGATAGAAATCTACAATATATTAGGGAATTAATATGTTTGTTTTTTTACATTACATTAAATAATATTATTTAGGAATTGAATATAAACTGGGTAGGTCAGTATTTTCTATAGGGTATTTCTGGAAATAACGTCACCTGCCGGTCAAATTTAATATTATCCACAAGAGATAATCAGTTCCCAATGTATTCTCCGTCAGCAACGGCAGACGGCCGCGACGGTGCAATATTTGTTTGTGCACCAACACTAATGGTGTACTCTATTCACCGTAAGTTGACCCAATCGCTTGACGAAAATCCCTCAAAAATCCCCTCTTAAAAAAAAAGCCCTTTATAGGTACGGTCGCAGTGGCAGCTTGCTGCTTACTACGACGCGCAACGACAATCGCCGAACACCTCTGATCAATCACAGACCACGGCGGCTCAGTATACGTGCGCGGAAGCGGGTCAACTTACGGTGAATAGAGTATAATTGTACCAGTAGTGGAGCCGAAACGGTCAAATGCATCTGCGCAAATAGTGAAAAAATTGTATTTGTCCGTCCGTAACCGCTGCAACTTCGAATTGTGTACGATGACATACTTATAACGTGCGATAACATTCGTTTTTCTCGACTTTTCGCATTAAATATTTCATTGATTCTATAAAATAATTTTTATTCTTGTATCTAAAGTAAATATGAATGGATTTCTAGTTTATAATATAATATATATATATATATATTATAATAATTAATAATATATTTTTATATTATAGTAATATAACAAAACAATGTACCTACAGTTTTCAAAATTATAGGTGATGCACTGCTCCTGTGTACCATAGCACAAGCCACCACTGTATAATATTCAGTATTTCAATAGTAATATACATACATAATGAAATAATAAAATAAAAACAAAATTATTAAATAGTTAATATTATTATTTTAATACTCGTTAATAAATATATAAATATATAAATTAATTAATTAATGCATCGCCTGGAGTATTGTGATATGTGAATTGTACGACCTGTTTCGAATTAAAAGTTCATCATCGGTTAAATCACAAAGTCAAAAAGTAAAGTCACATTTATTTATATATTGAGTAATATATATCTAATAGTAGTTCTTGAGTTACTAGCTAATGATTTGTTTTTCCCTCATGTTATTTTGTTATCTTTATTATTGAACTTTTATCAGACTTTATTATGTTATATCACAATATTTATTACAAAAGATGAGATACTATGTGTAGAGTTTCAACTCCACAATTTAAATTAGCTATAATGGTCAACCGTTAGAATTGCGTGTAAACAAAAAATTAGTCCAAAAAATGGGTACAAGAAAAAATTGGGTGTGGGACTATGCTAAGCGAGAAGGAGATCGCAACTTCATTTGTTGTCTATACTCTATCCAAAATAAGAATAAAATATATTTTATAGCAGTCGATGAGTTTTCGTTCCCGACTGTGAGAGCCACCGTAAATAGACGGCAACGGCGGCAACGATGCAACACATGTGATGATATAGTAGGTGTTTTAAATTATTTGTGCTAGTCGAATATCAATTATAAACCACTCTTCGGGACGGCAGGGTCAACGCTCATGCGCAGAACTCAGTCGCCGACTATTTTAATTTTAATAGAATATGTGATGAATAAAGACCGGATTTAATTGCATAACACACAAAAATTGCATATTCAAATTTAATAATTGCACCAAAAATTACGTAAAAATTGCATAATAAATTGCACTATAAAAATGCAAAAGTTATATTAGTTAAATTAGGTAAATGTTACTTTTTTTAATTAAAATTGATAATTAGATACATTTCTAAATTATTTTCATTAAAATTAAATCTTCTAATACTTAAAATATGTTGGTACAAAGAAAAACTATGTTCTACGTCTACACAAGTTTTTGATGCATATTTAAAATAATTTAATAAATAAATAATATCTAAATTAATATTTGCTTTACCTGACATGACTTGACGAAAGCTGTTTCAGCTTTTCGACACTTGTAGCATCATCTGTTAAATTTTCAATCACGTTTTTACACTCTTCAAAATTATTTGCATAGAAAAGTGCAGCATTCAACCATTTTTATCTTCTTGTAATAATAGGTTCGGGTGGTAAAGGTATACCCAGTATTTTTTTTCTGTATTTATTTATTCTCGATGATGCTTCTGGGAAAGCTTTTTTTCCTGAAATAAACTAAATAAGTTACATATGTATTTAAATTTTAAATAGGTATTTAATATACTACTATTGTTATCAATTTATTAATGTCGTAATACAATTCTCGAATTTTCTGTAGAACTCTATTAACTGCGTGCGCCATGCATATAATATGAATTAATTTCGGGAAACATTTTTTTAAATTAATTTTTTATTTTTATTTTTTATTATTTTTTATTTTTGCTTTGATCATATAAATACCAGCATCACTAATAAAAAGTAATACTTTTTGTTTAATACCAGGAAATATTGTTAACAAGGGATTAATAAACTGATAAATAGTTTCATAATTGGTGGATTCTAGTTCTTTATATGCAACTAAATATGATTTACTAGGCATCCCATCTAATTTACCAATTAATAAATTTGCAATAGCCAAACCTAAACAAAAATAGTATATTTTATAAAATATGAGAAATTAAAAAAATTAATTATACAAACCTCTTGGATCGGTTGTTACGTCAACAATTATTATGTAAACGTAATTATTTCCAGTATCACTAATTATTTAATCCATTATGCTTTTATAAATATTTGATATATAATTTTTTCATAAAGTGCTTTCGTCCGGAATTGATTTGCAAATATGTTTTTCTAAAAATGATTTTAACACATGATTGCCCAGCTTATGCAAAGAAATATTTGCTGCAACAAATGCATTACATAAATCTTTAAAAAATACATTTTTACTATTCGAATTTTGAGAAGTAATCAAAAGCTGTTTTTTTTTTCATTATTCCGTTGTGATGCATTTATGTGTGAACTAAAAACATATACATGTATTTTTGAAATAGTATTAGTAATAATAATAATAATAGTATATTACGTGTAGTATGAGCATAAAACACAAAACTTATTTGTTTTGGAATGATAATCTAATAGATATTTTTTTTCAGTAGACACAAGTTTGTTACACAAGAGACAATATATAACCTTTCCATCTGATGAAAATATTTCTTTATTTTCATTGTAAGGAGCAATCCAATTCGAAATTTTACTTTTTAAAGTTGATTTTATTTTAGGCATTACATCGAATACGTTCACTGTGCGTTCACTATATTAAAATCAAATAACTGTTAAGTCCAGGGACAGCTCGTCAGGGGAGACTTTGAGACTGTGTCTCCCCTTTCTCCCCTTAAAAAAATTCAGCGACGATTCCGAGTGCAGCTCAGTAAATACATAATTTGAAGTGCCGTAATTTTTTTTGCGACTTTTGTTTAAATCTGTTTAAAAAAAAAAAAAAATCATCTAATGATTTTGAACATTTTACCACGTCTAGGTTAGTCCAATATAAGTATTATTACCAAGTTTCAAATCTCTACGTGTATTTATAACCGAATTAAAACAAAAAATCTCAAAAATTAAAATTTTTTAAAAGTGGCTCAAAAGTTTTGACGATGATATCGTAAGAAAGTAAATAAAAATGTGTCTAGTGATTTTCCGATTAAATCATTTTTTCTGGTTTAAAACGTCCAAGGAATAAACGTGTCCACAGACAAGAACAAAGAAAAAAAAAAAATAGCATTGTAAAAACACTTGTTATTAGGCGAAGGTTTGTGTTTTGGATCGTTTGAAGTTTGTCTATCATATTTTTTTTGGCATAAACGTATATGATAGACCTGTTATCTATTTTAGATCCAACGAGTGATTTAAAAACATTGAGAAGGATTATGCTTTGTGCCCCCCCCCCATTTGTTGTTTGCTAATAGTTTAATGATGTTGGTGGTTTTGGAAACATTTTTTTTGAATGTAGATTCAGATTTTTAGCAAAGAACATCACGAGGATTTTTACATTCTTGAGTGTGAGTATAATTATATTGTTGAATTTTACTTCTGGGTTAGAATCAATTATAAGGTTTTACTCATTTGTAGGTAGGTGACGTTTAAAGTCCATAGAAATGTTATCGAGACAGTAACTTTTGCTTTTGGCTTTATTGAGATTTGTTGTTGACTTCCTAATGGTAATTTCACTATTAAGTGCATGTTTGATTATTTTTCATAATTAGTTGTGGACTGTACAAAAAAGCGTTTGTATAAAAGTAGTATTGTTTTTATTAATATTTAGTACACATGAATTTAATTCAATTATAAGTGACGAGTGTTAGCGTTTAGGTTACTGCATTGTCATTGACAGAAACCGAGGAACTAACATAAAAATAAATCCTGCGGGTACAGGTGGAATAAATGTATACAGGTTTATAATAATTAAGACAATATGTATTCTCATTTTGTCGCCATCATGCTAAATGTGGCATACAGTCACTTTAGCTACACAGCAGATTTTTTTTTTGTAACTTTTGTATTTTGATGGGTTTAGAAGATAATTGTAATAAAAAAATAGGTGGTTTTGAAGTTATAGCAAATTATTTTCTTAACTCGTCGAAATATATAAGTTTCAAAAAAAAATAAGTCTAAATTTGTTCCCTAAAAGTCACCAATGAATTTTACAGACTTACAGGTATCTATTCACTTTTATACTGAATATACAAAGAAATATTTACCTTTCAATTGCATTTCTTGTTCAATGTTCTGGTGTGATTTTCATTGTACAACTGCTGGCTTTGTGTGGAAGGGTTTGGAAGAGGTGTCATAAGGTATGGCTTTACTTCATAACCACCCCGTCTTCTAATAGATATCCTTTTATGACCACCATTTCAAATTTAATCTGATCCCAGCCATCGCGCCACTATGTCGATAACTTTAAGCTATGGATTTCAAATACATTGAGCATTGATAGAAAAATAACCTTGCCTATTTCAGAATGTTTCTGCATTATCTTCATCTATAACATTCATGAAAAACCCTAGTGTAATCATACAGGACACATAAAATGATAATAGTATTTATGATAACCTTATAAGTAGTTAATAATTGTATAATTTTTTTTTTGCTCACTAGGTGATTGAATTTTTAAGTGAGTGCAATCCATAGCTTCCATCACTCTAGGAAATCTACTACGGCTGAAATATCTACTTTCCTCATGTCAACTGCATTTTTTAAAAAATTAATTAATTTTAACCTGTGCCTTGATATGGCTCTACAAACTTGATAAATATTTTGACATTCTGAGGATTCACTGACACCAGTAAAATTCGTGACAGTTAACAAAAATTATCCTATTATAAGGACTTTAGTGTCATGTATAATTTAAATGGTGCTAATATGGCTCTGTTTTTGAAACAAAAAATAATGTTTCTGGTGGACTAAAAGGAAACTTAATAATAAGAATGATTGTTTTTTTTTTTTATACCAACTGTATTTACTGTAATTAAAAATGACTCACCTTTGAGGGAGCGAAGATATATAAATCTTCTTCTATCAACCTTAAAAGTTTAAAACGTTTCTTTCAAAGCCGAAATTCGTTCATAAAGTCACGATTGTCGTATAATTTCAAGTAGTTTACTCGATCATAAAAAAATGCACTGTCATCTTTGCATTGTAATAACTACTTCGTCAATCTCGTTCTTGTCAAAATAATTAAATAATATTCTGTGATTCATATTTTACAACAATTATTTATTAAATTATTAATACAAATAACAAAAATAAGGTTATTTTACGATAATGTATGATAAGATAAAAAACAAATAAATAATAGTCCGGAGTTAGCTCGTTATAACCTAGGAATAGGAGTTCAAATCCGGAAATTAAGAATTCGATTAACCAGGAGTTACCGCCCCCAACTGTAAGTGGAAAAATTAATTTTTATTGGTAACTCCGGATTATCGGTAACCTTAACTCTCGATAGCGAAACCCGCACATATTGTATCTACCAGTCAGATTTACTTACAAAAAAGTACTACATTTTAAAATCTAAGCAAAATTTTTGGTAGAAAAGTTTTTCAAAGATAAAAAAAAATTAACATTGTTTATTTTTTTCAACAATTTATTTATTATGATTAATGATTATTATTGTGAAATCGATACATTTTTCGCTCCGCTCAGAATCTAAATAGGTTTATGAAGATTATTAAATGTAGGACACCCCCGGGAAAATCACCCAAAATACGCTACAGACCTGCTATCATCATGAATCTCCAAACACAAAAATCAAAATTGTTTAAATTATATCAAAAAGTAACATGTTTTATACGAATAAAATAGTCACAATAAATGTAAGCAAAATAAATAGACATAAATAAAAAACAAAAGTTTTATAAAACGACTAAGTAAGGGTAAATCATGAAATTATTAGTTAATTTGACTAGCACTTGATTAATCAATTAAAGTGTTTTATTATAATGTTTATATTTAGAGATTATTTTTGCGTATTGGTTTTACAATGATGATAATTTTTTTTTTTTACGTGAACAACATTTCTACAATTTATTTTATTTCGATTTCATATTATAGCATTTTTTCTGAAACTAAATCCGACTGGTGTGGTATTTTAGACGGTCAATTTATTTTCTGTTTATAAGCTGCATAATAATTGGGAAAATCTAGGGAAAAACGGGAAAATAAGTACATTATAAAACAAATATTATTAAATAAAATATATAATTTACGCACATGTCATGCGTGTATTATATATATATTTTATTATTGTCACATTATTTTATCATAATATGACATATATATTGTTGACAAAGCAACACAATTAACTAAACTCCGCTCAGAATAGGTTTTTGTTAGCAATGGGTAATGGTTGATAGGTACAACAGATATATCTTAAATGTCCCATCTATCTTCCCAACTTTTCACCTAAAACTGCTAGTGGCCCACCTATCTTCCAAAGTATGTCAGTATCTTTTTAATACATAACAGTATAACATGAACAGTTTTCAATAAATTAGTAATCACCATTATTTTATTTTGAACACCAATATGCATTTCTATCATACCTAGCCAGGGAAGGAAGACGTTTGTCAGTTGTTAATCCTGGAAGTGTTGTTCCCGATTTATTTGTAAAGAGTTTCATCAGTATGATTTTTGTTATACAAATCAAATCAACAATACCAAATGGTAATAATTTAGTTTCTGAAACAATACAACAAGTATATCAGACTATTTAGAAATCACGAATAAAATTATATATTTGAGAGTGTATCTACTACATATGTATAAATATACATTTCGTATTTATATTAAATGTATGTATGCTACTGAAAAACACATATTGGCCATGTCCATAAATTTATTGTTTTAAATACAGATTGAACAAAATACCTATAACCAACTAATTTAAGTTAATTAAAAAAAAAAAAATCAATTGAGATAAAATAAAATGTAAAATACTTACACAATGTTAATATTTATTTTTAGGTAACAATAGTTGTTCAACTCACTTAACTAATAAACTTGGTTCACATCTTCTTATGATTTTAAAGGGTAATTTGCAATAAAATGATCATGTAACTGTTGTCATTATTCCACCAAAT